AGTTGATCCCTATTGATCTCTATTGATCTCTATTAGGTTCCTATTGATCCCTATTGATCCCTATTAGGTTCCTATTGATTCCTGTTGATCCCTATTGGTCCCTATTAGGTTCCTATTGATCTCTATTGATCCCTATTAGGTCCCTATTGATCCCTATTGATCCCTATTGGTACCTATTGATCCCTATTGGTACCTATTAGGTTCCTATTGATCCCTATTGACACCTATTGGTCCCTATTAGGTTCCTATTGATTCCTATAGATCCCTATTAGGTTCCTATTGATCCCTATTGATCTCTATTGGTCCCCATAGCTCCCTATTGATCCCCATTGGTCCCCATTGATCTCCATTGATCCCTATTGACCTGTATCACTCCCTATTGATCCGTATCACTCCCTATTGATGTCCATTGACCCCTATTGATCCATATTGCTCCCTATTGCTCTCTATAGCTCCCTATTGATGTCCATTGACCCCTATTGATTCGTATCACTTCCTATTGATCTCTATAGCTCCCTATTGATCTCTATAGCTCCCTATTGATATCCATTGACCCCTATTGATATCCATTGACCCCTATTGACCCCCTACCACCCCTATTCCCCCCTCAATCCACCCCCACCACCCCAAAATACGCCCTCCCCCCGCCGTGCAGGTCCAGGAACCTCCCAGCCGTGGTGGTGGCGGCCAACTGGTCCCCACGGCGCAACTGGAACACGGCGCCCTGGTACAGGGACTCGAACCAGAGCCCGTCGCCATGGCAACAGCGGGGATGCCGATGGCGACGGCAACGCCGATCCCTACGGTACCCACGGCAAGGCCGCTGCGCGCCGTCGCCATGGCAACGCTTCCGGTCTCCATGGCAACGGGGGCATCCCCGGCCCACGGAGCGCACGGCCGTGAGCAAGGGGACGTCCTTGGGGTACTCTTGGGAATAGCGGGATACGGCCAAGCGGAGCAGGGGGGGATGGGATGAGGATGATGGGGAGGGGGAGGGGCATCCTGGCCCCTCCCCCCCGTCGCTATCGTTATCCCCTCCCCCTCCATGGAAGGCGGCGGCGGCGTAGACGAAGTAGAGGCCGTCGCGAGGGACCACGAGGCGGTTGCCATGGAGACGGATCCCGTTGCGCATCTGCGCCGGGGCCACGTCGGCCGCCCATTGGAGGGAGGGGGAGGAGGAGGAGGCTGGGGGGTGGGAGGAGGCGGGGTCAGAGCATCCTGTAGCCATAGAGCCAATAGAGCCAATAGAGCCATATCTGTATCCCGTAATAACCCCATATCCCATACCTCATACCCCATATATCCCATAATAACCCCATATCCCATATCCCAAAATAACCCCATACCCCATATCCCATAATACCCCATATCCCATATCCCATAATAACCCCATACCCCATACCCCATATCACATAATAACCCCATACCGCATATTCCATACCCCATAATAACCCCATATCCCATACCCCATACCGCACATCCCATAATAACCCCATACCCCATATCCCCATATCCCATATCCCATACCCCATACCCCATATATCCCATAATACCCCATATATCCCATAATAACCCCATAGTCCATATCCCATAATAACCCCATATCCCATACCCCATACCCCACATCCCATAATAACCCCACACCCCATACCCCATATATCCCATAATAATCCCATATGCCATATCCCATAATAACCCCATAATAACCCCATAATAACCCCATACCCCATATATCCCATAATAACCCCATATCTCCCTGCCCCATATCCCCCCACTGGCACTCACCCACAACATGAGCAGCGGGTTTGTCCCCATAGGGGTCACGCAGCAGCTTTGGTCCCGCTGTAGGGATATTATGGGATGTGGGCTATTATGGGATGAGGGATATTACGGGATATGGGATATTATGGGATGAGGGCTATTATGGGATGAGGGCTATTATGGGATGAGGGATATTATGGGATGAGGGATATTACGGGATATGGGATATTATGGGATATGGGATATTATGGGATGTGGGCTATTATGGGATGAGGGATATTATGGGATGTGGGGTTTGGGAATCGTCTCTCACCCATCAATGGGGGAATCGGCAGCTCTGGGGATTCCTGTGGGGAGAGAGGGGTCAATGGGAGAGAGGCACCCAGGGGTACAGGGATGGATACTGGGATACTGGGATGGATACAGGGATGGATACAGGGATGGATACAGGGATACTGGACATACATGGACACATATATACACACATGGATACATGGATACAGCACACACACGTGGACACACACATGAACACATGGGACACACATGTAACACATGAACACATGATCACAGACACGTAACAGACACACGTGTGACACACACACATGGATACACACGGACACATGGATACACACATGGACACATGGATACAGCACACACACATGTAACACACATGAACACATGGGACACATGTAACACACATGAACACACATGATCACAGACATGTAACACACACATGAACACACACGTAACACACATGATCACACACATGTAACACACATGTAACACACACACGTAACACACATGCACACACACATGTAACACACACATGTAACATGCACAAACACACAAGTAACACACATAACACACATGATCACAAGCACATGTAACACACACACATGATCACATGATCACACACACGTAACACACATGTAACACACACACGTAACACACACACATGATCACACACATGTAACACACACATGATCACATGATCACAAGCACATGTAACACACACGATCACGTGACCACACACACACACGATCACATGACGCCCCCCTCCCCCACCCGCTCAGCTCCGGGCTCCCGGGCTCGGCTCAGCCCCAGCCCCAGGATCAGGATCGGGGCCAGGATCGGGCCCAGGCGCGGGGCGGGGGCGGGGCCAGGGCCGGGGGGCGGGGCCATGGCTCCGGCTGCAGCTCCCGCCCCTCAGCGCGCGCGGGGCCTTTAAACCCTTGGGGGGGGGGAGGGGGGGGGATCCGGCCCCGCCCCCACCCGCGGGAACCGCAGGGGGGGAGGGGGGAGGGGGGGATTTCCCCGCCCCCGCTTCCGGCAGTTGGAGCGGGCCCGGGGGGGGTGGGGGTTTCCCGGGGGGGAGGGGTGATGGGGTGCTATGGGGTGCTATAGGGAGCTATGGGGTGTCCTATGGGGGGCTATGGGGTGCTATGGGTGTCCTATGGGGGGCTATGGGGTGTCCTATGATGGGCTTTGGGGTGCTGTAGGGAGCTAAGGGGCACTATAGATGTCCTATGAGGGGCTATGGGGTGCTATGGGGCGCTACAGGGAGCTATGGGGTGCAATGGAGCAATATGGGGGGGCTATGCGGTGTCCCATGATGGGCTATGGGGTGCTATGGGGTACTATGGGGCACTATGGGTGTCCTATGGGGGGCTATGGGGTGTCCCATGATGGGGTATGGGGTGCTATGGGGTACTATGGGGCGCTATGGGTGCTATGGGGCGCTATGGGTGTCCTATGGGGGGCTATGGATGTCCTATGGGGGGCTATGGGGTGCCCCATAGGGATGTGGGGTTTGGGAATCGTCTCTCACCCATCAATGGGGGAATCGGCAGCTCTGGGGTTTCCTGTGGGGAGAGAGGGGTCAATGGGAGAGAGGGACCCAGGGGTACAGGGATGGATACTGGGATACTGGGATAGAGGGATGGATACAGGGATGGATACAGGGGTACAGGGATGGATACAGGGATGGATACAGGGATACAGGGATGGATACAGGGATACAGGGATGGATACAGGGATGGATACAGGGATACAGGGATGGATACAGGGATACAGGGATGGATACAGGGATGGATACAGGGGTACAGGGATGGATACAGGGATGGATACAGGGGTACAGGGATGGATACAGGGATGGATACAGGGATGGATACAGGGATACAGGGATGGATGCAGGGATACAGGGATGGATACAGGGATGGATACAGGGATACAGGGATGGATACAGGGATGGATACAGGGGTACAGGGATGGATACAGGGATACAGGGATGGATACAGGGATGGATAATGGTCTATGGGGCGCTATGGGGGGGTCCCATAATGGTCTATGGGGCGCTATGGGGCACTATGGGGATTCCAGGGGGATTCCAATGGGTCCCGGGGTGGTTTGGGGATGTCCCATGCCACCACACAAACACCACCAACACCACCAACACCACCAATGAGCTATGGGGCGCTATGGGGTGTTCCATGATGAGCTATGGGGCACCCCCGTGGGTCTGGGGCATTCCAGGGGGGTTCCAATGGGTCCCATGAGGAGCTATGGGGCAGAGGGTGGGGGCCCCATGGGGTGGTTGGGGGGAGAAACCGAAGCTGTGGGGCCGGATGTGGGGCAGTCCCAGGGGAAGCCATGGGGCGGATGTGGGGCAGGATGTGGGGGGGGCCTGACTCTCATCCTGTTCCAGGGCCCAGGCATAGGGGTCACAGAGGAGATGGTGTAGGGCAGCCCCCTGAGCCCCACAGCTGCCCCCCACATCTATGGGGCAGGGAAGGGTCTATGGGGCAGAAGCAGGGCTATGGGGCAGATCTATGGGGCTATGAGGCAGATCTATGGGGCAGACCTATGGGGCTATGAGGCAGACCTATGGGGCAGGGAAGGGTCTATAGGGCAGATGTGTGCCTATGGGTAGGTCTAGTAGGCAGATCTATGGGGCAGATCCTGGGCTATGGGGTAGACTTATAGAGCACATCTAGGGGGCAGGGAAGGGTCTATGGGGCAGATCTATGGGGCAAATCCAGATCTATGGGGCAGATCAATGGGGCAGATCCAGATCTATGGGGCAGATCTATGGGGCAAATCCAGATCTATGGGGCACATCTATGGGGCAGGCTCTATGGGTCGGTCTCTATGGGTCACTCTCTATGGGGCAGCCCCACGCTGCTCTCCCCTATGGCGACCTCGCTGTGGGGTACAAGACTGGGGGAGGGGCGTGGCCTCCCCCCGCGCACGCGTGGCCCCTCCCCCTTCCCCCTCCCCCCCCCGGCCCCTCCCCCTTCCCCCTCCCCCCCGCGCACGCGCGGCCCCTCCCCCCATGCCCCCCGCGCAGGCGCAGCCGCGCTCCGGGCTCTGATTGGCTGCTGCGGGGCAGGGGAAGGGGGCGGGGCCTCGGGGACCGAGCGGCGCCTGCGCGGAGCGGGGCCGGAGCGACCCCGAGAGCGGTGAGGGGGGGGAGGGGGCTCCGGGGGTCAATGGGGGTCAATGGGGGGCTATGGGGGGCTATGGGGTGTCTATGGGGGGCAATGGGGCTCTATGGGGGGCTATGGGTGTTCTATGGGGGTCTATGGGGCCTATGGGGGGTCTATGGGGGTGAATGGGGGTGGATGTGGCTCTATGGGGGGCTATGGGGTTTCTATGGAGGCCAATGGTGCCTATGGGGGTTCTGTGGGGCTCTATGGGGGTCTGTGGGGGTCAGTGGGGGCTATGGGGGTTAGGGGTTATGGGGCTCCATAGGGGCCTAAGGGGGTTCTGTGGGGGTCAGTGGCATTCTGTAGGGTGCTATGGGGTTTCTATGGGGGCCTATGGGGGACTATGGGGCGCCAGTGGGGCTCCATAGGGGCCTAAGGGGGTTGTATGGGAGTCAATGGCAGTCTATGGGGGGTCTATGGGGCTCCATAGGGGCCTATGGGGGTCAGTGGCGGTCTATGGGGCTCTATCGGGGGCTATGGGGTTGCTATGGGGCTGTATAGGGGGCTATGGGGGTTCTGTGGGGCTCTATGGGGGGGCTATGGGCCTCTATGGGGGGCTATGGGCCTCTATGGGGGGCTATGGGGGTCAATGGGGCTCTATGGGACTCTATAGGGAGCTATGGGGGTTCTATGGGACTCTATGGGGGTTCTATGGGGCTCTATGGGGGGCTATGGGGTTTCTATGAGGGCCTATGTGGGGGCTATGCAGCTCTATGGGGTCTGTGGGGGCTATGGGGCTCTGTAGGCCCCTATGGGTGTCTGTGGGTGCTTATGGGTCGCTGTGGGTCGTGAATGGAGGTCTGTGGGTGCCCATAGGTCCCTATAGGGTATCTATGGGGGGCTATAGGGTATCTATGGGGGGCTATAGGGTATTTATGGGGGGCTATAGGGTATCTATGGGGAGCTATAGGGTATCTATGGGGGGCTATAGGGTATCTATGGGGGGCTATAGGGTATCTATGGGGGACTATAGGGTATCTATTAGTGTGTATAGGATCTCTATAGGTATCTGTAGGGTATCTATGGATCCCTATAGTGTGTCTATGGGTGTCTATAGGGTCTCTGTAGGTGGCTGTAGGGTCTCTATAGGTGTTTATAGGGCATCTATGGGTGGCTATAGGGTCTCTGTACATGTCTGTGGGTCTCTATGGGATCTCTATGGGTCACTATGTATGTCTATGGGTCCCTATGGTCTTTATGGGTCCCTATGGGCTCTATGGGTCCTTATGGGGTCTCTATGGTCTCTATGGGTCCCTATGGGTCTCTATGGTCTCTGTGGGTCTCTATGGTTTCTATCGGTCTTTATGGTCTCTATGGGGTCTCTATGGTCTCTATGGTCCCTATGTATCTCTATGGGTCTCTATGGTCTCTATGGTCTCTATGGTCCCTATGTATCTCTATGGGTCTCTATGGGTCCCTATGGGGTCTCTATGGGTCTCTATGGTCTCTATGGTCTCTATGGTCCCTATGTATCTCTATGGGGTCTCTATGGGTCCCTATGGGGTCTCTATGGGTCTCTATGATCTCTATGGTCTCTATGGTTCCCTATGGGTCCCTATCGGTCCCAATGTATCCCTATGGGGTCTCTGCTCCCCACAGGCTCCCCATAGGCTCCAGTGGGCGCCATGAGCAGCTCTGAGGAGGTTTCTTGGATTTCCTGGTTCTGCGGCCTCCGGGGCAACGAATTCTTCTGTGAGGTGGGGACGGAGCCAAAACCACCCAAAATAGACCCAAAATCACCCCAAAATCACCCAAAATCACCCAAAATACACCAAAACCACCCCAAATACACCCCAAATACACCGAAAACACCCCAAATACACCCAAAATACACCAAAACCACCCAAAATAGACCCAAAATCACCCCAAAATCACCCAAAATACACCAAAACCACCCCAAATACACCCCAAATACACCGAAAACACCCCAAATACACCCAAAATACACCAAAACCACCCAAAATAGACCCCAAACTGACCCCAAACCACCCAAAACAGACACAAAAACACCCAAAACCCCCATCCCCCCATTACCCCCATTACCCCCATACCCCCATTACCCCCCATTACCCCATAGCCCCCATTGCCCCCATAGCCCCTATTGCCCCCATTCCCCCCATTACCCCCATAGCCGCTATTACCCCCATTCCCCCCATTCCCCCCATTGACCCTATTGCCCCCATAGCCCCCATTCTCCCCATTGCCTCCATTACCCCATAGCCCCCATTCTCCCCCATTCCCCCCATAGCCCCCATTACCCCATTCCCCCCACTCCCCCCATTGACCCTATTGCCCCCATAGCCCCTATTGACCCCATTGCCCCCATTGACTCCCATTAACCCCATTACCCCCGTCCCCAGGTGGATGAGGATTACATCCAGGACAAGTTCAACCTCACCGGCCTCAATGAGCAGGTTCCTCACTACCGGCAGGCGCTGGACATGATCCTGGACCTGGAGCCAGGTACCGGCCCCATTGAACCCCACTGAACCCCATTGAACCCCACTGAACCCCACTGAACCCCATTGAACCCCATTGAACCCCATTGAACCCCATTGACACCCATTGAACCCCATTGATACCCACTGAACCTGAGCCCATTGCATCCCATCGTCCATTTATCCCCATTGTGTATTGAACCCCATTGACCCCATGAACCCCATTGATCCCCATGAACCCCATTGATACCCATTGAAGCCCATTGAACACCATTGATACCCATTGATCCCATGATACCCATTGAACGCCAGATCCATGAACCCACTGAACCCCATTGAACCCCATTGATCCCCATTGAACCCCATTGACACCCATTGAACCCCATTGATACCCACTGAACCCCACTGAGCCCCATTGCATCCCATCGTGTCCCATTGTATCCCCATTGTGTCCCATTGAACCCCATTGATCCCCATTGAACCCCATTGATCCCCATTGAACCCCATTGATACCCATTGAACCCCATTGAACACCATTGATACCCATTGATACCCATTGAACGCCATTGATACCCATTGAACCCATTGAACCCCATTGAACCCCATTGATACCCATTGAACCCCATTGATCCCCATTGAGCCCCATTGACCCCCATTGCATCCCATTGAGTCCCCATTGTGTCCCATTGTATCCCCATTGAACCCCACTGACCCCCATTGGATCCCATTGACCCCCATTGGATCCCATTGTGTCCCCATTGTGTCCCATTGTATCCCCATTGTATCCTATTAACCCCCATTGTATCCCCATTGAACCCCATTGTATCCCCATTGACCGCCTTTGCATCCCATTAAGTCCCCATTGTGTCCCATTGTATCCCCATTGGATCCCATTGTGTCCCCCCTTTTTACCCATTTTACCTATTTCACCCCATTTTCTCCCATTTTTACCCATTTCATCCCATTTCCCCCCATTGTTACCCATCTCACCCCATTTTAACCCATTTCACCCCATTTTAACCCATTTCACCCCATTTTAACCCATTTCACCCCATTTTAACCCCATTTTTACCCATTTCACCCATCTTTACCCATTTTACCTCTTTCACCCCATTTTAACCCAATTTTCACCCATTTCACCCCATTTCACCTCTTTTTACCAATTTCCCCCATTTTAACCCCATTTTCCACTGTTTTCCCCCATTTTTAACCATTTTCGCCTGTTTTTACCCCATTTCCCATAGATGAGGAGCTGGAGGACAACCCCAACCACAGTGACCTCATTGAGCGGGCCACCACCATTTCCCCCCATTTCATCCCATTTCCACCCAATTTTCACCATTTTCACTCAATTTTCACCCAATTTTCACCGATTTTCATCATTTTTAACCCATTTTTAACCATTTTCCCTTGTTTTCACCCCATTTTCTATAGATGAGGAGCTGGAGGACAACCCCAACCAGAGCGACCTCATTGAGCAGGCCGCCACCATTTCCCCCCATTTCCACCCAATTTTCACCAATTTCCAGCGATTTTCACCCAATTTTCACCCAATTTTCACCAATTTTCATCATTTTTAACCCGTTTTTAACCATTTTCCCTTGTTTTCACCCCATTTTCCATAGATGAGGAGCTGGAGGACAACCCCAACCACAGTGACCCCATGGAGGGGGCCGCCACCATTTAACCCCATTTTCACCCATTTCCACCCAATTTTCACCAATTTCCACCGATTTTCACCCAATTTTCACCGATTTCCATCATTTTTAACCCGTTTTTAACCGTTTTCCCTTGTTTTTCCCCCATTTCCCACAGATGAGGAGCTGGAGGACAACCCCAACCAGAGCGACCTCATCGAGCAGGCTGCAGAGATGCTCTATGGCCTCATCCATGCCCGCTACATCCTCACCAACCGCGGCATCGCCCAAATGGTGGGGACCCCCCCCCATATCCATGGGGAACCCCCAAATCCATAGGGACCCCCCCCCAAATCCGTGGGGACCCCCCCCAAATCCATGGGGACCCCCCCAAATCCATGGGGACCCCCCCCAAATCCATGGGGAACCCCCAAATCCATAGGGACCCCCCCCCAAATCCGTGGGGACCCCCCCAAATCCATGGGGACCCCCCCAATCCATGGGGACCCCCCCAAATCCATGGGGACCCCCCCCAAATCCATGGGGACCCCCCCATTCCATAGGGATCCCCTCCCCCATTCCATAGGGACCCCTCCCCCATTCCATAGGGACCCCCTCCCCCATTCCATAGGGATTTCCCCTCCCCCATTCCCATTGTTCCCATTATTCCCAGTTGGAGAAATACCAGCAAGGGGATTTCGGGTACTGCCCCCGGGTCTATTGTGAGAACCAGCCCATGCTGCCCATTGGTAATGGGGGTAATGGGGGGCTATGGGGGGCAATGGGGGGGACAATGGGAGGGCAATGGGGGGTAATGGGGTGATGGGGGTAATAGGGGGGAGTGGGGTGGCAATGGGGGGTAATGGGGGGGCAATGGAAGGGCCAATGGAGGGGTTATGGGGGTAATGGGGGACAATGGGAGGGCCAATGGGGGGGTAATGGGAGAGGCAATGGGGGGCAATGGGGGGCAATGGGAGGGGCAATGGGGGGACAATGGAGGACAATGGGGGTAATAGGGGGAATGGGACAATGGTGGGGCAATGGGGGTGAGATGGGAGGGGCAATGGGGGGTCTATGGGAGGGGTAATGGGGGGCAATGGGGGGACAATGGAGGGAATGGGGGAACAATGGGAGGGGCAATGGGAGGGGCCATGGGGGGCAATGGGAGGGGCAATGGGGGGGTAATGGGGGAGCAATGGAGGGGGCAATGGGAGGGGTAATGGGGGGTAATGGTAATGGGGGGCAATGGTGGGCAATGATGGGATCAATGGGGGATTTGGGTTCTCAATGGGAGAGCATCATAGAAGTGAATGGGATGTTCAATGGGGGGGGTTTGGGAGGGGTCATGGGGTCGATTCCGCCCCATAGGGGTCGATTCCACCCCATAGGGGTCAATTCCCACCCCATAGGGGTCGATTCCTACCCCATAGGGGTCAATTCCCACCCCATAGCACCCCCATTCCCCATTGCCCCCCCTAGGGCTCTCGGACATCCCCGGCGAGGCCATGGTGAAGCTCTATTGCCCCAAGTGCATGGACGTCTACACCCCCAAATCCTCGCGCCACCACCACACCGACGGCGCCTACTTCGGGACGGGGTTCCCCCATATGCTCTTCATGGTGCACCCCGAGTACCGGCCCAAGCGCCCCGCCAACCAGTTCGTGCCCAGGTCTGGGGTACTGGGGTGCAATGGGGGGGGGGGTATAGAGCCATTGAACCCCATTATACAGCCCCAATATAGAGCCATTGATCCCCATTAGAGAGGCACTGAACCCCAATATAGGGGCATGGAACCCCATTATAGGGGCGTTGAACCCCATTAGAGAGCCATTGAACCCCATTATAGGGGCATTGAACCCCATTAGAGAGCCATTGAACCCCATTAGAGAGCCCTTATAGAGCCATTGAACCCCATTAGAGAGCCCTTATAGAGCCATTGAACCCCATTATAGAGCCATTGAACCCCATTTCCCCCCATAAACCTCGTTTCTCCTCCATAAACCCCATTTCCCCCCCATAAACCCCATTTCTCCCCGATAAACCCCATTTCCCCCCCCATAAACCCCATTCCCCCCCCATAAACCCCATTCCCCCCCCATAAACCCCCTTTATCCCCCCATAAACCCCCTTTAAACCCCATTTCCTCCCATTAACCCCATTTCCCCTATAGGCTCTATGGCTTCAAGATCCACCCCATGGCCTACCAGCTCCAGCTCCAGGCCGCCAGCAACTTCAAGAGCCCGGTCAAGACCATTCGTTAATGGGGTACGGGGGGGGCAGGACCCCAAAACCCCCCCTCCCCCACCCCCCTCTGCCCCTCCCCCACCCCCCTCCCCCCCTCTGGAGCCCCCAAATGGGCTTTTTTGTGCCCCAAAATACAAAGAGAAAACGGAAACGGGGTTTAAATGGGAACTGGGGGGGGGAGGAGGGGGTGTTTTCCATAACCCATAATAGTGTATATCCCATAATAACTTCATATCCCATAGCCTATACCCTATATTCCATAATAACCCCATAATCTATAACCCATACCCCATATCCCGTACCCCATACCCCATAATAACCCCATATCCCATAATAACCCCATATCCCATAACAACCCCATACCCCATATCCCATAATAACCCCATATCCCATAATAACCCCATATCCCATAATAACCCCATATCCCATAATAACCCCATACCCCATATCCCATACTCCATATGCCATATTCCATAATAACCCCATATCCCATACCCCATAATAACCCCATAGCCCATAATAACCCCATACCCCACACCCCATATCCCATACCCCATATCACATAATAACCCCATATCTCATACCCCATATCCCATAATTCCATATCCCATAATAACCCCATATCCCATAATAACCCCATATCCCACATCACATAATAACCCCACATCCCATAATAACCCTATAATAACCCCATATATCCCATAATAACCCCATAACTCCACATCCCATAATAACGCCCCATCCCATAATAACCCCCCATCCCATAATAACCCCATACCTCCATCCAATAATAACCTCATAATAACCTCCTATACCCCATAATAACCCCACATACCCCATAATAACCCCCCATGGTATTATGGGATATGGGATTATTATGGGTTATGGGGTTATTACGGGCCGTGGGCACCGTGGGGCTCAGCTCGCACTTGGGGGGCGTCTGGGGGGGGTCCCTGACCCAGCTGTGGGTCTATGGGGAGAAGAAGGGGGGAGGCCCCCATATATGGGGCAGAAAGGGGGTGTGACCCCCATATGTAGAGCAAAGAGGAGAGGGTGACCCCCATATATGGGGCAAAGGGGGGGTGACCCCCATATATGGGGTAAGGGGTGGTTGTGACCCCCCCAAGTGTGGGGCGGGGCCTCACCGATGACGTCAAAGGTGTCATCAGAGCTGGATGACGTCACAGGGGGCGGGGCCTCCCGTCCCCTCCTCCCCCTCCCACTTGGTGCAATGCAGGGAGGCTCCGCCCCCGAACCCCATTGGACGAGGAGCGCTGTGGAGAGCCAATGGGCATCAGTTGTGGGGGGGGGGAGCAGGAGCCGCGGCCCCGCCATCGCTTTCGCTTTCACTTCCTGGCCACGCCCCCCTACCCTCCTCCCATTGGCTGCCCGTAGAGCGCTTGGCTCCGCCCCCTCCCCATCCGCTTGGCCCCGCCCCCAGGAGGCTCCGCCCTGCGTTCATCAGCGTTAATTAAAGGCGTTTACAATTACAATGCGGGGGTCACGTGACCCCGGGGTGGGGGGGAGGGGCACATACAGCAACAGTGACATTGGGGGGGAGGGGGGGGATATTATGGGGTACATGGGGGGGGTGGGACCAGATGTGATGGGACCTGAGCATCCAGATGTGCTGGGTACCAGTGTCCAGATGGGATGGAGCCTAATGCAATGGCCCCCATTGGTCCAGATGCAATGGTCCCCATTGGTCCAGATATGATGGACCCTAATGCAATGACTCCCATTGGTCCAGATGCAATGACTCCCATTGGTCCAGATGTGATGGAACCCCATTGGTCCAGATGCAATGACTCCCATTGGTCCAGATGCAATGACTCCCATTGGTCCACATGCAATGGTCCCCATTGGCCCAGATGCAATGACTCCCATTGGTCCAGATGCAATGGTCCCCATTGGTCCAGATGCAATGACTCCCATTGGTCCAGATGCAATGGCCCCCATTGGTCCAGATGCAATGGCCCCCATTGGTCCAGATGCAATGGCCCCCATTGGTCCAGATGCAATGACTCCCATTGGTCCAGATGCAAAGGCCCCCATTGGTCCAGATGCAATGGTCCCCATTGGTCCAGATGCAATGACCCCCATTGGTCCAGCTGTGATGGCCCCCATTGGTCCAGCTGTGATGGCCCCCATTGGTCCAGCTGTGATGGACCCTGATCCAATGACCCCATCAATCCAGATGTGATGGATCCTAATGCAATGACCCCCATTGGTCCAGATGTAATGGGCCCCATCAATTGAGATGTAATGGTCCCCATAGGTCCAGATGTGATGGACCCTAATGCAATGACCCCCATTGATCCAGATATAATGGGCCCCATTGGTCCAGATATGGACCCTGATGCAATGAGCCCCATTGGTCCAGATGCAGTGACCCCCATTGGTCCAGATATGGACCCTGATGCAATGACCCCCACTGGTCCAGATGTAATGGCTCCCATCAGTTGAGATGTAATGGTCCCCATTGTTCCAGATATGATGGACAGTGATGCAATGACTCCCATTGGTCCAGATGTAATGGGCCCCATCAATTGAGATGTAATGGTCCCCATTGGTCCAGCTATGATGGAACCCCATTGATCCAGATCTGATGGACCCTGATGCAATGGCCCCCATTGGTCCAGATGCAATGACCCCCATTGGTCCAGATGTAATAGTCCCCATTGGTCCAGATGTGGTGGACCCTAATGCAATGACCCCCATTGGTCCAGATGCGATGGACCCCCAGTGTCCAGATGTGATGGACCCTAGTACAATGACTCCCATTGGTCCAGATATAATGGCCCCCATTGATCCAGACGTGATGGACCCCAATGCAATGACTCCCATTGGTCCAGATGCGATGGCCCCCATTGGTCCAGATGTGATGGACCCCCCCAGTGTCCAGATGTGATGGACCCTAATACAATGACTCCCATTGGTCCAGATGCAATGACCCCCATTGGTCCAGATGCAATGGCCCCCATTGGTCCAGATGCAATGGCTCCCATTGGTCCAGCTGTGATGGTCCCCATTGGTCCAGATGCAATGGCCCCCATTGGTCCAGCTGTGATGGAACCCCATTGGTCCAGATATGATGCACCCTAATGCAATGACCCCCATCGATCCATATGCAATGACCCCCATCAATCCATATGCAATGCTCCCATCACTCCATCTACACCCCCACCCCCACCCCACCCCCTTTCTCACCCATCCCCCCCCCTCCCCCTCCCCCCACCCCCACCCCCCCCTTTCCCCCCCCTCCTCTCGCAATGGCCCCGGTGCCGCACGAAGCTGTCTCTCCACATGAAGCGCTTGGCGCAGGCCGGGCACTGGTAGGGCTTGAGGCCCGTGTGGGTCTTGGTGTGCTCGCTCAGGTGATGCTTCATCTTGAAGCGCTTGGCGCACACCGGGCAGGCGAAGGGCCGCAGCCCCAGGTGCATGTTCACGTGCCGGTCCCGCATGCTCCGGTGGCTGAAGGCCTTGCCGCAATGGCACGGGTAGATGCGGGCGCCGTCGCCGTGGGGCGATGGGGAAGGGAGGAAGAGGATGGGGTTGGGTTGTGGGGAGGAATGGGGGGGGATGGCGACGGTGTCGTCCAATGGGTCGTAAGGAGGGGGGAAGTCGGCGGAGGATTCGCAGAGGTTGACTTGGTCAGCCAATGGGGCGGGGAGGGGATCGGCGGCCGGGGAGCGCAATGGGGTGGTGATGGGGTCGGCACCATGGACAGCATTAGGGGACCTCAGTTGGGTGCTGACCCCATCAGCACCATGGACAGCGCTTGGGGACCTCAATTGGGTACCAATGGGTTCAGCACCATGGACAGCATTAGGGGACCGCAATGGGGTACCAATGGGTTCAGCACCATGGACAGCGCTTGGGGACCTCAATTGGGTGCTGATGGGGTCAGCACCATGGACAGCATTAGGGGACCTCAATTGGGTACCAATGGGGTCAGCACCATGGACAGCATTAGGGGACCTCAATTGGGTGCTGACCCCATCAGCACCATGGACAGCGCTTGGGGACCTCAATTGGGTACCAATGGCTTCAGCACCATGGACAGCGCTTGAGGACCTCAATTGGGTGCTGACCCCATGGGCATCAGGGGACCTCAATTGGGTGCTGACCCCATGACCATCAGGGGACCTCAATTGGGTGCTGACCCCATGGGCATCAGGGGACCTCAATTGGGTGCTGACCCCATGGGCATCAGGGGACCTCAATTGGGTGCTGACCCCATGGGCATCAGGGGACCGCAATTGGGTGCTGACCCCATCAGCACCATGGACAGCGCTTGGGGACCTCAATTGGATGCCAATGGCTTCAGCACCATGGACAGCGCTTGGGGACCTCAATCGGGTGCTGACCCCATCAGCCCCATGGCCACCATCGGGGGGCTTCATCTTGAGCCCCCCAACCCTGGTTCCAGCCCCATTGGTTGACCTCAATTGGGTACCAACCCCATCCTCCCCATAGCCCGCACTTGGCGACCTCAACTGGTTGCCAACCCCATCATCCCCATGGCCCCCATCAGCCCCTTCAATGGGGTCCTCATCCTCTTCACACGTCAACACCAGATCCTCCTGCAGCCACTCCTGCTTGACGTAGACCCACTGCTTATGGGGCACGATGCTGGGTTGACCGCAAAGCCCTCCATCACCGCTTGCTTGGCTCGACGAGCACTTATGGGGCTCGGCCCCATGGTGGGGACTGAAGTAATTGGTGCTGCTGGGGGACTGCGTGCGGGTGGAATGGGCCCCCATTGATGATGATGATGATGATGGGGGGGGACCACCAAGCACCCCTCGCCCCTCTTTAAGCAGCTCCGTGCACTTGTCCACGATGTGCCACATCTGCAGCACGCTGCCCACCGTCAAGAGGTTGACCACGGCATCGGGCGCCATTGAGAGCCGCCCCGTATAGGCCGACCCCAAAACGCTCTCGAAGGCCCCCGGGTCCATGACGTTGGGGAGCACCACGGAGCTCATGTTCTTCAATAGGACCTGGTCGTGGAAGTAAGGGGACGAAGCGGCCAGGACGGCGCGATGGGCCCGGAACACGCGGCCCCGGACATGGATGGAGAGGTCGCAGAGGTGCCCGTCCAATCGCTGTTGGTTCAGGTTGGCCAAGAGGGTGCTGGGAAGGTTGGGGAAGTCCACGTGGAGTAATGGGGGGGGTGGGGATGGGGCCATGGTGGGGGTGGGGGTGGGGGAAGGGCGGAGAGAGAGGGGCTATGGGAGGGGGAGGGGAAAGGGGTGAGTTGGAGGGCGAAAAGGCATCGATTTGGGCTCAAAATCAATGGGGTTTGACTCTAAACCCATCGATTTTGACCCAAAACACACGGGTTTTGACTCTAAACCCATTAATTTTGACTCAAACCAACCGATTTTGACTCAAACCCCATGGATTTTGACCCAAAACACACGGATTTTGACTCTAAACCCATCGATTTTGACCCAAACCCCATGGATTTTGACTCAAAACCGATCGATTTCGACCCAAACCCCATGGATTTTGACTCTAAACCCATCGATTTTGACCCAAAACTCATGGGTTTTGACTCTAAACCCATTAATTTTGACTCAAACCAACCGATTTTGACCCAAACCCCATGGATTTTGACCCAAAACACACGGATTTTGACTCTAAACCCATCGATTTTGACTCAAAACCGATCGATTTCGACCCAAAACACAAGGGTTTTGACCTAAACCCCATGGATTTTGACTCTAAACCCATTGATTTTGACCCAAACCCCATGGATTTTGACCTAAACCCCTTAGATTTTGAGTCTAAACCCATCGATTTTGACGCAAAACCGATCGATTTCGACCCAAACCCCATCGATTTTGACTCTAAACCCATCGATTTTGACCCGAATCCCATGGATTTTGACTCTAAACCCATCGATTTTGACTCAAAACCGATCGATTTCGACCCAAACCCCATGGATTTTGACCCAAACCCCATCGATTTTGACCCGAAACACATGGGTTTTGACAATAAACCCATCGATTTTGACCCAAACTCCATGGATTTTGACCCAAAACACATGGATTTTGACTCAAAACTGATTGATTTCGACCCAAACCCCATCGATTTTGACCCAAACCCCATTGATTTTCACCCAAATCCCCACTTTGATCCAAATCCCCTTGATTTTGCCCCAAATCCCCTTAGTTCCGCCCCCGCCAGTCCCCATAACCCCCTCCAATGACACCCCCTATAGACCCCCAGCCCCTATAGCCCCCTGTAACACCCCTATAGCACCCCCATAGCCCCATCAAGCCCCTATAGACCCCTATAGCACCCCCATAGCCCCCTATAAGACCCCCAACCCCTATATCCCCCATAACACCCCCATAACCCCCCCATACACAGAGCCCCTATAGCCCCCATAGCACCCCCCATACCCTATAGCCCCCCATAACACCCCCATAGCCCTATAGACCCCCTACAGAGCCCCAGCCCCTATAGTCCCCCATAACATGCCTATAGCCCCCAGCCCCTAGAGCCCATAGCCCCCTATAGCCCCCCTATAGCCCCCCCATCCTTCCCATAACACCCCCATAGCCCCCCCATAGCTCCCCATAGCCCTCAGCTCCTATAGACCCCCCATACCCCCCTCTTACACCCCACCCCCTATAGACCCCCTACACACACCCTATATGCCCCATAGCACCCCTATAGCCCCTCCATCCCCTATAGCCCCCATAGGCCCCCAACCCCTATAGCCCCCATAACACCCTTACAGCCCCCCATCCCCTATAGCCCCCATCAGACCCCCAAGGCCTCATTCCCATAACACCCCTATAGCCCCTCCATCCCCTATAGCCCCCCTCCATACCCCCTACACCCCCATCCCCTATAGCCCCAATAACACCCTTATAGCCCCTACATCCCCTATAGCCCCCATAGCCCCTACAGCCCCCATAGGATCCCAGCCCTTATGATCCCCATAGCACCCCTATAGCCCCTCCATCCCCTATAGCCCCCGTAACACCCCTATAGCCCCTCTATAGCCCCCACAGGACCCCATCCCTTATGATCCCCATAACACCCCTATAGCTCCCCCATCCCCTACAGCCCCCATAGCCTCTCTATAGCCCCCATACCCCCTCCATTCCCTATAGCCCCCCATAGCCCCCCCTTACACCCTATATCCCCCCCCACCCCCCCCTATAGCCCCTATAGGTGTCCCCCCCCCATGCCCCCCCCTCCCGGCCCCGCCCCGGCCCCGCCCCCCGCTCACCCGCTCGCTGGGGCTCAGGGCGCCGCCGCCGCCGCCATCTTGCCCCGTGGCCACGCCCCCCTCCCCTTTTCCCCGCCCCCCCTTTCCCCGCTCCATATATGGAGGCGGAGGGGGCGGAGCCAAGCGCGCGCCCGCGCCCGCTCTTAAAGTGACCGCGCGGCAATAACAAAAGAGAGCCTTTATTGGAGGGGGGGCGTGGCCAGGCCGGAAGGGGGGCGGGGCTTGGGGAGAGGGGGCGGGGTTTAGAGAGGGGAAGGGGGCGGGGCTAATCCGAGTCCGAGAGCACGATGATCTCCTCCGGGTCGCATTGGGTCGCCACGCTCATCTATGGGGGGGGAGGGAGAGTGTGGAGACCCCCATAGCCCCCCCATCGACCCACATTGACCCCAATTACCCCCCATTGACCTCCTTGCTCTCCATTGACCCCCCATACCCCCCATTACCCTCCGATAGCCCCCCATTACCCCCACATAGACCCCCATTATCCCCCCATAGCACCCCCATAGACCCCCATTATCCCCCCATTACCCCCCATAGACACCCATAGACCCCCATTTACCGCCCATAGACCCCCATCTCCCCCCATTACCCCCATATCCCCCCCATACCCCAATATCCCCCCATTACTCCTCCATTACCTCCCATTATGCCCCCATCACCCCCATAGACCCCCATTATCCCCCCATTACCCCCCATAGACACCCACAGACCCCCATTTACCGCCCATAGACCCCCATCTCCCCCCATTACCCCCCATATCCCCCCCATTACCTCCCCATCACCCCCATATCCCCCCCATTGACCCCCCCATATCCTCCCCCATACCCCCCATTACCCCCCCATATCCCCCGCTCCTTCCCATCACCCCCATATCTGCCCCCATTGACCCCCCCATATCCTCCCCCATACCCCCTCCATAGACCCCCATTTCCCCCCATACCCCCATTTACCCCCATTACCCCCCATTACCTCCATACCCCCCATACCCCCCCATCACCCCCCCATTGACCCCCCCCATATTCCCCTACGGACCTTGCAGGCCTTGCGGCTGTTCCGGTAGCGGGGGCTCCCCCCGCTGCTGCTCACCACCTCCCCCCCGGGGGAGTCAGCGCGGGTCGAGTCCGGCACGGGGCTGTTCCGGGAATGAGCTCCTCCTCCCACCGCTGCTCCGCCCCCTCCGGCCTCGTCCTCGTCCTCGCTGGGAACCTCGATGCAGGGGCTGCGGGAACAGCGGTGTCACGTGATGTGAGCCGCATCATGTGACTGCACCCCCCCATTGAGCAACACAGAGGTGCACAGAGGCACCCCCATAGAGACCCCATAGACACACATATACCTCCCATAGACCCCCCAATAGTCCCCCATATGCCCCTCCTTAGACACCCATATACCCCCCCATAGAGCCCCCCTTAGACCCCAATATGCCCCCCATAGATTGCCATAGACCCCCCCCATAACCCTCATATACCCAATAGACCCCCATATACCCCCAATAGAGACCCCCATAGAGACCCCCATATACCCCCCATAGACCCCCCATAGAGACCCCCATATACCCCCCCTTAGACCCCCATATACCCGCCTTAGACCCCCATATACCCCCTATAGAGACCCCCATAGACCCCCCATAGACCCCCACATACCCCCCATAGACCCATCATATACCCCCCATAGAGCCCCCGTTAGACCCCCATAGACTCCCATATACCCCCCTTAGACCCCCATATACCTCCCATAGACCCCCATATACCCCCCTTAGACCCCCATATACCCCCCAATAGACCCCCCCTTAGACCCCCATATCCCCCCCTTGGACCCCCATATACCCCCCATAGACCCCCCATAGAGACCCCCATCTGCCCAGTCAACCACCACATATCCCCCATAGACCCCCCCATAGCCCCCCCATACCTTCCCCCCCCATGCATCTCCCTCCGGCTCTTCTTATGGGGGGGCACGGGGGGGTCCCCCCCTTCCTCGGCGCTCCCATTGCAGCTGGTGGAGCTGATGGTGGCCCCCCCCCCTCCGGCCCCATTCTCCAATGGGAACCCCCTTTTCCCTATGGGATGCAGGCAAAAAGGGACCCGGAAAGTGGGGGGACCCCCCCCCAAAACCCCCATAACCCCACATTGGGATAAGGAAGATGGGGATCGGGAACGGGGGGGGGAAACCCCTTTGGGTTTGGCTTCGGACCCCCCCATCCCTTCTATAGGATGGGGGGAATCTGGGGGGGTCTCATTGGGTTCCATGGGCAAGGTCTCGATCTCCACCATAAAGAGCTCCTCTGGGGTCTTGGGCATCACTTCCATAGGGACAACACCTTGGGATGGGGGGGGGGATGGTTAAAATGGGGGGGGGGGGGGGCACCCCCATTTTACCCCTATCCCCCCCCACCAATGGGTGGTACTGACCTGGTACAATGGGGGGCTCCTGCTTGGCTTGGTGATGGGGGGCATCAACTGCATCCTTGGTAATGGGGGCATGGGGGGCTTCAGCTTCCCCTTTGGGGCTCCCATAGGGGATGATGGGCTTGGGGGTGGTGTCTTCATCATCCTCATCCTTTATATAGGGGGTATTGGGCTCTATGGGGTTTCCATAGGGGATGATGGGCTTGGAGTTGGTGCCTTCATCATCCTCATCCTTTATATGGGGGGCATTGAGCTCTATGGGGTCCCCTATGGGGATGCTGGGCTTGGAGGTGGTGCCTTCATCATCCTCATCCTTTATATGGGGGGTATTGAGCTCTATGGGGTCCCCTTCATCCTCTTCCTCCCTCTTCCCATGGGAGCCATTGGAGCTGCCCCCTTCCTCTTCCTCCTCCTCCTCTTCCTCCTCCTCCTCTGTTTCCTCCTCTGTCTCCTCCTCTTCCTCTTCCTCCTTGGCCTGGTTCTTCCCTGCGGTGCCCTATTGGATACTGGGGTTCAGTTGGGACTTGGGGTCCCCCCACCCCATAACCATGCTCTATGGGTGCCCATGACCATGCCCTATGGGTGCCCATGACCATGCCCTATGGGTGCACCCCCATAACCATGCCCTATGGGTGCCCATAACCATGCCCTATGGGTACCCATGACCATGCCCTATGGGTACCCACGACCATGCCCTATGGGTGCCCATAACCATGCCCTATGGGTACCCATAACCATGCCCTATGGGTGCACCCCCATAACCATGCCCTATGGGTACCCATAACCATGCCCTATGGGTGCCCATAACCATGCCCTATGGGTGCACCCCCATAACCATGCCCTATGGGTGCCCATAACCATGCCCTATGGGTGCCCATAACCATGCCCTATGGGTACCCATACCCCATAGACACCCATACCCCATAGACACCCATCCCCATAGACACCCATCCCCATAGGCACCCATACCCATAGACACCCATCCCCATAGACACCCATCCCCATAGGCACCCATACCCCATAGGCACCCATAGGCACCCATACCCATAGACACCCATCCCCATAGACACCCATACCCCATAGGCACCCATAGGCACCCATCCCCATAGACACCCATCCCCATAGACACCCATACCCCATAGACACCCATCCCCATGGGCACCCATACCCCATAGACACCCATACCCCATAGACACCCATCCCCATAGACACCCATACCCATAGACACCCATACCCATAGACACCCATCCCCATAGACACCCATGGGTGCTGCTCACCCGCCGCCGCTTCCTGCCCCTCTCCTCCTCCTCGCTCTCATCCTGTAACTGGGCATAGTGGGAGATGACCTGGTCCAACCGGTTCAGCGCCACCGTCCTGTTCCGCCGCAGCCTCTTGGCCAGTTCGGGGTCCATCAGAGCCGGATCGCTGCCTATAGGGGAATAGGGGGGGTCAGACAAGGGGGTGATGGGCACCTAAGGTGCCATTGGGTCTCTATGGGGAGCTATGGGACTTCTATGGGGTCCAGCATCCTCTATGGGGTCCGGCATCCTCTATGGGCTCCATCACCCTCTATGGGCTCCAGCGCCCTCTATGGGCTCCATCACCCTCTATGGGCTCCAGCGCCCTCTATGGGCTCCGTCACCCTCTATGGGCTTCGTCATCTTCTATGGGTTCTATCACCCTCTATGGGTTCCATTATCCCCTATAGGTTCCATTATCCCCTATAGGTTCCATTATCCCCAATGGGCTCCATCGCCCTCTATGGGCTCCGTCACCTTCTATGGGCTCCATCTATGGGCTCCATCGCCCTCTATGGGCTCCATCGCCCTCTATGGGCTCCATCACCCTCTATGGGGTCCAGCATCCTCTATGGGCTCCATCACCTTCTATGGGCTCCATCTATGGGCTCCATCGCCCTCTATGGGCTCCATCGCCCTCTATGGGCTCCATCACCTTCTATGGGGTCCAGCATCCTCTATGGGCTCCATCACCCTCTATGGGCTCCATCACCCTCTATGGGCTCCATCACCTTCTATGGGGTCCAGCATCCTCTATGGGCTCCATCACCCTCTATGGGCTCCGTCGCCCTCTATGGGCCCCACTGGCCTCTTATGATCCCTTCCATGCTCTCCATCACCCCCTTGTCCTCTCCATCACCCCCCCACCATCCCCATCACCCCCTTCTGACCCCATTCCCCCCCCTTTTACCCCTTCCCCTAGCCACGATCGTGATCCGTGGGATCATTCCCAGAAGCATAGACCAGATCCAGGTGCCTCCTCTCCTGCAGCCGATTGCCCACCTCCCGGAACGCATCCTGCGCCATGCTCTCCATGTGCTTCCTGCCCAGCGCCAAGCGGTGGCGCCCGTTGGCCTTCTGGATCACCTTGAGGATGTCCCCGTAGTCGGGGAAGGCGTCGGGGCGGTTGATGAAGCGCTCGATGCGGCGGTTGACCTCCGGGTAGCGGGTGCCGCGGTAGGGGATGCGCTGCTCCACCACGCGGCCCGTGAGGCTGCTGCAGCGCTTGAGCTCGCACAGGCGGTGGAAGATCCTCATCATCCTCCTCTTGAGCCGGCTCTCTTGCAGGTAAGCGGAGTCTTCACTGTCTAATTCAGCCAGATCCAGCTCCCGCTCCTGCAAGCGCCGGATCTCCCCGGTGTAGACGCGGAGCAGGTTCTCCAGGTAGCGGATCTGGCGCTTGGAGCCGCTGGGTGGTGATGGTGGTGGTGGTGGTGGTGGTGGTGTGGGTGTACTGGGGGGCACTGGGGCGGTGGGCACGGGGGTCAAAGGGAGCTTGCGGCGCAGGGAGTGGGCCTTGAGGGTGGTGCAGAGCTCGTTGATGTAGACGTAGACCTTGGGGCGGCGGCGGCGGACGCGGCGCAGGCAGCGGGTGAGGACGTTGCGGAGCTCGGCCGAGGAGAGGAAGGAGGGGGAGGTTTTGCGGTGGCGGGAGGAGAGGAAAGGGAGGACCTCGGGGTGGTCGGAGGTGAGGGGGGTGCAGAGGGAGAGGAACTGGGGAGAGAGAGGGGGGGTGAGGGGGGTGATGGGAGAGGGGATGGGGATGGGGATGGGGATGGGGATGGGGATGGGGAAGAGATAGGGATGGGGTGGGGATGGAAAAGGGATGGGGATGGGGATGGAGAGGGGATGGAGAGAGAATGGGGATGGAGAGGGAATGGGGATGGAGAGGGAATGGGGATGGAAAAGGGAATGGGGATGGAGATGGGATGGGGACGGGAAGGGGACGGGGATAGAGATGGGGATGGGGAAGAGATGGGGATGGAGAAAGGGATGGAGAGGGGATGGGGATGGGGATGAGGAGGGGATGGGGATGGGATGGGGATAGAAGAGGGATGGGGATGGGGAGGGAATGGCAAGGTGATGGAAAAGGGATGGGGATGGAGAGGGGGAAGGGATAGAGAGGAGATGGAGATGGGAGAGTGGGATGGGGATGGGGAAGAGATGGGGATGGGGGAGAGGTGGAGAGGGAGATGGGGATGGAGAGGGGATGGGGAGGGAATGGAAAGGGATGGGGAGGGGGATGGGGATGGAGATTGAGAGGGGATGGGGATGGAGATGGAGAGGGGATGGAAAAGGGATGGGGATAGAGAGGGGAGAGGGAGGGGATGTGGATGGGGATGGAGAGGGGATAGAGATGGGGAGGGGATGGAGATGGGATGGGGATGGGAGGGAGATAGGATGGAGAGCCAAAGTGGACATAGGGGTGATAGAGAGGGGATGGGGATGGAGGTGGGGAAGGGATGGGGATGGAGAGGGGATGGGGATGGGGAGGAGAGAAAGAGAGGGGATTGAGACCACAAGCACAATGTAGAGGACATGGAGAGGGGATGGGGACCATGGGGGGGGAACCATGGAGAGGGGATGGGGACCACAAGTACAATGCAGAAGGGATGGAGGGGAGATGGAGGTGCCAAGGGGGACATGGAGGGGATGGGGATGGGATGGGTACCACAATGGGGACATGGAGGGGATGGGGATGGGATGGGTACCACAATGGGGACATGGAGGGGATGGGGATGGGATGGGTACCACAATGGGGACATGGAGGGGATGGGGATGTGTACCACAAGGTTGACATGGAGGGGATGGGATGGGTACCACAATGGGGACATGGAGGCGATGGGGATGCCCCCCCCAACAGGAAGTGCCCCCCCAAACCCCCCCATCCCCCCCTTACCTCTCCAAAGAGCCGCTCATTCTCCTCCTTGTACCCCCCTTCTTTCCCCCCTCCCCCACTCGGGGGGGTCCCCGGGGGGTCCCCATTGCTGGAGGTGGGGGCGGGGGGGGCCGGGGAGGTCCCCGAAGGCCCCGGGGGGGTTGGGGGGGCCGGGGGGGGGCCCTCGTCTTCATCATCCAGGACAATGACGCTGCCTTGGGGGGGGGCGGCCGCCATGGGGGGGGCAATGGGGGGGCCCCGGGAAAGGGGAACCCCCCCTTGGAGCCTCACGGGGGAGCCTGGGGGGGGGGGAAAAAGGGGGTCAGGACCCTAAAATAGCCCCATTGGGACCCAAAATAGCCCCGTTTCACCCCAAAACAGCCCCATTGGGACCCAAAATAGCCCCATAGAGGCCCAAAATACCCCCCTGGACCCAAAATAGCCCCTTTGTGACCCAAAATACCCCAACTGCGCCCCAAAATAGCCCCATTGGGACCCGGAATACCCCCCTGGACCCCAAAATAGCACCATTACACCCCAAACCAGCCCCATTGAGCCCCATAATACCCCCCAGACCCCCAAATAGCCCCATTGTGACTCAAAATACCCCCCTAGACACCAAAATAGCCCCATTTTGACCCAAAATAGGCCCATTTTGACCCCAAAATGGCCCCATTGGGACCCAAAATACAGCCAGGACCCCAAAATAGCCTCATTGTGACCCAAAATACCACCTTAAACCCCAAAATAGCCCAATTGTGACCCAAAATAGCCCCATTGCGACCCAAAATACCCACCTGGACCCCCATATAACGCAATTGTAACCCAAAATACCCCCTTAAACCCCAAAATAGGCCCATTGTGACCCAAAATACAACTAGGACCCCAAAATAGCCTCATTGTCACCCAAAATACCACATTAAACCCCAAAATAGCCCCACTGGGACCCAAAATAGACCCATTTTGGCCCAAAATACCCCTCTTGACCCCAAAATAAACTCATTGTGTCCCAAAATAGCCCCATCGGGACCCAAAATACCCCCCTGGACCCAAAATATCCCCATTCTGACTCAAAATAGCCCCCTAAACCCCAAAATATCCCAATTGTGACCCAAAATAGCCCCCTAAACCCCAAAATAGCCCAATTGTGACCCAAAATAGCCTCCTAAACCCCAAAATACATACAGGTAAACCAAAGTAGCCTAAACCCTAAAATAGCCCCATTGGGATGTGAAATACCCCCTGGACTCCAAAATAGCCCCTTTGTGACCCAAAATCGCCCCGTTGCGACCCAAAATAGCACCTTTGTGACTCAAAACACAGCCAGGACCCCAAAACAGCCCCATTGGGACCCAAAATACCTTCCTGGACCCCAAAATACCCTCATTGTGATCCAAAATATCCCCTTGCACCCCCAAATTGCCCCACTGTGACCCGAAATAGCCCCATTGTGACCCCAAAGACCTCCCTGGACCCCAAAACAGCCCCATTTCACCCCAAAACCCCCTTTACATCGCCCTCTGCCCCCCAACTTCCCCCCGAGCCCCTCGGGGCCTACCCGGGGCCTACCCGGGGCCTGTTCCCCCCCCAACCCCCGCTCTGTTCCCGCCCCATTCCCGGTGCCCCCCCCACCTTTCCCAACGTTTCCCTTTATTCCCGGTGCCCCCCCCGTGTTACTGGTCGCCCCCCCTCCCCCCCTCAAGCCCCGCCCCCTCTTCCCCGGTGGCCCCGCCCACTCCCGCCGCTCACCTCGGTCCCGTTCCGGCGCCGCGGTACCGACCGGTGGCCGTTGCGGGCGACTGCGCAAGACCGGAAGTTACTTCCGTTGTCGCTCGTGGGCGCCGCCATGACACCGTACAACCGGCGTGCGCAGCCAATCAGAGCGCCGCGTTGCATCCGGGGACTCCAGCTCCGCTGAGAGACAACGGGGGCGCGGGGGGCGGCGGAGAGAAGGGCGCCGCCATTTTGGTCTCACCCCCCCTCACCCCCCCCCCCCCCCCGCGGTTCGGAACCACGCAGGCTCAGCCCCGCAGCACCGGGAACCGGAACCGGAAGCGGGACCGGGGATGGGTCCCGGGTTCTGTCCGGTAGCGCCGGCCCCGCCGCTGAGGGCGAGCGGAGAAGCGGGCAAAGCGCAGGCGCAGAGGAGGGAGGTAAAATGGCGGCGGCCTGAGGCGCTACGGTGGCCGAGAGGGGGCGGCGACGGGCGCCCTCTGCTGGCGCGGTGGCGACAGAGGCGCGGATAAAGGGGGCAAAACCTCAACTTTTAGCGCAGGATTTCACCAAAAATGAGAGGTTTTAGAGGAAAAAAGGGGGTGGGGGAAGGGAGAGAAGCGTCCGGAGGGGGATTTGGGGTTAATTCCTCATCATTTCGTTAATTCCCCCTTCGTTTTATTCCTCCTTTTACTCCGATTTTCTCAATTCCCCTTTTAATTTTTCGCGTTTCGTTCCCATTTTATCAATTCCTGTTTTTTTTTCCCCTTCAATTTCGTTTTTTGATTTTTTTGAATTATATTAATCATTTTGAAATTAATTGCCCTTTTCCCCGTTTTTTGGTACTTTCAGCATCGTTTCCTCAATAGGTTGCTCTATTTCAGAAGCTCGTTTTGATAAAATGACGTCATTTTTGAGCGCATTTTGTCGCTTTTCAGTACTTTGCTCTAGATTTATAAAATTCTTTCCATTTTATGAGTGTTTCTTTTTTTTCCCCATTTTTCCCATGAATTTGGGGTTTTATTTTAAAGATTGGGCCCGTTTTCACCCCAAATTTAAGGCCAAGCCCTGGATTCGGACAGAAAACGGGGAGTTTGGGGTCAGAAATGCCCATTTTGGGCTCAAAAACACCCGTTTTGTGGCCCGAAAACGCCCCTTTTTTGGTCCGTACACCGCCTTAGACCCAGCACCGGAAGTGCGCCCCTACGGGCGCCGCCATGCTGCCGTACAACCAATCAGCGCTCAGCATCCCCGGCTCTACCTCCCCGAATGGGCGCCGCCATCTTCCCCCGTACACGTGACCGCCCTCAACCAATCAGAACCAAGTACGGCGAGCTCTTTATTATTGACGTACAAAATAGGGGGGCGGGGCATGGGGGGGAGGTCCCCCCCGAACCCGCCACGTGACGCCCTCCATAACCCCCATTGGATGCCAAAGAGACACACCCCCTGTCGATCAAACCGCGCGCTGATTGGCCGCGGCCCTGCCGAGCCCTCCAATCGGCGGGCGCTCTGCGGCGGCGCTGAACCAATCAGCGGCGAGAACCTGCAGTGGGGGGTGGGACTTACCCTACACCGCTAGGGGGCGTGTCCTGAGCCACGGAGGAGGCGGAGGGGGGGCGTGGCTTGGCGGGCGGGCCGCCTTGATTGGCTGGGGCGTGGCTTGTGCCATGCAGTGATTTGGGGGCGTGGCCAAGGGGCCCCGACGGGGCCGCCCCATTATGGGGGGGGGGGGGGGGGCTCTTATTCCCTCCCCCCCTTGTCCTATGGGGGGGGGGGCCTGGGGGGGGTCCCCATTTCCGCCGTCCCTCCCTGCCCCCCCCCATGGCCCCCCCCCCGTTCCCGTCCCCCCCCCTCCGCTGCCGCCGTTGCTGCGTCACGGCCCCGCGCTGCTGCCACCGGTTGGGTCCCGCTGTTACCGGTAACCCCCGGGGGGGGGGGGGGGAATGGAGGGGTAGGAGGGGGCCGGGATTTGGGGCTCCCCCCCTCCCCCACTTCCCCCTCCCCCCCACGCAAGCACCGGGACGGGACCAACCCCCCCCCCCCCAACTCGGACCGAACCAAAGCGGGACCCCCCCCAACACCCCCCCTCCATACTGGGGTCCCCCCCATTTTGACCACCCCCATTCAGGACCCCCCCTATACTGCCCCCCCCCATTCTGGATCCCCCCCATTCCGGATCCCCCCAATTCCATTTCCCCCCCCACCCCCCATTCGGAACCCACTAAACCGGGACCCCCCCATTTGGAACCCCCCCAAACCAGGACCCCCCTAAACCGAGTCCCCCCCATAATGGGAGCCCCCATTGAGAACCCCCCATATTGGGACCTCCCACATTCAGAACCCCCCTAAATTGGGACCCCCCCATATTGAGAGCCCCCTATTTAAAACCCCCCATATTGGGACCCCCCTATAATGGGACCCCCCCATATTAGGACCCCCTCATAATGGGACCCCCCCATTCAGAACCCCCCTAATTGGGACCCCCCCCATTCAGAACCCCCCTAAATTGGGACCCCCCATTTAGAACCCCCCATATTGGGACCCCCCCAAAATGGGACCCCCGCCATTGGGATCCCCCCATTTAGAACCCCCCATATTGGGGCCTCCCCATATTGGGACCCCCTCATACTGGGACCCCCCCATTCCACCCCCCTCTTATGGAGGTACCCCCCCCATCCCATTTCCTTTATGGGGGGGGGCACAGTAAGATGCCCCCCTTTAACCCCTCCCCTCCCATCCGTAGCCATGGCAACCGAGCCGGCCCCGCCCCCCCCGCGCCCCCCCCGCTGCCCCCCCCGCTATTGGGAGGGCCAGGACGTCCTGGCCCGTTGGACCGACGGCCTCCTCTACCTGGGCACCATCAAAAAGGTGGGTGAACCCCCCCAAAAACACCCCAAAACACCCCAAAAACACCCCCAAAACACCCCAAAGACCCCTCCAAACACCCCAAAATACCCCAAAATACCCCCAAAACACCCCTGAGACCCCTCCAAACACCCCAAAACACCCAAAAACACCCCAAAATACACCAAAACACCCCAAAATACCCCCAAATACCCTAAAACACCCCAAAATCACCACAAAACCACCCCTGAGACCCCTCCAAACACCCCAAAACACCCCAAAACACCCCAAAACACCCCAAAATACCCCAAAATCACCCCCAAACCACTAGCCCTCAAACTCCCAGTAACACCCCAAAATACCCCAAAATCACCCCAAAATGACCTCTCCCCCCCCAAGGTGGATCCCAGTCGCCGTGGTTGCCTGGTCCAGTTTGAGGACAATTCCCAGTTCCTGGTCCTATGGAAGGACATCAGCCCAGGTACCCCCCCCCCTTATAATTAACACCCCATAATTAACATGCCCCCCATCATTAACACCCCCCAATTATCACCCCCCATTCATTAAGGCCCCCTTTGCTCATTAATTAACCCCTCATTAACCCCTCATTGACCTCTCATTAACCCCTCATTCACCCCTCATTGACCCCTCATTAACATCTCATTAACCCCCCATTAACCCTCCAATCCCTGCAGCCGCGGTGCCAGGGGAGGACCAATCCTGCTGCGTCTGCTCCAGCCGGGCCCTGAGCGCCCACAACCTCCTGGTGCGGTGCTCCAAGTGCGGCCACGGTGGGTGCCCCCCTTGAACCCCCTTAAACCCCCCTTAAACCCTCTTAAACCCCCTTGAGAGCTCTTAAACCCCTCTTAAACCCTCTTAAACCCCCCTTCAGAGCTCTTAAACCCCCCTTAAAGCCCCTTAAACCCAACCTAAACCCTCTTAAACCCATCCTAAACCCACCCTAAACCCTCTTAACCCCTCCTTGAGAGCTCTTAAACCCCTCTTAAATCCAACCTAAACCCTCTTAAAGCCTCTTAAACCTCCCTTGAGGCCTCTTAAACCCCCCTTAAACCCTCTTAAACCCTTTGAGGCCTCTTAAACCCCCCCTAAACACAACCTAAACCCTCTTAAACCCCACTTGAGACCTCTTAAACCCACCTTGAGACCTCTTAAACCCACCTTGAGACCTCTTAAACCCACCTTCAGAGCTCTTAAACCCACCCTAAACCCTCTTAAACCCAACCTAAACCCAACCTAAACCCTCTTAAACCCTCTTAACCCCCCCTTAAGACCTCTTAAACCCACCCTAAACCCTCTTAAACCCCTTGAGCCCTCTTAAACACTCTTAAAGCCCCCTTGAGGCCTCTTAAACAACTCTTGAAACGTTTTAAACCCACCTTAAACCCTCTTAAATCCCCTTGAGGCCTCTTAAGCCCAACCTAAACCCTCTTAAACCCACCATAAACCCTCTTAACCCTCCTTTAGCCCTCTTAAACCCCCCCTAAACCCCCTTAAACCTCCTCAAAACCCTCTTAACCCCCCTTGAGCCCCCTTAAACCCCTTTGAACCCTCTTAAACCCCCCAAAACCCACTTAACCCCCTTCAAACCTCTTAAACCCCCGTTTTCCCCTCTTAACCCCACCAAAACCCTCTTAAACCCCCCTAAAACCTCTTCACAATCTCCTGACATCACCCCCTAAAAGCTCTTAACCCCCTAAAACCCCTTAAACCCCCCCAAAACCCCTTTAACACCTCTTAAACCCCCTTTTTCACCCTCTTACTCCCCATTAAGAGCTTTAAACCCCCAAAAGAGCCCTTAACCCCCATTAAGAGCCCTTAACACCCATTAAGATCCCTTAACCCCCTTTAAGAGCTTTTAACCCCCCGTTAAGGGCTTTTAAACCCCCCATTAAGAGCCCTTAACCCCCATTAAGAGCCCTTAACCCCCGTTAAGAGCCCTTAACCCCCATTAAGAGCCCTTAACCCCTCATTAAGAGCCCTTAACCTCGTTAAGAGCCCTTAACCCCCATTAAGATCCCTTAACCCCCATTAAGAGCCCTTAACCCCCCTTTAAGAGCCCTTAACCCATTAGCCCTTAACCCCCATTAAGAGCCCTTAACCCCTTTAAGAGGTTTTAAACCCCCCATTAAGACCCCTTAACCCCCATTAAGACCCCTTACCCCCCATTAAGACCCCTTACCCCCCCATTAAGATCCCTTACCCCCCATTAAGACCCCTTACCCCAACCCCTTACCATTAAGATCCTTACCCCATTAAGACCCCTTACCCATAAAGACCCCTACCCCCATTAAGAGCCCTTAACCCCCTAGACCCCTTACCCCATAAGCCCTTCCCCATTAGAGCCCTTAACCCCCATTAAGACCCCTTACCCCCCATTAAGAGCCCTTACCCCCCATTAAGAGCCCTTACCCCCCATTAAGAGCCCTTACCCCCCCAGCCTACCACCAGCAGTGTCACCGCCCCCCCGCGCCGCTAGGGGCGCCCTGGATGTGCCGCCAATGCGTGTTCGCCGTCGCTACCAAGGTAACGCCCGGGGGGGGGGTCACATCCATAGGGAAGAGCCCATTATGGGGATGGGGGGGTCACATCCATAGGGAAGAGCCCATTATGGGGATGGGGGGGTCAGATCCATAGGGAGAGCCCATTATGGGGGGGTCAGATCCATAGGGAAGAGCCCATTATGGGGATGGGGGTGTCCATAGGGAACCATTATGGGGATGGGGGGGGTCAGATCCATAGGGAAGAGCCCATTATGGGGATGGGGGGGTCAGATCCATAGGGAAGAGCCCATTATGGGGATGGGGGGGGTCAGATCCATAGGGAAGAGCCCATTATGGGGATGGGGGGGTCACATCCATAGGGAAGAGCCCATTATGGGGATGGGGGGGTCAGATCCATAGGGAAGAGCCCATTATGGGGATGGGGGCGTCAGATCCATAGGGAAGAGCCCATTATGGGGATGGGGGGGTCACATCCATAGGGAAGAGCCCATTATGGGGATGGGGGGGGTCTGGTCCATAGGGAAGAGCCCATTATGGGGATGGGGGGGGTCAGATCCATAGGGAAGAGCCCATTATGGGGATGGGGGGGTCACAGACACCCCAATATCTTCCCTTTACAGCGGGGGGGGGCCCTCAAGAAGGGCCCCCACGCCAAGGCCATGCTGAGCATGAAGGTGGTGCTGCCCTATCAGCTGAAGGCTTTGGAATGGGACCCCCCCCACTTAGCCAATCGGCAGCAGTGTTATTGCTACTGCGGGGGGCCTGGAGAGTGAGTAACACCCCCCCCCATCCCCATTGTATTTTGGGGGTCCCCCCCCATTGACCCCCCTTTATCCCCCCCCACCCCTTAAGGTGGAACCTGAAGATGCTCCAGTGCCGAGGATGCTCCCAGTGGTTCCATGAGGCTTGTACCCAGTGCCTGAGCAAGCCCCTGCTCTATGGGGACCGGTGCGTATTGGGGGGGCACCCCCCCATAGAGCATCCCTAGACATGGATATTGGGGTGCCATCCCCGTTGAAATGAATGGGGGGGGCTCCCATTGAAGTGAATGGGGACACACCCCCACATTGAAATGAATGGGGGGGGACCCCCCCATTGAAATGAATGGGGACACCCCGCCCACATTGAAATGAATGAGGGGGGGCTCCCATTGAAATGAATGGGGGGGCTCCCATTGAAGTGAATGGGGAGGTTTCCCCATTGAAATGAATGGGGACCCCCCCTATTGAAATGAATGGGGGGGCTCCCATTGAAATGAATGGGGACACCCCCCCCATTGAAATGAATGGGGGGGGCTCCCATTGAAGTGAATGCGGAGGGGTCCCCCATTGAAATGAATGGGGGGTCTCCCATTGAAATGAATGTGGTTGCCCCTCCACATTGAAATGAATATGGGGGGGCCCCCCCATTGAAATGAATGGGGAGGGGTCCCCATTGAAATGAATGGGGGAGGTTTGTCCATTGAAATGAATGGGGGGGGCTCCCACTGAAATGAATGGGGACCCCCCCATTGAAATGAATGGGGGGGGCTCCCATTGAAATGAATGGGGGGGGAGCTCCCATTGAAATGAGTGGGGGAGGTTTCCCCATTGAAATGAATGGGGGGGCTCCCATTGAAATAAATGGGGACCCCCCCATTGAAATGAATGGGGCTCAATGCAGGTTCTATGTCTTCGAGTGCTGCGTCTGCACCGGGGGGGCCGAGAGCATCCGGAGGCTGCCCCTGCGCTGGTAAGGGGGGGGCAAAGGGGGGACCCCATCTATGGGGCACCCCATAAGTAGTAATGGAAGGGGGGGGTACCCTAAAACAGCGCCTATGGGGCTGGGGGCCTTGCATCCATCCATCAGTGCCTATGGGGGGGGCACCCCCAATCCGAGCTCTCTCCCCTCACACCCCCTCCCCATATTGGGGTACCCCCATGTTTTGCCCCCCCCCCTTTCCCACTCCCCTCATATATATGGGGGTCCCCCTCCCCTTATCCACTGTGTATTCCTTGGGGCAATTCCCATCTATTTCCCCCATTCCCCCCAATTTCCCCCATTCCCCCCTCAATTTCACCCATTCCAACCCAATTTTACCCATTTCCCCCCCAATTTCCCCCATTTCCCCCCAATTTCAGCCATTCCAACCCAATTTTACCCATTTCCCCCATTTCCCCCCCATTTTCCCCATTTCCCCCTCAATTTCCCCCATTTCTCCCCAGTTTCACCCATTCCCCCCCAATTTCCATTTCCCCCAATTTCCTCCCCAATTTCCCCCATTCCCCCCCATTTCCCCCATTCCCCCCCTATTTACCACCATAACCCCATATTTTGGGGTCCCCCCTCCATCCCTCAGCCCAATCCCCATCCCTTTCCCCCATCCCCCTCAATTCCCCCCATTCCCCCCAATTCCCCCCATTCCCCCCTCAATTTCACCCATCCCCCCTCCATTTCCCCCGTCCCCCCTGTTTTGGGGGTGCCCCCCCAGGGTGGATGTGGCGCATCTCCTCCTCTATCACCTGAGCGTGTGCTGCAAGAAGAAGTACTTCGACCTGGAGCGGGAGATCCTGCCCTTTGCCAATGCCAATTGGGATGCGCTGCTGCTGGGACAGGTTTGGGGGACCCCCCCCTCCCCTTCCCTGTACCCCAATAATACGGGGGTTCCCCCCCCCCTCCATTTCACCCCCTGTTTGCATCCCCACAGCTGGCGGAGACCCCCAAAGGGGAGCGCTATGGGATGCTGCTGGGGGCGCTCAGTGCGCATAAGGACAGGTAAAGGGGAGCCCAATGGGGACCCCCCCATGGGTACCCCAATAGTGATGGATGGCCCCTATGGGTATCCCAATAGTGATGGATGACCCCTGTCGGTACCCCAATAGTGATGGATGACCCCTATGGGTATCCCAATAGTGATGGATTACCCCTGTGGGTACCCCAATAGTGATGGATGACCCCCCATGGGTACCCCAATAGTGATGGATGACCCCCAATGGGTAACCCAATAGTGATGGATGACCCCTATGGGTACCCCAATACTGATGGATGACCTCCAATGGGTAACCCAATAGTGATGGATGATCCCTATGGGTACCCCAATAGTGATGGATGATCCCTATGGGTACCCCAATAGTGATGGATGACCACCAATGGGTACCCCAATAGTGATGGACCCCCCCCCATGGGCACCCCCAAACCCCTTTAGGACCCCCCAAACCCCTTTAGGACCCCCCCAAACCCCTTTTCCCCCCCCCCAGGTTCATCTCAGGTCGTGAGATCAAGAAGCGCAAAGGCCTCTTTGGGCTCCACAACCGGGACCCCCCCCCGGTGCCCCCCACTTCTATGGGGGGGTCCCCCCCCTCGGATCCCATTCCCCCCTCCATCACCAGGTGAGCATCAATGGGGGGAGGGGGTGTTAATATAGGGGTCCCCCCCTTTCCCCATTGAATTGAATGGGGGGACCCCCATAATTAAAAGGGGGACCCTCCCATAATTAAAGGGGGGCCACCCCATAATTAAAGGGGGACCCCCATAATTAAAGGGGGGACCCCCATAATTAAAGTGGCCCTCCCATATTAAACACCCTAATGGGGGTCTCTTACAGCCCCCCCCCAGCACAGCAGAAAGGGGGGTCCCGACGGAGACCCCCCCCACGACGGACCCAGGTGAGAACCTCCCCCCTCCCAACCCCAGCACCCCAATATTAAAGCCCCCCCATATTTAATATGGACCCCCCCATATTTAATATGGACACCCCATAATAAAGCCCCCCCCCCCGCCAGGGACCCCCCAGTGGCTCCTACAACTTCAGAAGGACGGAGGCGCGGTGCCCCCCCAGGTTTGGGGGTGCAGGGGGGGTCAATGGGGGTCTATGGGGTGTCTATGGGGTTTATAGGGGTCTATGGGGGGTCTATGGGGTGTCTATGGGGTTTATAGGTGTCTATGGGGGCTCAATGGGGGTCTATAGGGGGTTGGTCTATGGGGGGCGGGGTCAGTTTTGGCCCCGCCCCCTCCGTTGTAACGCGCCCCACAGCGCCCCCATCCGGATGTTCGCGTCCTTCCACCCATCGGCCAACACTGCCCCGAGCCTCAGGTGGGCAACTGGGGGCTATGGGGTCACAATGGGGGCTATGGGGTTGTACTAGGGGCAATGAGATCATAATGGGAGAAATGGGGTCATAATGGGAGCAATGGGATTATAATGGGAGCAGTGGGGTTGTATTGGGGGCTATGGGGTTGTATTGGGGGATATGGGGCTGTATTGGGGGCTGTGGGGTCATACTGGGGCCAGTGGGGTTATAATGGGGGCAATGGGATCATAATGGGGGCAGTGGGATCATAATGGGGGCAATGGGGTTATAATGGGGTCAATGGGATCATAATGGGGGCAGTGGGGTTGGACTGGCAGCAATGGAGTTGTATTGGGTGCGGTGGGGTTGTATTGTGAGCAATGGGATCATAATGGGGACAATGGGGTTGTATTGGGGGCAATGGGATCATAGTGGGAGCAATGGGGTCATAATGGGAGCAATGGGGTCATAGTGGGAGCAATAGGATCATAATAGGAGCAACGGGGTCATACTGGGAGCAATGGGATTGTACTGGGAGCAATGGGGTCATACTGGGACCAATGGGGCCAGATTGGGATGAATGGGGGAATGAATGGGGCTTTACTTGGGGGACTGGAACCTTATGGGGACCCCCAGGCCCATATAGAGGACCCCCCCAAGGGCTATAGGGGCCCTATATCCTCTATAGCCCCCTATATCCCCTATAGGCCCCCTATATCCCCTATAGCCCCCCTATATCCCCCCCTATATCCAGCTCCAGCCAGGACCCGGAGAGCAGCGACAGCCCCGAGCCCCGCCCCGCGCGCCGCAAGCCCCGCCCCTCCTCCCTCAACCCCGCCTCTTCCCCAAGCCCCGCCCCTTCCCCAAGCCCCGCCCCCTCCGCCCCGGCCACGCGGGTCCTGGCGCGCCGCGTGACCCTCGACGGCACCGTCCAATACCTGGTGGAGTGGGGGGGAGGGGGGATGCTTTAAAGCCCCCCTCCCCCCCACCTCCAATATGGGGGGGACCCCCCTAAAAATAGGGGGGGCCCCCCTTAAAAAACCCGATTTTGAGGGAAAAAAGTTTATTTTTATCATTCTTGAAGATATTTAAAGGGGGGGGGGGAAACCTGGAACCCCCCCCCCATAATAAAGAGCTCCAGGGCACTGCAGCCTCATGTGGTCTATGGGGACCCCCCCATTGTGTCCCCCCATTAGTGCACCCCTATTTATACACCCCCCTCCCAATAAGACCCCCCTATTAAGGACCTCCCCCCCCATTAGGGCACCCCATCACTTGATCCCCCCCACACTTAGGGGACCCCCATTTATTGAGGACCCCCCCCAATTTGGAGCTCCCCCCCACCTTTATTAAAGACCCCCACTATTTAGGCCACACCCCCTCTCCCAAACTTGGGGTCCCCCCCATTTTGGGGCTCCCCATTTATCCCCCCCATTACTGCACCCTCTATTTATAAGTCCACCCCCCAAATTAGGACCCCATTATTAAGGACCACCCCATTAAGGAACCCCTTATTAAGGACCCCCCCATTAAGGAACCCCTTATTAAGGAGCCCCCCTTATTAAGGACCCCTCCATTAAGGAACCCCTTATTAAGAACCCCTCCTTATTAAGGACCCCCCCTTATTAAGGAAGCCCTCTATTAAGGACCCCCCCTATTAAGGACCCCCCCATTAAGGAACCCCTAATTAAGCCCCCCCCTTATTAATGACCCCCCCAATTAAGGATCCCCCTTATTAAGGCACCCCTTTATTAAGCCCCCCCCTTATTAAGCACCCCCCCATTAAGGGGCTATTGAGGGACCCCCCCCATTGAACATGGGCGAGTCCACTCCCAATACGGGGGGGGGGGGTTATGGGGGGACGCTCTCCTGCACCCATTGCAGGTAGGGGGGGTTCCCTTGGGCCACGGGCACGGCCACCACCTCGGCCACCTCATAGGGATGCATTGACCTGGGGGGGGGAGGAGGGGGTAAAGGTCACCCCAAGATCACTTTGGGGTGCCCCCCCCCCATTGTGTGTGTCCATCCCCCCCCCGGGTCTCACCGGATGAACTGGGTCAATGCTGGGATGCGGGAGCTCCGGGTCTTGATCATCTGGGGGGGGAGGGGGGGGTCATTGGGGTCATTTGGGGACAGGCAAAGGGCACCATAGGGAGACACTGGGGGGGGCACTCACCAGCAGGACCTCGTTGTCCTCCTCCAGCTTCCCCTTCCAGGAGTAACTGGGGGGGGACATGGTAGGTGGGGAACCCCATATCCCATATACGCCATACCCCATATCCCATATCCCATACCCCATATCCCATACCCCGTATCCCATACCCCATATCCCATACCCCATATCCCATACCCCATATATCCCATATCCCATACCCCATATCCCATACCCCATATATCCCATATCCCATACCCCATATATCCCATATCCCATACCCCATATATCCCATACCCCATATATCCCATATCCCATACCCCATATATCCCATACCCCATATATCCCATACCCCATATATCCCATATCCCATACCCCATATCCCATACCCCATATATCCCATACCCCATACCCCATATACCCCATACCCCATATCCCATACCCCATATCCCATATATCCCATATCCCATACCCCATATCCCATACCCTATATACCCCATATCCCATATCCCATACCCCATACATCCCATACCCCATACATCCCATACCCCATATACCCCATATATCCCATACCCCATATATCCCATACCCCATATCCCATATCCCATAATAACCCCATACCCCATATATCCCATATCCCATACCCCATATCCCCCACACCCCATTCCCTCACATGGAGGTGATGTGGGGCACGACGTTCACACAAGCCGCCAGCTTCTGCTCCACCATGGCCCTGGGGGGACATCGTCACCTCGTGACCCCCCTGTGACCCCCCTGTGACCCCCCCATGACCCCCCGTGACCCCGCCGTGACCCCATGACCTCACCTGGCCAGCTCCTTGGCCACGGTCTCATTGGGGCAGGTGACGAAGGCGGCCGAGACGGTGCCGGGGGCGTAGGGGTCACCGGGGGGGTCCCCGGGGGGGTCCCGGGGGGTGGAGGCCATGGAGAGCAGGCGCCGGCCCAGCCCCTGCAGGGTCACCGTCAGCGTCACCAGTGCCAGCGCCTGTCGCGATAGAGATGCTGTGTCGCGATAGAGGTGCTGTGTCGCGATAGAGATGCTGTGTCGCGATAGAGATGCTGTGTCGCGATAGAGATGCTGTGTCGCGATAGAGATGCTATGTCGCGATAGAGATGCTGCGTCGCGATAAGAGAGGCTGTGTCACGAGGGAGATACGGTGCGATATAGATGCTATGTCGCAACACAGGTGCTATGTCGTGACAGCGATGCTGTGTTCAGATATTCTACGTTGAGTTGTGGTGTGATATAGATGCTATGCCGCCATACAGATGCTATGTCGTGATAGAGATGCTGTGTCACAATGGAGATGCTGTGTTACAAAGAGATGCCATGGTGTGATATAGATGCTATGTCACGATAGAGACGCTGTGTCATAATAGAGATGCCATGGTGCGATACAGATGCTATCTCACAATAGCACCAGGTCTGTCACAATAGAGATGCTGTGTCACAATAGAGATGCTGTGTTACTATAGAGATGCCATGGTGCGATACAGATGCTATCTCACAATAGCACCAGGTCTGTCACAATAGAGATGCTGTGTCACAATAGAGATACTATGTCTCTGTCTGTCACGATAGAGATGCTATAGAATCATAGAATATGACTGTGTGTGTCCGTGTGTGTCGTGATAGAGACGCTATGTGCATGTCTGTTGCAATAGAGATGCTGTTACTATAGAGATGCTATGTCCATGTCCGCCGTGATAGAAATGCTGTGTCATGATAGAGATGCTGTGTTCGTGTCTGTCACGATAGAGATGCTGTGTCACAATAGAGATACCATGTTGTGATAGAGATGCTACATCATGATAGAGATGCTGTGTCACAATAACACCATGTCTGTCACAATAGAGATGCTGTGTTGTGATAGATGCTATGTCATGATAGCACCATGCCTGTCATGATATAGATGCTGTGTCGTGATAGCACCATGTCTGTCACAATATAGATGCTATGTCACAATAGCGGTGCTATGTCACGATAGAGATGCTATGTCACAATAGCACTATCCCTGTCACAATATAGACACCATGTAGTGATAGCACCGTGTTTGTCACAATATAGATGCCATGGCACGATACAGAGTCTATGTCGCGATAGCCCTGTGTCACGATACACCCCCCCTCCCCCCCCCGTCACGACAGCCTGGCTATGGGGCAGGGAACTCACCCCCAAGACCAACTTCATGTGGGGCAGAGCCGCTGCTGTCCCGTCCTGTGGGGAGAGATGGTCAGTGCGCCCCACAGCTGCCCCACAGCCCCCCTTGCCCCATACAGAACCTGCCAGCCCCATATACAGTCCCCAGCCCCATACAGAGCCCCTCCAGCCCCACATTCAGCCCTATATACCATATACAGCCCCATACACCGCATACAGCCCCATATACCATACACAGTCCCATAAACAGCCCCATATACCGTACATAGCCCCATATACAGCCCCATATACCGTACACAGCACCATATACAGCCCCATACACCCCATACAGCCCCATACACCGTACACAGCCCCATATACAGCCCCATATACCGTACACAGCCCCATAACCAGCCCCATATACCGTACATAGCCCCATAAACAGCCCCATATACCGTACACAGCCCCATAGAGCCCCATATGCCCCATACAGCCCCATAAACAGCCCCATATACCGTACACAGCCCCATAGAGCCCCATATGCCCCATACAGCCCCATAAACAGCCCCATATACCGTACACAGCCCCATAGAGCCCCATATGCCCCATACAGCCCCATAAACAGCCCCAAATACCGTCACAGCCCATCCCCCATGCCCCCACCCCATAAACAGCCCCATATACCGTACACAGCCCCATAGAGCCCCATCCCATAGAGCCCCATATCACGACCCCCAAGCCCCACATCCAGCCCCCCCCCCCAAACCTCCTCTCCCCCCTCCCCCGCCCGTACCCGCCGCCGCACGCGCCGCTCGGCGGCCGCCCCCACGTGACCCGGCTGGCCCCGCCCCCTTCCCCGCCCCCGCCGTGCGCGTCACCGACAGGCACCGCCCCCTGTCCCGTTACGTCATCGGAAGGGGGCGTGGCCAAAGTGGGGACGTTGGAGGGGGGGGTGAATGGGGACGCTGGGAGCCAGTGATGGTACTGGTGTTATACTGGTGTTGTGCTGGTGCGATACTGATGGGATACTGGTGCGATACTGGTGTTGTACTGGTGCGATAGTGATGGGATACTAGTGCGATACTGGTGTTGTACTGGTGCGATACTGATGGGATACTGGTGCAATATTGGTGTTGTACTGGTGCGATACTGATGGGATACTGGTGCTGTACTGGTGCGATACTGGTGTTGTATTGCTGCGATACTAGTGCGATACTGGTGTTGTACTGGTGCGATACTGGTGGTGTACTGGTGTGATACTAGTGCGATACTGGTGGTGTACTGGTGCGAGCGATACTGATGGGATACTGGTGTTGTACTGGTGTGATACTGATGTGATACTGGTGTGATACTGGTGTGTCTGGTGAGATACTAGTCCCATTGGTGTCACTGGTGTTATACTGGTATCACTGGTGCCACTGGTATGATACTGGTGCCATTAGTGTCACTGGTGTTATACTGGCATCACTGGTGTTATACTGGTATCACTGGTGCCACTGGTATGATACTGGTGCCATGGGTGTCACTGGTGTTATACTGGTATCACTGGTATTGTATTGGTATCACTAGTGCCACTGGTATTATACTGGTGCCATTTTTGTCACTGGTGCCAATGGTGTCTCTAGTGTTACACTGGTGTCACTGGTGCCACTGGTATTATACTGGTGCCATTGGTGTCACTGGTATCACTGGTGCCACTGGTGTTATACTGGTGCCATTGGTGTCACTGTTATTATACTGGTATCACTGGCGCCACTGGTATTATACTGGTGCCACCGGTATCACCGGTATTGCACTGGTCTCACTGCTGCCATTGGTGCCAACGGGGCCCCTTAAACCCCCCCCATTCCCCTCCCCCCCTTTAATCCCCTCCCCCAAACCCCACCCCCACCCCCTCCTCCCACGCCCCCCCTTCCTCCTCCATAGCCCCTCCCCCCTTCCTCCCACGCCCCCTCCCCCCTCTCCCCCAAGCTCCTCCCCCCTCCTGGCCCCTCCCCCCTCCTTTCTTAGCCCCTCCCCCTCCCGCGGCCCCTCCCCCCGCCCCCCCGCGCCGCCCGCGCCGGGGGAAGGAGCCGTTGGAACCACCATGTCCTATGTCCCCTTCCGAGGTACCGGTAACGGGGGGGGGATGGGATGGGATCGATAACGGGGGGGGGAGGGGGTTCGGACCCGACCCCACAACCGGAGTTTGGGGGGGGGGGGCCCCGATCCGCAGCGGGGGATGCTGGGACCCGGGGATAACGGGAGACCGAGGGATGCTGGGACCCGGGATAACGGGATAACGGGGGATGCTGGTACCCAGCGATGGCGGGGGGGGGGGGGGTGGTGTGGGTACCACCACCGGGCCCGTGGGAGGATGCTGGTTACCAGTGATACCGGTGATACCGGTAACTGGGGGATGCTGGGAGGCGGTGGTACCGCAACGGGGGGGATGCTGGTACCGGGGGATGCTGGTACCCAATGGGGCCGGATACGGGGAGAGCGGGCCCGTGGGAGGATGCTGGTACCCGGTGATAGCGGTACTGGGGGATGCTGGGACCGGGAATGGGGTTAGGGACCGGGGGGGGGGGGTATCGGGACTGGAGGATGCTGGTACCCAGCAGGGCCGGTACTGGGAGGGGGGGGGAGGCCGTGGGAGGATGCTGTTACCGGGGGGATGCTGGTACCCGGTTATACCGGTACCTAAGGATGCTGGTACCATGGGGATGCTGGTACCCGGTTATACCGGTACCTAAGGATGCTGTTACCGGGGGGATGCTGGTACCCGGTTATACCGGTACCTAAGGATGCTGGTACCATGGGGATGCTGGTACCCGGTTATACCGGTACCTAAGGATGCTGGTACCGGGGGGATGCTGGTACCCGGTTATACCGGTACCTAAGGATGCTGTTACCGGGGGGATGCTGGTACCCGGTTATACCGGTACCTAAGGATGCTGGTACCGGGGGTGGTCCGGTCCTTGGTGATGCCGGTACCGGGTTGATGCTGTTACTGGGGGAGCTGGTATCGGGGCGTGGGGGGTGGGAAGTGGGGGGGGGGGGGGGCCAGGACCGTGGGAGGATGCTGGTACCCAGTGATACCAGTCCCTGGTGATGCTGGTACTGGGGGGGGGGGGATGCTGGTACCCGGTTATACCGGTAACGGGGGAATGTAACCGGTTCCATGTCCGGTTCCGGTACCGGTGTGGGGGGGGGGCATTAGGATGAGGGGGGGGGGTCCCCAGGGCCTGGCCTGACCCACTTCCAAAATGGGGCCGGGGCTGGGGGGGGGCCACGGCCTCCCCCCCCTCCATAGCGTGGGAGGCCCCCCCCACCCTGGAGCCCCCATGGACCCCATTTTGACTCCACACCCCCCCCATGGACCCCATTTAGGCCCTCACCCCCCCCCATAGCACCCATAGACCCCATTTTCCACCCCTCCCCATATCACCCATGGACCTCATTTTGCCCACCCCATAGCACCCAAAGACCCCATTTTGGAGCCCCCCTTTAAAGACCCCATTTCCCCCCCCCACAAGCACCCCTTTTTCCCCCCCACACCCTAAACCACCCAAGGACCCCATTTTGATCCCATAGCCCCACCCTGAAGCACCCATAGACCCCATTTTGAGCCCCCCCCCCGTTACCAAGGCAACGCCGGGATGCAGGATGCTGGTTGCATTGGGGGTATAGGGATGTAAAAGGGGGGGGGGGAAGGGAAAGGAGCATCTCTATGGGGAGGAGGGGGAAGGGCGCCCCAGATGTGACCTTTTGCCCCCATGGGGGGGACCCCCAGATGTGCGAGGCCCCCCCCCTTTGGCACGCGGGCCCTACGCCCCCTCCCCCTACGAGCGGCCGCCCTGGAACCCCCGGTTCTGCATCATCTCCGGGAACCAGCTGCTGATGCTGGATGAGGAGGAGGTGAGGGATGAAGGAGGAAAAGGGGGGTGCATTACATTGGGAATAATGGGGGGGGGGGTTCCTATTGCTCGGTTTATTCCCCCCCCCGTTTTTCCCCTATCGTTATCCCAGATCCATCCTTTGCTCATCCGGGATCGAAGGAGCGAACCGTGCCGGAGTAAACTGCTGCGCCGGACCGTCAGTGTCCCGGTGGAGGGGAGGCCCCATCCCGAGCACGGTACCGGATATAGGGGGGGGGGGTCCCCGATATGGGTTGGACCATGTTAAGTTGGGGGGGGTGGTTTAAACCCTTTAACCCCCCCCCGTTTTCCATCCTCCTTTCCCCACATTGATGCCGCTCCTAGAGCTCGGCCATCCCATAATGCTCGCGGGAGGCACGCATGGCTGCCCGGCAACCGTTGCTAGGGAAACCCCGCGGGGGGGGGGGGGGGGGGGAAGAAAGGGGAAGGGAGGGGGGGAGGGGAGGGGGTTGGTCCTTACCCCCCCCCCCCCGCAAAACACCCCCAAAATGGACCAAGGGGGGTCCGAGGTCATGACCCCGCCCCCCCTCCCCCCCCTTCCAAATCCCTCCCCCTCCTTTTCCCATCCCCCCCCCCCCGTTTTCCCATCCCCCCCCAATGGACCCAGGGTTCCGAGGTCATGACCCCGCCCCTCCCCCCCCCCCTCCGTGGGTGGCCTTTGGTAGGGGGAGGGGACACGAGGGGACACATGGAAGGAGGGAAGGGGGGGGAGGGCCCCCGGAGGCTCCGCCCCCCTCCCCTTTAGCCCCGCCCCCTCCCCGTTTCCCCCCGGTGCGTTGTGACGGCGCCGAACGCGTTGCCATGGGAACGGGATGGGGATGGGGATGGGGATGGGGATGGGGATGGGGGGGGGAGGGTGACACCCGCCGGCGCCCATCACCGTGGTCTCCAGCACCGGTGTCGCCAGTGCCACCCCCTCCCCATGGCCACCAGTGTCACCAGCATCACTGTCCACTGTCACCAGTGTAACCAGTGCCACCAGCATCACCATCCAGTGTTACCAGTGTCACCAGTGTCACCATCATCACTATCCTCTGTTACCAGTGTCACCACTGTCACCATCATCACCATCATCACCATCCACTGTTACCAGTGCCACCAGTGTCACCATCATCACCATCATCACCATCCACTGTTATCAGTGTCACCAGTGTCACCATCATCACCATCCAGTGTTACCAGTGTCACCATCATCACCACCCATTGCAACCAGTGCCACCACTGTCACCAGTGTCACCATCCATTGCAACCAGTGCCACCAGTGTCACCATCATCACCATCCAGTGCCACCAGTGTTGCCATCATCCCCATCATCCCCATCCACTGTTACCAGTGCCACCAGTGTCACCAGATCCACTGCCACCAGTGTCACCATCATCACCATCCAGTGCCACCAGTACCACCATGGCCACTGCGCAGAGAACAGGGAGGGGAGGACCAGCCATGTGCCCCCACCACCGGTGTCACCGCATCGCCACCATTGTGACCGCTGTCATCCCCAGTGCCACCAGTGCCACCCTCCCCAGTGCCACCAGTGCCACCAGTGCCACCAGTGCCATCAGCCCCATGGTCACCACCAGCCCCATCACCACCAGTGCTGCCGGTATCACCAGTGCCACCATCCCCATCACCACCAGTGCCACCAGTGTCATCAGTGCTACCTGTGCCACCATCCCCATGGCCACCACCATCCCCAGTGCCACCAGTGCCACCAGTGACACCATCCCTATGGCCACCACCATCCCTATCACCACCAGTGCCACCATCCTTGTGATCACCAATGCCACCAGTATCACCAGTGTCACCATCCCCATCCCCACCAGTGCCACCATCTCTATGGCCACCACCATCCCTATCACTGTCCCCATCACCACCATTGCCGCCAGTATCACCAGTGACCCCATCCCCATCACTAGCAGTGCCACCAGTGCCACCATCCCAATGGCCACCAGTGCCACCATCCCCACCAGTATCACCAGTTCCGCCATCCCAATGGCCACCAGTATCACCAGTGCCACCATCCCCACCAGTATCACCAGTTCCACCATCCCAATGGCCACCAGTGCCACCATCCCCACCAGTACCACCAGTGCCACCATCCCCATCACCACCAGTGCCACCATCCCCACCAGTATCACCAGTTCCACCATCCCAACGGCCACCAGTGCCACCATTATCACTGTCCCCATCCCCACCAGTGCCACCCCCCCCAGTCCATTGGCACCGCGGTGACGTCACTGCGGGTTCCCACGGGGGGGGAGGGAGGAGGGGGCGTGGCCACCGTTTCCCTTGGCAACCATCGCCCCGCCCCCTCCCCCCCCCCATCCTCCCCCCTAGGTCCGGGGCGGTGCCGCGCGCACCCGAAGGGGGGGGGGGGGGAGGGGGGAAGTGCGAAGGGGGCGGGGCCAGCGGGGCGCGCGCGGCGGGGGCGGAGCGTGAGCGCGCGGGGCGGCGGCGGCGGGAGGGTGAGTGCGGAACGGCGTGAAACGGGTCTGGAACGGGTCTGAACGGGTCTGAACTGGTGTGGAACGGGTCTAGAACGGTGTGAAACGGCTTGAAACGGTGTGGAGCGGGTCTGAAACGGGTCTGGAACGGCTTGAAACGGCGTGAAACGGGTCTGAAACGGTGTGAAACGGTGTGGAACGGGTCTGAAACGGTGTGGAACGGCTTGAAACGGGTCTGAAACGGCTTGAAACGGGTGTGGAACGGCGTGAAACGGTGTGGAACGGGTCTGAAACGGTGTGGAACGGGTCTGAAACGGTGTGGAACGGGTCCGGAACGGCGTGAAACGGGTCTGGAACGGTGTGGAACGGCTTGAAACGGTGTGAAACGGGTCTGAAACGGCTTGAAACGGGTCGGAAACGGCGTTGAACGGGTCTGGAACGGTGTGGAACGGGTCTGGAAAGGCGTGAAACGGTGTGGAACGGGGCTGAAACGGGTCTGAAACGGTGTGGAATGGCTGTGAAACGGCGTTGAACGGGTCCGGAACGGTGTGGAACGGGTCTGAACGGGTGTGGAACGGCTTGAAACGGGTCTGAAACGGGCGTGAAATGGGGCTGAAACGGGTCCGAAACGGGTCCGGAACGGTGTGAAACGGGCGTGAACCGGTTGCGAGGCTGCGTGTGCAAGGGGGGGGGTGCGTGTGCAAGCGTTTGGGGGTGACATTGAGCGTGCGCGGCCGGTGCCGAGCGTGCAAAGGCTTTGGGGGGGGGGGGCACAAGCGTTTGGGGGTGCAGGGACGTGTGCAAGGCCCATAGGGCCCATAGGGCCCGGGTACATCCCATAGTGAGCGTGCGATGGCCGGGGTGAGTGCGTGCATCCCATAGTGAGTGTGCGAGACCCGTGGTGAGTGTGCAAAGCCCCATAGGGACCATGTGGGGCCCTATAGGGACCGGGTACATCCCATAGTGAGTGTGCAAAGCCCCATAGGGACCATGCAGGGCCCATAGGGACCGGGTACATCCCATAGTGAGTGTGCAAAGCCCCATAGGGACCATGCGGGGCCCTATAGGGACCATGCACAAGGCAGAGTGAGTGTGCACATCCCATAGGGACCTGGTGCATCCATAGGGACCATGCACATCCCATAGTGAGTGTGCACATCCCATAGTGACTGCACATCCTGTAGGGAGCAGGCACATCCATAGGGACCTGGTGCATCCCATAGGGACTGGGTGCATCCCATAGGGACCGGGTGCATCCATAGGGGTCAGGCACATCCATAGGGACCTCAAGCATCCCATAGGGACCAGGCGCATCCACAGGGACCACAAGCATCCTATAGGGCCTGCAAGCATCTCATAGGGACCAGGCGCATCCATAGGGACTGGGTGCATCCATAGGGACCAGGTGCATCCACAGGGACCTTGTGCATCCCATAGGGACCTCAAGCATCCGATAGGGACCAGTTACATCCATAGGGACTTGGTGCATCCGATAGGGGCCAGTTACATCCATAGGGACCTCAAGCATCCATAGGGACCTCAAGCATCCCATAGGGACCGGGTGCATCCCATAGGGACCAATTACATCCATAGGGTCCGGGTGCATCCCATAGGGACCAGGTACATCCATAGGGACCAGGCGCATCCATAGGGACCTGGAGCATCCCATAGGGACCAGGCCCATCCCATAGGGACCAGGCCCATCCATAGGGACCGAGTGCATCCCATAGGGACCAGTTACATCCATAGGGACCAGTTACATCCATCGGGACCAGGCCCATCACATAGGGACTGAGTGCATCCCATAGGGACCAGTTACATCCATAGGGACCAGTTACATCCATCGGGACCAGGCCCATCCCATAGGGACCGAGTGCATCCCATAGGGACCAGTTACATCCATAGGGACCAGTTACATCCATAGGGACCAGCATCCCATAGGGACCAGTTACATCCATAGGGACCGTGTGTGTGAGCCGCCGCCGCCGCCCGTGGTACCCGCGTGTGCGGGGATGCGGCCGGGGACCGGGTCCCCCCCGGCTGCCCCCGGGCCTCGTGGGGGGGCCCCGGGGGGGCTGTAAACGAAAGGGGGGGGCGGAGCCATGTGGGGCCCCCCCCAACCCGGCCCCCCCTGGGCCCTACGGGGAACCCTGGGGCCCCCCCCTGGGCCCCGACTCAGCCTGGAGGGAGGCAGCAGGACCGTGGCTGGTAGGAAATGGGGGGGGGATAATGGGGGGGGTGATAATGGGGGGGTGATAATGGGGGGTGATAATGGGGGGGTGATAATGGGGGTGATGGGGATGATATAGGGGGTGATGATAATGGGGGGGATGATAATGGGGGGGTGATGATAATGGGGGGATGATAATGGGGGAGATAATGGGGGGATGATAATGGGGGGGTGATGATGATGGGGGGATGATAATGGGGGGGTGATGATAATGGGGGTGATGGTAATGGGGGGTGATGGTAATGGGGGGGATGATAATGGGGGGTGATGATAATGGGGGGGGTCTGGGATTGTGGGGAGCTGAGATTGGGGGGTGGGGTCAGGGGTAAGGGGAGGCCAAGGGCAAAGGGGGGGGTTAATGAGGTTTTGGGGGGGGTAGAGTTTAGGGGACCCTATAATTTATGGGGGGGGTAGAATTAGGGGGACATGAAGGCCAAGGGGGGGTTAAGGGTATTGGGGGGGCAGAGTTTGGGGGGACCTTGTTATGGGGGGAGGGGGTGCACTTGGGTCCTGCTGGTAGCTTAGGGGGGGGCCTCAGGGCCCTCCCCAGTACTTGGGGGACCCCTGGGTCCCATTGACCCCCCTGGGCCCCGTGAACCCCCCCATATCCCTCCCTTATCCCTCCTTAACCCCCTCCCCAACACCCTTTAATCCCCCCCTATGAACCCCATATACCCCCCTAGGACCCCCTTTGAACCTTTGGGACCACCCCATCCCCTCCAGGACCCCCTATAACCCCTCTATATCCCCATCAGGACCCCTCAATGGGAAGTGGTGGGGGGGGGGATGTTGGGGTCCCCCCCTTGTCCCCTCATGCTCTTCTATGTGTGTCCCCCCCCCCTTTGTCCCCAGATTACCACGGAGGCCGCTCCCGTAGGAAGAGCGTTCCGGGTGGGAAGCAGTACAGCATCAACATGGACGCCCCCCCAGCCCCCCCCTTCCGGCCCTCGGTGAGCACACGCCTGTCGCCATGGTTACCGCCATCCACACGCGCCATGGGTACCGCCATCCGCACACGCCTGTCGCCATGGTTACCACCATCCGCCTGTCGCCATGGTTACAGCCATCGCCTGTCGCCATGGGTACCGCCATCCACACGTGCCATGGGTACCGCCATCCGCACACGCTTGTTGCCATGGTTACCCCCCCATCACGCGTGTTGCCGGAGCATCCCGTGTGCGGGTGTTGCCGTGGTTACCGTGGCCTGCACATGTATGTTGCTATGGTTACTGCATCGTGCGCGTGGATGTTGTCGTGGGTATCCCGTCATGCTACATGTATGTTGCTATGGATGTCGGCGTGGTTATCCCATCATGCTACACGTATGTTGCTATGGTTACTGCATCGCGCTCGTGGATGTCGGCGTGGTTATCCTGTCATGCTACATGTATGTTGCTATGGTTACTGCATCGCGCTCGTGGATGTTGTTGTGGTTCTCCCATCATGCTACATGTATGTTGCTGGAGTTATTGTGGTCCCACACATACGTTGCTATGGTTACGCTGGTCCTGCACATGTATGTTGCTGTGGTTACCCCATCATGCACATGTATGTTGTCATGGTCATTCCCCTGGTCTTGCACAGACGTATGACCTTGGTTACCGTGGCCTGCACACGTATGTTGCCATGGTTACTGCATCATGCACATGTATGTCACCATGGTTATCCCATCATGCACATGTATGTCACCATGGTTATCCCATCATGCACATGTATGTTGCTATGGCCACCCCATCCTGCACACACGTATGACCTTGGTTATCCCTGTCCCTCCCATGCCTGTTGCCATGGTTACCCCCCCGTGCACACACGTGTTACCACGGTTGCCCCCATCCCACACGGCCCCTTCCCCTGCTCCTCCACACGCCTGTTGCCATGGTAACCCCGCTCCCACCTTCCCTGTCCCCATGGCAACCCCATGCTATCCGTTGCTATGGTAACCCTGGTCCCCGCACCACCCATCACCATGGTGACCCCGTTCCCACGCTCCCTGTCGCCATGGCAACCCGGGTCCTATACAACCATCGCTATGGCAAGCATGAGCACCCAGCCCCCTGCTCCTGCATCACTCGTTGCCATGGTAACCCTGCTCCTGCACCACCCGTCGCCATGGTAACGCCGTTCCTATGCTTCCCATCGCCATGGTAACCCTGACCACCCATCGTGGTAGCAGTGCTCCTATGCTGCCCATCGCCATGGTAACCTCGGCCCTACATCACCCATCACCATGGCAACCCTGTTCCCACGCTTCCCGTCACCATGGCAACCCCGCTCCTACATCACTCGTTGCTATGGTAACCCTGCTCCTGCACCACCCAGCACTGTGGTAGCCCTGCTCCTATACTACCAACACCATGGTCACCCTGACCACCTATTGCCATGGTTACCCTGGTCCTACCCCTCCATCCCCATTGTAACCCTGGTCCTACATCCTTCTTCACCATAGCAACCCCAACCACCCATTGACATAGTAACCCTGGTCCTACATCCTCCTTCACCATAGTAACCCTGACCACCCATTGACATAGTAACCCTGGTCCTACCTCCCCCATCACCATGGTCACCTTGGTCCTACATCCTCCATCACCATAGCAACCCCTACCACCCATTGACATAGTAACCCTGGTCCTACATCCCCCATCACCATGGTTACCTTGGTCCTATGTCCTCCATCACCATAGCAACCCCGACCACCCATTGACATAGTAACCTTGGTCCTACATCCTCCATCACCATGGTAACCAGGACCACCCATTGCCATAGTAACCAAGCTCCCACCTCCCCCATCACCACGGTCACCCTGGTCCTACCCCCCCCTCATCCCCATCCCCACAGCTCCTCCACCCATCCCCACCACAGTCCCCTGCACCCCCCAAACCCCTTGGCCCCCATTGATCCCCCCCCGGCCCCTTCCCCCCCCCCCCCCCCCGGGCCCCCCCATGGGCCCCTCCTTCAGCCGCCTGTACCCCAGCAAGGCTTCCTGAGCCGCCGCCTCAAGAGCTCCATCAAGCGCACCAAGAGCCAGCCCAAGCTCGACCGCACCAGCAGCTTCCGGCAGATCCTGCCCCGCTTCCGCAGCGCCGACCATGACAGGTGGGGGGTGACGGCACCGCGGCGGCAGGCGCCGGCGGTTGGTGGCATGGGGGTGGTCGGAAGGGTGGGGGTGGGGGTGGTCAATGGATGGAGATGGTCCAGTGATGGGGATGGGGGTGGTCAAGTGATGGAGATGGTCCAGTGATGGGGATGGTCCATTGATGGGGATGGTCAAGTGATGGGGATGAGGATGGTCAAGGATGGGGATGAGGATGGTCAACTGATGGGGATGGTGAAGTGATGGGGATGAGGATGGTCAAGTGATGGAGGTGGTCACGTGATGGGGATGGTCCAGTGATGGGGATGAGGATGGTCAGCTGATGGGGATGGTCAAGTGATGAGGATGGTCAGCTGATGAGGATGGTCAGCTGATGAGGATGGTCAAGTGATGGGGATGAGGATGGTCAACTGATGAGTATGATCATGTGATGGAGATGGTCAAGTGATGGGGATGAGGATGGTCAAGTGATGGAGGTGGTCAAGCGATGGTGATGATGATGGTCAGCTGATGGAGATGGTCAAGTGGTGGGGATGAGGATGGTAAAGTGATGGGGATGGTCAAGTGATGGGGATGAGGATGGTCAGCTGATGGAGATGGTCAAGTGGTGGGGATGAAGATGGTCAGCTGATGAGTATGATCATGTGATGGAGATGGTCATGTGATGGAGATGGTCAAGTGATGGTCCTCATGCTGTGATCACCCTATTTTAGGGTGTCCCCTCTTCTGGGGGTGACCCCAGACTCCCACATCTGGGGGGCCTTGGTGGTGGGGGGGGGTCCCCATGGGAGGTGCCATTGGTGGGGTTGGGGGGGGTGACTCCCGGGTGTCCCCCCACGTTGTCCCCCCCCCAACCCAGGGCCCGGCTGATGCAGAGCTTCAAGGAGTCCCATTCGCACGAGTCCCTGCTGAGCCCCAGCAGCGCGGCCGAGGCTCTGGAGCTGAACCTGGACGAGGACTCCATCATCAAGGCTGTGCACAGCAGCATCCTGGGCCAGGAGTTCTGCTTCGAGGTGGGGATCAGAGCCCTGGCCCTCACCGTGGGGTCCGGTCGGCGCCATTGATGGGTGGATGGGTGGATGATGGATGATGGATGGATGATGGATGATGGATGGATGGGTGATGGATGGATGATGGATGGATGGGTGATGGATGGATGATGGATGGATGGATGGATGATGGATGGATGGTGGATGGATGATTGATGGATGGTGGATGGATGATGGATGATGGATGGATGATGAACGCTCGATGGGGTTTGACCATCTTCAACCCCCCCCTCTCAAGGTGACCACGGCTTCTGGGACCAAGTGCTTCGCCTGCCGCTCGGCTGCTGAGAGGGACAAATGGATCGAGAACCTGCAGAGGGCTGTGAAGCCCAACAAGGTGAGGGGCAGCTGGTGGGGATGGGCAAGGGGTGGGGATGGGAATGGGCAATGGATGGGGATGGTCAAGCAGTGATGATGATCAGCTGGTGGGACAAGGATGGTTAATGGGTGGGGATGGTCAACTGGTATGGTTAAGAATGGTCACTGGTGAGGATGTTGATGGTCACTGGTGGGGATGGGGATGGTCACAGATGGGGATGGGGATGCTCATTGATGGGGATGGGGATACTCAGTGGTGGTGATGGGGATGCTCATTGATGGGGCTGAGGATGCTCATTGATGGGGATGTGGATGCTCATTTATGGTGATGGGGATGCTCATTGATGGGGATGGGGATGCTCACTGGTGGTGGTGGGGATGCTCATTGATGGGGATGGGGATGCTCACTGGTGGTGATGGGGATGCTCATTGATGGGGATGAGGATGCTCACTGGTGGTGATGGGGATGCTCACTGGTGGTGATGGGGATGCTCATTGATGGTGATGGGGATGTTCATTGATGGGGATGGGGATGCTCATTGATGGGGCTGGGGATGCTCACCGGCGATGCCATCCCCAGGGTAGCCCCTCCTCCCGGCCCCCCCTCTCAGCCAACCTCTCCCCTCGGTACCCCAATAACCAATGGCCACCCCCCCCCCATCCCCACCTCCTCGAGCTCCCCCTTCCACATCCTCCCTCACCCCCGCTGCAGGACAACAGCCGGCGGGTGGACAACGTCCTGAAGCTGTGGGTGATCGAGGCGCGGGACCTGCCCCCCAAGAAGCGCTACTACTGCGAGCTGTGCCTGGACGACATGCTCTACGCCCGCACCACCAGCAAGGCCCGCACCGACAACGTGTTCTGGGGGGAGCATTTCGAGTTCAACAACCTGCCCGCCGTGCGCACCATCCGCCTCCACCTCTACAAGGACACGGATAAGAAGAGGAAGAAGGACAAGAGCAACTACGTGGGGATGGTGAGCATCCCCATCGCCAGCGTGACCGGCAGGCACTTCGCCGAGCAGTGGTACCCGCTCAGCCAACCCAGCGGGAGCAAGAGCAAGGCCGGGTGTCCGGCGTTGAGGGTGAAGAGCAGGTTCCAGACCATGAGCATCCTCCCCATGGAGCTCTACAAGGAGTTTGCCGAGTACGTGACCAACAACTACCGGATGCTGTGCGCGGTGTTGGAGCCCGTGCTGAGCGTGAAGAGCAAGGAGGAGGTGGCCTGCGCGTTGGTGCACATCCTGCAGAGCACCGGCAAGGCCAAGGTGGGGATGGGGATGGAGGGAGGGAGGGAGGGAGGGAGGGAGGGGGGGGAGGATGGATGATGAATGGGGGGATGGATGGATGGATGATGGATGGATGGATGATGGATGGATGGATGGATGCATGGATGGATGAACAGATGATGGATGGATGGATGATGGATGATGGATGGATGGATGGATGGATGGATGATGGATGATGGATGGATGGATGGATGGATGGATGATGGATGGATGGATGAAGACCATGTGGAGATAGCTGGAAACAGTTGCATGACTAGATGGACAGGGACATGGATAAGGGGGTGGAGACAATTTGGGTGGAGGGGATGTATGGATGAATGTATGGATGGATGATGGATGGACAGATGGAAGAAGGATGGATGGATGAAGGATGGATGGATGGATGGATGGATGATAGTTGGATGATGGATCGTTGGATGAAGGATGGATGGATGATGGATGGATGGTAGATGGAGGCATGGATGGATGATGGATGATGATGGATGGATGATGGATACATGGATGAATGCATGATGGATAGATGGACAGAAGAGGGAGGACGGACACAAGGGTGCAGGGAGGGTGTCTGGGCACGGGGCTGCCCTGACAGCCTTGGGCAGGACTTCCTGTCGGACATGGCCATGACGGAGGTGGATCGCTTCATGGACCGGGAGCACCTCATCTTCCGGGAGAACACCCTCGCCACGAAAGCCATCGAGGAGTATCTGAAGCTCATCGGCCAGAAATACCTCAAGGATGCCATTGGTGAGCTCCACCAGGCCCCAGCATGGCCAAGAGTCCCCAGGCATGGCCATGGTCCCATTGGGGTGGTCCCTTCTCATGGGTGGTCCATTCACAGCCTGCATCCCTGTTGCTATGGTGATGGGATGGTTGAGCGGTTGATGAATTGATGAGTGTGGGGACCAACACATGCTCACGTCCCCATTGCCATGGCCATGGGATGGTTGGGTGCTCCCTTCACAACCTGCATCCCTGTTGCTATGGCGATGGGATGGTTGAGCGGTTGATGAGTGTGGGGACCAACACATGGTCACGTCCCCATTGGCATGGCCATTGGCTGATTGGGTGGTCCCTTCACAACCTGCATCCCTGTTGCTATGGTGATGGGATGGTTGAACTGTTGATGAGTTGATGGTCATGTCACCATTGGCATGGCCATGGGATGGTTGGGTGGTCCCTTCACAACCTGCATCCCTGTTGCTATGGTGATGGGATGGTTGAGTGGTTGATGACTGTGGGGACCAACACATGGTCATGTCCCCATTGCCATGGCCATGGGATGGTTGGGTGGTCCCTTCACAACCTGCATCCCTGTTGCTATGGTGATGGGATGGTTGAGCGGTTGATGAGTGTGGGGACCAACACATGGTCATGTCCCCATTGCCATGGCCATGGGCTGATTGGGTGGTCCCTTAGCAACCTGCATCCCTGTTGCTATGGCGATGGGATGGTTGAGCGGTTGATGAGTGTGGGGACCAACACATGGTCATGTCCCCATTGCCATGGCCATGGGATGGTTGGGTGGTCCCTTCACATCCTGCATCCCTGTTGCTATGGCGATGGGATGGTTGAGCAGTTGATGAGTTGATGAGTGTGGGGACCAAGTGTCATGTCCCCATTGACATGGCCATGGGCTGAGAGGGTGGTCCCTTAGCAACCTGCATCCCCGTTGCTATGGCGATGGGATGGTTGAGCAGTTGATGAGTGTGGGGACCAACACATGCTCACGCCCCCATTGCCATGGCCATGGGATGGTTGGGTTCTCCCTACTCATGGTCACATCCCCATCATGATCCCTTGTCCATGGGTCAGTGGGGTGGTCCCTGACGTCCCTCTGTCACCCCCCATGCAGGTGAGTTCATCCGCGCCCTATACGAGTCAGAGGAGAACTGCGAGGTGGACCCCATGAAGTGCTCAGCCTCCACCTTGGCCGACCACCAGGCCAACCTGCGCATGTGCTGCGAGCTGGCCCTCTGCAAGGTGGTCAACTCCCATTGGTGAGTGCTTGGGGCCGGGGCTGGCTGATGGGGTCCCCATTGCGTGGGTCCTGACCCATTGTGTGTGTGTCCGTGGGTCCCATCACCACGCAGCGTGTTCCCGAGGGAGCTCAAGGAGGTCTTCGCCTCCTGGAGGCTGCGTTGCGCCGAGCGGGGCCGTGAGGACATCGCCGACCGCTTGATCAGCGCCTCGCTCTTCCTGAGGTTCCTGTGCCCCGCTGTGATGTCCCCCAGCCTCTTCGGGCTCATGCAGGAGTATCCGGACGAGCAGACCGCCCGCACCCTCACCCTCATCGCCAAGGTCATCCAGAACCTGGCCAACTTCACCAAGTGAGAGAGGGGGGAGGGAAAGGGGGAAGGGAACGGGGGGGTTGGGGTGGAGGGTGGGTGGAGGGGGGGTGATGGATGATGGATGGAAGATGGATGATAGATGATGGATGATGGATGGATGATGGATGGATGATGGATGGATGATGGATGGATGATGGATGGATGATGGATGGATGGATGGATGGATGGATGATGGATGGATGATGGATATGGGATGGATGGATGGATGATGGATGGATGATGGATGGATGATGGATGGATGGATGATGGATGGATGATGGATGGATGATGGATGGATGGATGGATGATGATGGATGGATGGATGGATGGATGATGGATGGATGATGGATGGATGATGGATGGATGATGGATGGATGGATGGATGGATGATGATGGATGGATGGATGGATGGATGATGGATGGATGATGGATGGATGATGGATGGATGATGGATGGATGGATGGATGGATGATGATGGATGGATGGATGGATGGATGGATGGATGGATGGATGGATGATGGATGGATGGATGGATGGATGATGATGGATGATGGATGGATGGATGATGGATGGATGATGGATGGATGATGGATGGATGATGGATGGATGGATGGATGGATGATGGATGGATGATGGATGGATGATGGATGGATGATGGATGGATGGATGGATGATGGATGGATGATGGATGGATGATGGATGATGGATGATGGATGGATGGATGGATGGATGATGGATGGATGATGGATGATGGATGGATGGATAAGTTGTACAGATGCATAGAGGACACACAGCCAGCTGAGCTGCATTAAGACCAGACAGAGCTTTAGGAAGGAATCTGTGGGGGACAGAAAGGACAGAGCACAATGGCCAAGGCCAATGGGAGGGGAAGCACAAGAGCCCTTGGGGGGTGACCTTGAAGATCTCCTGCCCGCAGGTTCGGCAGCAAGGAGGAGTACATGGCCTTCATGAACGAGTTCCTGGAGCTGGAGTGGACCAGCATGCAGCAGTTCCTCTATGAGATCTCCAACCTGGACACCCTCACCAACAGCACCAGCTTCGAGGGCTACATCGACCTGGGCCGCGAGCTGTCCACCCTGCATGCGCTCCTCTGGGAGGTCATGTCCCAGCTCAGCAAGGTACCCCCAGCCCATGGTATGAGGGGGCCTCACCAGAGCATGGAGCCCTTGCAGGACACCCAGGGGAGGTTTTGGGGTCCTGAAGGTCTGGGTGGGCCCTGAAAGGGCATTTTGGGGGCTTATCTACTCATGAGGCACCATCGGAGGACATTGGGGTTCCATCCACCCATGTCCTCCCTTGTGTCGTCATTGAGGCCCTATCAACCCATGTCCCACCATGAGTGGTCATTGGGGTTCCATCAACCCATGTCCTCCCTTGTGTCATCATTGAGGTCCCATCAACCCATGTCCTCCCTTGTGTCATCATTGAGGCCCCATCATCCCATGTCCTCCCTTGTGTCATCATTGAGGCCCCATCATCCCATGTCCTCCCATGTGTGGCCATTGAGGCCCCATCCACCCATGTCCTCCCATGTGTCATCATTGGGGTCCCATCATCCCATGTCCTCCCATGTGTCATCATTGAGGTCCCATCAACCCATGTCCTCCCATGTGTGCCCATTGAGGCCCCATCATCCCATGTCCTCCCATGTGTCATCATTGAGGCCCCATCCACCCATGTCCTCCCATGTGTGGCCATTGGGGTCCCATCCACCCATGTCCTCCCATGTGTCATCATTGAGGCCCCATCAACCCATGTCCTCCCATGTGCCATCATTGAGGCCCCATCCACCCATGTCCTCCCATGTGTGCCCATTGAGGCCCCATCCACCCATGTCCTCCCATGTGTGCCCATTGAGGCCCCATCAACCCATGTCCTCCCATGTGTGCCCATTGAGGCCCCATCATCCCATGTCCTCCCATGTGTGCCCATTGAGGCCCCATCATCCCATGTCCTCCCATGTGTCATCATTGGGGTCCCATCCACCCATGTCCTCCCTTGTGTCATCATTGGGGTCCCATCATCCCATGTCCTCCCATGTGTGCCCATTGAGGCCCCATCATCCCATGTCCTCCCATGTGTGCCCATTGAGGCCCCATCATCCCATGTCCTCCCATGTGTGCCCATTGAGGCCCCATCATCCCATGTCCTCCCATGTGTGCCCATTGAGGCCCCATCCTCCCATGTCCTCCCATGTGTGGCCTGCAGGAGGCGCTGTTGAAGCTGGGGCCTCTCCCCCGCCTGCTCACCGACATCAGCGTGGCCCTGCGGAACCCCCACCTGCAGAGGCAGCCCAGCCAGGGCGAGCGCCTGCCCCCCAAGGGCCTGGTGCTGCGGGGCCCCTCGGCCGACCTCCAGCCCTACCTCGTGCGTGACCTCAACAGGTGAGGATCACCCCCACCCCATCCCCCTTGTCAGGGGGCCACTGTGGTACCCCCAACATCATCATTGTACCCCCAACATCATCATAGTGTCCCCAACAGCATCATAGTACCCCCAAGAGCATCATGGGACCCCCAAGAGCATCATGGGACCCACAGCATCATTGGGGTACCCACAATAGCATCATGGTACCTCCCCATCATCATGGTACCTACAATAGCATCATGGTACCTCCACATCATCATGGTACCCACAATAGCATCATGGTACCTCCCTATCATCATGGAACCTCCCCATCACCGTGGTACTCACAATAGCATCATGGTACCTCCAACAGCATCATGGTACCCACAATAGCATCATGGTACCTCCACATCATCGTGGTACCCACAACAGCATCATGGTACCCACAATAGCATCATGGTACCTCCACATCATCGTGGTACCCACAACAGCATCATGGTACCCACAATAGCATCATGGTACCCACAATAGCATCATGGTACCTCCCCATCATCATGGTACCTCCACATTATCCTGGTACCCACAACAGCATCATGGTACCCACAACAGCATCATGGTACCTCCAATAGCATCGTGGTACCCACAAGAGCATCATGGTACCTCCCCATCCTTATGGTACCTCCACACCACTATGGTACCTCTCCCTGTCCCCCCACTGTCATCACCCATGTCCTTGCGGTGGCCCCCAGTCGCAGTTGGGGTGTCACTTCCCACTGTGGGTCCCCATGCTCACCCCACTCTCTGCCCCACAGCTCCGTTGACCTCCAGTCCTACATGGTGCGGGGCCTCAATAGGTGAGTGATGGGGATGGGGATAATGTGGGATGGGGATGGGATGGGGACAGGGATGCGACGGGAATGGTGATGGGATGGGGATGGGGATGGAGATGGGATGAGGATGGAGATGGGATGGGGATGAAGATGGAGGTGAGGATGGGATGGGATGAAGTTGGAGCTGAGTCTGGAAATAGATGGAGATGGAGCTAGAGATGGAGATGAGGATGTGATGGGATGAGAATGGAGATGAGGATGAGGATGGAGATGAAGCTAGAGGTGGAGATGAAGATGAGGATGGAGATAGAGCTAAAGATGGAGATGAGGATGTGATGGTATGGGGATGAGGAAGGAGATGGCTCTGGAGGTAGGTGGAGCTAGAGATGGAGATGAGGATGAGGATGGAGATGGAGCTAGGGATGGAGATAAGGACAGGATGAGGGTGTGATGGGGTGAGGATGGAGATGGAGCTAGAGATGGAGATAAGGATGGGATGAGGATTGGATGAGGATGAGGATGGAGATGGAGCTAGAGATGGGGATGGAGATGGAGCTAGAGACGGAGATAAGGATGGGATGAGGATGGAGCTAGAGATGGAGATAGGGATGGGATGAGGATGGGGATGGAGCTAGAGATGGAGGTAAGGATGGGATGAGGATGAGGATGGAGATGGGGATGGAGATAAGGCTGGGATGAGGATGGAGATGGAGCTAGAGATGGGGATGGGGATGGAGCTAGGGATGGAGATAAGGCTGGGATGAGGATGGAGATGGGGATGAGGATGGGATGAGGATGGGGATGAGGATGTCTCTGGACCAAGACCCATGCCCTTACCTTGTGTCCGTCCCCCCCCCCCACAGCTCCATGGACGTCCCCCGCCTTCCCTCCCCCCCTCAAGAGAAGCCCCCCCAGGAGGTGCTGGTCCTGAGCCGCCCCCCGCTTGCCCGCTCCTCCCCTGCCTATTGCACCAGCAGCTCGGACCTGACCGAGCCCGAGGGCGGGCGGGGGGCCCTGGGGGTGGGCAAGAGCGTGTCCATGCTGGACCTCCAGGACGGCCGCGTCGACAGCGTCCCCAGCCTGCCCGCAGAGCTGCTGGCGGCGGGGGGACCCCCCCCGGCACCCACACCAGGAGGAGGGGGGGGGGGGCTCCGTCCGGGCCGTTTATCCCAAGGCAGCGCCTCCAGTTTGGCCCCGCCTCGTTTGGGGGTCCCGGATCCCCAATTGAGGGTCCCGCTCTCCTTCCAGAACCCTTTGTTCCACCTGGCCGCCGACGGCCCGTTGAGGGGTGCGGAACCCGGGGGGGGGGGGGAAGCATCCTTCGCCCCCCCTTTGCATGGGTACAGCAAGAGCGAGGAGCTGGTGGCTCCCCCAGCGTCCAAGCACATCACCCATAGCCACAGCTACAGCGATGAGTTCGGGAGGCCCGGGGGGGACTTTGGGAGGAGGCAGTTGTCCCTACAGGATAGCCTGGCCCCCCCCCAAATCACCATCGGGGCACCCCCGCCGCCCACCCCAAGGGGGGCAAGGGCAGGGAAAGGAGGGGGAGCGGGGGCCTCGGCTCTCGGGGTGCCCCCCAAGCCCCGGCCGGCCAGCGGGAACCTGTTGGCATCGCCGGAGCCGGCCTATGGGCCACCGCGGTCCAGGCAACCCTCCCTGGCCAAGGAGGCGTCGGTGGCGGGGATGAAGGCACCGGTGACGAAGCAGGTGGGGAGATGGGGATGGGGAGGTGATGGGGAGATAATGGGGGTGATGGGGAGTTGGGGAATATGGGGAGATGGGGGTGATGATATGGGGTGATGGGGATGGGGAGTGATGGGGGTGATGGGGAGGATGGGGGGGGGGATATGGGGGTGATGGGGGGATGGGGATATGGGGGTGTGGGTATGGGGGATATGGGGATGGGGATATGGGGGTGTGGGTATGGGGGACATGGGGATGTGGGACATGGGGGATATGGGGATGTGGGGATAGGGATATGGGGGTGTGGGACATGGGGGATATGGGGATGGGGATATGGGGGTGATGGGGAGATGGGGATGGGGATATGGGGGAGATGGGGATGAGGTGGGGATGTGGGGTTGTGGAGGGGAGATGGGGGTGATGGGGAGATGGGGGTGAGGTGGGGATGGGGTTATGGGGGAGATGGGGGAGATGGGGAGATGGGGATGTGACGATATGGGGGAGATGGGGACGTAGGGGTGATGGGGAGATGGGGATGTGGTGGGGATGGGGATGATGATATGGGGAAGATGGGGTGATGGGGATGGGGATATGGGGGAGATGGGGGTGATAGGGATGTGGTGGGGATGGGGATGAAGACATGGGGGAGATGGGGATGTGTTGATATGGGGGAGATGGGGAGATGGGGGTGATGAAGGACATGGTTAGGGGATAGGAGTGGGACATGGTGGAGATGCGGACATGAGGATATGGGGGATATGAAGCCACAGGGCGCCATAGTGAGGACATGAACCATGGCGATACAATGGCAATGTACACCCTCCATTGGGCGCACCCATTGAGCCCCCACCATGGGGCCACCAACCCAAACCCATATCCTTCTCCCCCCCTAACCCAACCCAAGGCCTCTCAGACGCCGTCGACGCTGAACCCGGTGATGCCGGCGGCGGAGCGCACGGTGGCCTGGGTGTCCAACATGCCGCACCTCTCGGCCGACATCGAGAGCTCCCACATCGAGCGCGAGGAGTACAAGCTCAAGGAGTACTCCAAGTCCATGGACGAGAGCCGGCTGGACCGGGTAGGGACCCTCGGCACGGCCATAGGGGTGCGGGGTGGGGGGAACGGGGGGGTATGGAGGTGCCAATGGGGTGGTTGTGGGGGAGGGAAAGGGGTTGGGGTGGTTTGGGGGTGGAAGGGTTGGTGTGACTGGAGATGGTCGTGGTGGACACACAGGGTGTTATCTAGGTGGGACCATGGGGGGGATCCATGGGTTTTGGTGTCACCATGGTGGGGATCCATGGGTTTAGGTATCATTATGGTAGGAATCCATGGTTTTTAGGTGTTATCCATGGTCTTTAGGTGTTATCCATGGTGGGAATCCATGGGTTTAGGTGTCACCATGGTGGGAATCCATGGGTTTAGATGTCACCATGGTAGGAATCCATGGGTTTAGGTATCACTATGGTAGGAATCCATGGTTTTTAGGTGTTATCCATGGTCTTTAGGTGTTATCCATGGTCTTTAGGTGTCACCATGGTGGGGATCCATGGGTTTAGGTGTCACTATGGTAGGAATCCATGGTCTTTAGGTATCACCATGGTGTTATCCATGGTCTATAGGTGTTATCCATGGTGGGAATCCATGGGTTTAGATGTCACCATGGTGGGGATCCATGGGTTTAGGTATCACTATGGTAGGAATCCATGGGTTTAGGTATCATTGTGGTAGGAATCCATGGTCTTTAGGTATCACCATGATGGGAATCCATAGGTTTAGGTGTCACCATGGTGTTATCCATGGTCTTTAGGTGTCACCATGGTGAGGATCCATGGGTTTAGGTATCACCATGGTGTTATCTTTAGGTGTTATCCATGGGCTTTAGGTGTCACTACAATGGGAACGGATGGGTTGAGGTGACACCATGATGAGAATGGATGAGTTTAGATGGGAACCGATGGGTTTAGGTGGCACCACCATGGGAACGGATGAGTTTAAATGGGAATGGATGGGTTTAGGTGACACCACAATGGGAACGGATGGGTTTAGATGGGAACGGATGGGTTTAGGTGACACCATGATGGGAACAGATGGGTTTAGATGGGAACGGATGGGTTTAGGTGGGAACGAATGGGTTTAGGTGACACCATGATGGGAATGGATGGGTTTAGATAGGAACAGATGGGTTTAGGTGACACCACAATGGAAATGGATGGATTTAGGAGACACCATGATGGGAATGGATGGGTTTAGATGACACCACCATGGGAATGGATAGGTTTAGATGGGAACGGATGGGTTTAGGTGACACTATAATGGGAACAGATGGGTTTAGATGGGAACGGATGGGTTTAGGTGACACCACGATGGGAACGGATGGGTTTAGATGGGAACAGATGGGTTTAGGTGGCACCACAATGGGAACGGATGGGTTTAGGTGACACCATGATGGAAACGGATGGGAACAGATGGGTTTAGATGACACCATGGTGGGAATGGATGAGTTCAGATGGGAAGAGATGGGTTTACATAGGAACGGATGGGTTTAGATGGGAATGGATGGGTTTAGGTGACACCATGATGGAAACAAATGGGTTTAGGTGACACTGCCATGGGTACAGATGGGTTTAGATAGGAACGGATGGGTTTAGATAGGAACAGATGGGTTTAGATGGGAACGGATGGGTGTAGGTGACACCGCCATGGGTACAGATGGGTTTAGATGGGAACGGATGGGTGTAGGTGACCCCTTTGAGTCCGCCCCGTTGGCGGGTACCGCGGGCGCTCTGCAGTGTGCACTGTGGCAGGTGAAGGAGTACGAGGAGGAGATCCACTCGCTGAAGGAACGGCTGCACATGTCCAACCGCAAGCTGGAGGAGTACGAGCGGCGCCTGGTGTCGCAGGAGGAGCAGACGAGCCGCATCCTGCTCCAGTACCAGCACCGCCTGGAGCAGAGCGAGAAGCGCCTGCGCCAGCAGCAGGCCGAGAAGGACTCCCAGATCAAGAGCATCATCGGCAGGTGAGGGAAGGGACCCGGCCCAGGGGGATGGCACAGGGGGTGATGGGGACACGGGGACATAGAGGGATATAGGAGATAGAGGACATGGGGACATAGAGGGACATAGGGGGTGAATGGGGACATAGAGGGATATAGGGGGTGATGGGGACATAGAGGGATATAGGGGGTGATGGGGACATGGGGACATAGAGGGACATAGGGGGTGATGGGGACATAGAGGGATATAGGGGGTGATGGGGACATGGGGACATAGAGGGACATAGGGGGTGATGGGGACATGGGGACATAGAGGGATATAGGGGGTGATGGGGACATGGGGACATAGAGGGATATAGGGGTGATGGGGACATAGAGGGATATAGGGGGTGATGGGGACATGGGGACATAGAGGGACATAGGGGGTGATGGGGACATGGGGACATAGAGGGGCATAGGGGATGATGGGGACATGGGGACATAGAGGGACATAGGGGGTGATGGGGACATAGAGGGATATAGGGGGTGATGGGGACATGGGGACATAGAGGGACATAGGGGGTGATGGGGACATGGGGACATAGAGGGATATAGGGGGTGATGGGGACATGGGGACATAGAGGGAGATAGGGGGTGATGGGGACATAGAGGGATATAGGGGGTGATGGGGACATGGGGACATAGAGGGACATAGGGGGTGATGGGGACATGGGGACATAGAGGGACATAGGGGGTGATGGGGACACGGGGACATAGAGGGATATAGGAGATAGAGGATATGGGGACATAGAGGGATATAGGAGATAGAGGATATGGGGACATAGAGGGATATAGGAGATAGAGGATATGGGGACATAGAGGGATATAGGAGATAGAGGACATGGGGACATAGAGGGACATAGGAGATAGAGGACATGGGGACATAGAGGGACATAGGAGATAGAGGACATGTCCCCATCAGCCGGGGTGTCCCCAGGCGTATCCCCATGTCCCTATGGGGTATCCCTATAGGGTATCCTTATGGCATGTCCCTATAGGGTATCCCTATAGAGTACCCCTATGGAGTGTTCCCATGGGGTATCCCATGGGGCATCCCTATGGGGTATCCCTATTGTCCCTATAGGGCATCCCTATGGGGTATCTCTATGTGCTGTCCCCATGTCCCTATGGAGTATCCCTATCGGATGCCCCCATGACCTATGGGGTATCCCTATGAGGCATCCTTATGGGGAATCCCTATGGGGCACCCCTTCAGGTTATACCCATGACCAAAGAGGGATACCCCACTCCTCGTCCCCTCCCCATTGGTTATCATTGGTTGGTGGTGGGGGTGGGTGTCCCCATGTGTAAGGGGTGTATTTGGGGCGGCGGGTGTGGGTGGGGATTACCCAGAGACTAACACTAACCCTAACCTTAATCCTAAACGTAACAGTGAGCACAACAATAACCCTAACCCATAACCCTAACACTAAACCTAACCATAACTCTGATGATAACCATAACCCTAACGCTAACCATAGTCATAACTCTAAACCTAACCTTAACACTAACCCTAACAATAACCCTGATAATAACCCTAAACATAACACTAAACCTAACCTTAAACATAAGCCTAACCCTAACCATAACCCTGATGATAACCATAACCCTAAGGCTAACCATAATCATAACCCTAAACCTAACCTTAACGCTAACTATAACCATAACCCTAAATATAACCATAACCCTAACCCGAAATAGAACCATAAACCTACCAGTAACCCTAACCCTAACACTAAACATAACCATAACCTTAATCTTAAGCATAATCCTAACATTAACGCTGACCATAACTGTGATTGCAACCCTAACCATAACCATAACCCTAAGCATAATGCTACCCACAACCATAACACTAATCCTAACCTTAATCATAACCCTAACCTTAACCCTAACCCTAACCATAACCATAGCACTACCCATAAACCTAACCCTAATACTACCCTTAACCATAAAGCTAACCTCAATGATAACCGTAACCTTAACCATAACCCTAACCCTAAACTTAACGCTAACCATAACCCTAACCCTAATCCTAACCTTACCCATAACACTAACCTTAAAAATAACCCTAATCCCTAACCCTAACCCGTAACACTAACCTTAACCATAACCCTAACCCTAACCATAACCATAATGCTCCCCATAACCCTAACCGTAACCTTAACCATAACCCCAACCCTAACGCTACCCATAACCCATTGCTCATCACTGGTTGTTAATGGGGTTGGGAGCGCTGTTGGGGGAGGGGGTGCGTGTAGATGATGGGGGATGGGGCTGTGCGGATCCCCCCCTCCCCCCATCTCCAGGCTCTTCTTGGGGGTGGCTCTCCCCACGGCGGGTGGGGGTGGTGGGGGGGGGGGGGGGGGGGGGGGTGTATTGGGGGAAGCCCCGGTTGCGTTCCCCGCCCTCCCCTCCCCCCACCCCCCATCCCCCCCCCGCCCCCCCCCCGGGGGGGTAGCAGCATGACCCCGGTGAAGCCTGGCCCCGCAGGCTGATGCTGGTGGAGCAGGAGCTGCGCAGGGATCACTTGGGCGCCCACGACCCGGCCGAGGCCCGGCGGCGGCTGCTCGACGCTCAGGTGGAAATTACAATGTCATTGAGCTGCCCCCCCCCCATCCCCCCCCATCCCCCATCCCCCCATCATCACCCATCCCCCATCCCCCCATCACCCCCATCCCCCATCCCCCCCATCACCCATCCCCCATCCCCCATCACCCCATCACCCCCATCCCCCCATCCCCCATCCCCCCCATCACCCCCATCCCCCCCATCACCCCATCACACCCATCCCCCCATCACCCCATCCCCCCCATCACCCATCCCCCCCATCCCCCATATCCCCCCATCACCCCCATCCCCCCATCCCCCATCCCCCCCATCACCCCATCCCCCCCATCACCCTATCACACCCATCCCCCCATCACCCCATCCCCCCCATTACACCCATCCCCCCATCACCCAATGTGTGGCGTCTGCATCCCAGCCACCCCAATCAGCAGCGCTTGAGGGTGGGGGGGGGTGGGGGGGGGGAGGGATTGGGGGGTGGGGGGTTGTATAGGGGTTATTGGGGTCTAAGGAGGTGGTTATTGGGGTGTACGGGTGCATATGGGGGTGGTTATTGGGGTGTATGGTGGTTATTGGGGGTGTGTGGGTGGTTATTGGGGTGTATGGGTGCATATGGGGTGGTATTGGGGTCTATGGAGGTGGTTATTGGGGTCTATGGGGGGTTATTGGGGTCTATGGGGGTGGTTGTTGGGGTGTATGGGGGGTTATTGGGGTCTATGGGGGTTATTGGGGTGTATGGGGGTTATTGGGGTCTGGGGGGGTATTGGAGGGTCTATGGGTGCCTATGGGGGTGGTATTGGGGTCTATGGGGGTGGTTATTGGGGTGTATGGGTGCATATGGGGGTGGTTATTGGGGTCTGGGGCGGTATTGTGGGGTCTATGGGTGCATATGGGGGTGGTATTGGGGTCTATGGGGGTGGTTATTGGGGCCTATGGGGTGGTTATTGGGGTCTATGGGTGCATATGGGGGTGGTATTGGGGTCTATGGGGGTTTATTGGGGTCTGTGGGGGGTTATTGGGGTCTATGGGGGTGGTTATTGGGGTGTATGGGGGTGTCGGGGGGTATTGGGGCTATGGGTGTATGGGGGTGGTATTGGGGTCTATAGGGGTGGTTATTGGGGTGTGGGTGCTATGGGGGTGGTTATTGGGGTCTGGGGGGGGTATTGGGGTGTATGAGGGTGGTTATTGGGGTCTACAGGGGTGGTTATTGGGGTCTATGGGTGCATATAGGGGTGGTTATTGGGGTGTATGGGGGGTTATTGGGATCTATGGGTGCCCATGGAGGTGGTTATTGGGGTCTATGGGGTGTGGTATTGGGGGTCTATGGGTGCCTATGGGGGGTTATTGGGGTCTATGGGCACCCATGGGGGGTTATTGGGACCCTCACTGGGATCCGGGCACCCCTGGGTTGGGTTTGGTCACCTATGGGGGGTCTATGGTCACCTATGGGGGGTCTATGGTCACCTATGGGGGTTCTATGGTCACCTATGGGGGGTCTATGGTCACCTATAGGGGTTCTATGGTCACCTATGGGGGTTCTATGGTCACCTATGGGGGGTCTATGGTCACCTATGGGGTCCTATGGTCATATATGGGGGGTCTATGGTCACCTATAGGGGTGTATGGTCACCTATAGGGGTTCTACGGTCACCTATAGGGGTTCTATGGTCACCTATAGGGGTTCTATGGTCAGCTATGGGGGTTCTATGTTCACCTATAGGGGTTCTATGGTCACCTATGGGGGCCCAGGGCCACCCCTAGAGGGGACAAGGGGCTGCCTGCAGGGGACCCATGGTGACCCCTGGGGGGGGGACCTGACAGGACCCCTATGGGGACAGAGCCCCCCCCCTCGGTGGGGACATTGGTTCCTCCCTATGGTGCCGAGCCCCCTCTGTGTTGGGGGCCCCACATTGGGCCCCCTCTATGGGGCAGGGCCATACTTGGGGGTCACCCCTAGGCAAGGACAGAGCCACCCTTGGGGGGGACATTGTCCCCTTTGAGGGGGGGGTCAGGACCACTTGGTGTAAGCGAGGGGGGGGGCACAAAGCGCGCCCCCTCCCCCCCATCCCATTAAGGACACCCCCAATAGGGCCACCCTTTGGGGTGGGGGACATATACCCCCCCCCCTTTATAGGGCACAGGACACCAGAGGGACACAGGGCCACCAATGTGTCCCCAAAGCCACCATTGCCCCCCCCCCCCAACCATAGTGATGGATCCATGGGATGGGGTCCATCCCATCCTGTCCCCCCCCCCCCAATAACAATGGGGACCATGGGGTCCCCCCCCCCAACCCTTGACCCCCCCCTTGTCTCTCTTCGTCCTAGCTGTCCGTCAGGTAGCGCCTGCCATTGTCACGGGACCCCCGGCCTCCGGTGACACTCAAGGTGGGTCCTGACGTCCCCATCCCCATCCCTGACCCCCCCCCAATACTTGTCCCCATTGGTAGAGCCCAAAGAGGGGGGGGGGGGACATGGGGACAACCTGGAGGCCTGGTCCTGCCTCGTGTCCCTTAGGGACACTGGGAGTCAATGGGGACGTGGATGTGGAAGGGGTCCATGGACCTCTGGTGGCCCTGGGTTGCTTTAGGGATAGTGGGAGTCAATGGGGGTGTGGGTCCAGGTGTCCCCCGTGTCCCTTCCGTGTCCCTTATGGACATTGGGAGCCATTGGGGACATGGATCCAGGTGTCCCCATGTCCCTCATGGACATTGGGAGCCATTGGGGACATGGATCCAGGATGTCCCCATGTCCCTTATGGACATTGGGAGCTATTGGGGACATGGATCCAGGTGTCCCCATGTCCCTCATGGACATTGGGATCCATTGGGGGCATGGATCCAGGTGTCCCCATGTCCCTTATGGACATTGGGAGCCATTGGGGACATGGATCCAGGTGTCCCCATGTCCCTCATGGACATTGGGATCCATTGGGGGCATGGATCCAGGTGTCCCCATGTCCCTCATGGACATTGGGAGCCATTGGGGAATGGATCCAGGTGTCCCCATGTCCCTTATGCAACACAACACCATGTCCCTCATGGACATTGGGAGCCATTGGGGACATGGATCCAGGTGTCCCCATGTCCCTCATGGACATTGGGAGCCATTGGGGACATGGATCCAGGTGTCCCCATGTCCCTCATGGACATTGGGAGCCATTGGGGACATGGATCCAGGTGTCCCCATGTCCCTCATGGACATTGGGAGCCATTGGGAACATGGATCCAGGTGTCCCCATGTCCCTCATGGACATTGGGAGCCATTGGGGACATGGATCCAAGGTGGCCCCAAGACCCTTTGGTGTCCCCATGTCCCTCATGGACATTGGGAGCCATCGGGAACATGGATCCAAGGTGGCCCCATGTCCTTCTTGTGTCCCCATGTCCTTCAAGGACATTGGGAACCCTTCCAATGGAGACTGGGACATGGCTCCATGTCCATCCTGTGTCCCCAATGTGCTCATAGGGACATGGACCTGGAGTGGACCCATGTCCCTCATGGACATTGGGAACCCTTGGAGACATGGATCCAGGATGTCCCCATGTCCCTCTTATGTCTTTGTGTCCCCCATGGACACTGAGAACCCCCTGGAGACATGGACCCAATCCTTAGGGACATGGACCTTGGGTGTCCCCATGTCCCTTTGGTGTCCCCATGTCCCATTGAGGACATGGACCTTGGGGGTGACCCCATGTCCTATTGAGGACATGGACCTTGGTATCCCTATGTCCCTTTGGTGTCCCCATATCCCATTGGGGACATGGACCTTGGTGTCCCCATGTCCCATTGAGGACATGGACCTTGGGGGTGTCCCCATGTCCCTTTGGTGTCCCCATGTCCCATTGCGGACATGGACCTTGGTGTCCCCATGTCCCTTTGGTGTCCCCATGTCCCATTGAGGACATGGACCTTGTTGTCCCCATGTCCCATTAAGGACATGGACCTTGGGGGTGTCCCATGTCCCTTTGGTGTCCCCATGTCCCTTTGGTGTCCCCATGTCCTATTGAGGACATGGACCTCCATGTCCCTTTGGTGTCCTATTGGGGACATGGACCTTGGGTTGTCCCCATGTCCCTTTGGTGTCCCCATGTCCCATTGAGGACATGGACCTTGGTGTCCCCATGTCCCTTGGGACACTGGGAGCCCTTGGGGACATGGCCCTTGGGGGTGCCCCCATGTCCCCTTTTAGGTCCATGCCCCTTGGGTGTCCCCATCCTCTATGGGGCCACCAAGGTCCCCTTGGGGCCACCCCCTTTGTCCCCTTGCTGTGTGACCGCATTGGGGACACTGCGTCCCCATCCCCTATAATGGGGGGGGGGATGTGACATGGGGGGAGGGGGGGTGTTGGTGGCTGTCACCCCCCTTCCCCCCCCCCCAGCGCTGGCACCCCCCTTGTCTCCATCCTCGTGTCCTGTGTTTGTCCCCATCTCACCTCACCCACCCTTTACCTTGGGGGGGGGGGATGGGCAATGTATTGTCAATGGGGGGGGGGGATGCTGGGGGACAATATGGGGGTGATGGGGGGGTCGGTTTGGGGGTGATGGGGTCAATTTGGGGGTGATGGGGGGGCGATTTGGGGGTGATGGGGATGGGGGGGTGCCCATTGGGCATGAAGGTGAGTGAAGGTGGGGGGAGGGGGTTCAATGGGAGGAGGGGGGAGGTGACCCCTCGGTATTGGGGGGGCGGGGATGATGTTGGGGGGCGGGGGGGGTGACCGAGCCCCCTCGGTGCCCTTACAGGAGAGGCAGCTTTCCGCCGTGGGTGCAGCAGACCCGGGTGTGAGCTGGGCCGGGGATGGGGGGGGGTTGCTTGGGGGGGGATGACTGGGGGGGTCCCCCCCCCAGGGCGACCCCCGCTTCTGCCCCCGCCACCCCCGATCACGGCCAACGGCGATCTGCGCGGCCCCGCTGCTGAGCACTAGCGCCCGCCCCCCGGGGGCGCGCCGGGACCACCGCACCCCCCCCCCCCCGCCGTCCATCCTCCCACACCCCCCCCCCCACACACACCCCCCCCCAAAGCGGAGCGAACCAACATGGAGGGATACATGGGGGGGGGTGGGGAATTGGGGGGGGGGGGGGGGGATGGAGGCGGCTCCCGGAGACCCCCGGGGAGGAGGAAGGGGGGGGGGGGGGATGGGGAGGGAAGGGGGGGGTGGGGAAGGGAAGGGGGGGGCACCCCCTTTTCTGCACACAACCCCCCCCAATACCCCCCCCCTTTTGGTGCATGGGGGGGGTGGGGGCCGTCGTGCAAAGGGCTCCTCGTGCAAAGGCCTCCTCGTGCAGCACAAGGAGAGGGAGACCCCGTGCATCGGGAATAACGGGGGGGGCCCCCCCCCCCGCGGCTTCGTGCATCCGGTTCCTTTATACAATGGGACTTTGGGGCCACCCCCTGCGGCGACACCCCATGGGGGGGGATGGGACGGACCATGGACACCCCCCCCCCCACCCCCCCCCCGAACCCCATCATGGACATGGATCACGGCGGCCTCGTGCAACAACGGGATTATGGGGGGGGGCCTCGCTGTGCTGGGCGCACGGCCATCTGTACCCATGCAGGACCGGACACCCCCCCCACTTTGTGCACCATGGACCAGGCCATTCCCACACCCCCCCCTCCCACTTCCCCATCTTCTTTGTGCACCCCCCCCCCGTTCCTTGCACCAGGACTGGACCCTTCCCCTCGTGCATCACCCCCCCCCCCCAAAACGTCGTGCAATGGGACCGGACATTCCTCGTGCATCGACACCCCCCCCCCCGTGCATCACAACGGGGTCCCCCCCTCTTCTTCTTCTTCGTGCATTGCACCCCCAAATACCACCCCTTTCGCGGCCCCCCCCCCACATCGTGTGCACCAAGGAGCCACAGGACCCCCCCCCCCCCATATCCACGCCTTGCACATCCGGCTCCGTCGTGCACCAGGACTTTGAGGGGGGGGGCAACGTGCACCAGGACTTGGGGTCATTGATTGTATATGGGGGGGGGGGTGATTGTGCATGGGGGGGGCACTGCGCGCCATCGGCCTCATGCACAAGGACTGGGGCTCCTCGTGGAATGGGGGGGGGGAGGACCCTTGTGCATCACCCCCATTCACCAAGACTCCCCCCCGTTATTCACCAGCCCCCCCAAATGCACCCCCCATTCACCCCCTTATTCACCAGGGCCCCCCCCAATGCACTGAGACCCCCCCCATTGCCCACCCCCCGTTTCACTGGGACCCCTCCCAATGCACCAACACCCCCCCACTCAGTATCTCCCCCTCCCCCTTCAATGCACCTAGCCCCCCCCATTCACCAATGCCCCCCATTCATCAGTGCCCCCATTCACAAGGACACCCCACATTCACAAGCACCTCCCAATTCACCAATGCCTCCCATTCACAAGGAAACCCCCAATTACCAATGCCCCCCATTCATAAGACCCCACCCATTCACCAATACCCCCATTCACAAGAAGCACCCCCATTCACAAGAAGCACTTTCCCATTCAAAGGGATCCCCCATTCACCATTGCCCCCATTCAGAAGCTCCCCACATTCACAACGACCCCCCCCATTCACCAATGCCTCCATAACAAGAAGCCCCCCCCATTCACAAGAAGCACTTCCCCATTCACCAGTGCCCCCATTCACAAAAGCCCCCCCATTCACCAATACTCCCATTCACAAGAAGCCCCTCCCCACTCAAAGGGACCCCCATTCACCAATGCCCCCATTCACAAGAAGCCCTTCCCCATTCACCAATGCCCCCATTCACAAGAAGCCCTTCCCCATTCACCAATGCCTCCATTCATAAGAAGCCCCTCCCATTCACAATAAGCCCCTCCCCATTCAAAGGGACCCCCCATTCCCCATTGCCCCCCCATTCACAAGAAGCCCCCCCCATTCACAACGACCCCCCCCCATTAACGCACCGGGGACACCCCCCCCCCTTTACAACCGGAGCCCCTGCTCGGGCCCCGCCGCAGCCCCGACACTGCCCCGCCCGCGGGCGGCCCCCGGCGGGTCCGGGCCGGCTCCAACCGCCGGGGCCGCCGCTGCCCGGAGCCTTTAATAAACTCGGGTCGTCTTGTACCGGCGGCACCGGGGAGGGCGGGGAGGGGGCGTGGCTACGCGGGGGGATTGGCCAATGGGGGGAGTGGGTTAAGGGAGGGGGGGCGTGGTTTGTGGGGTGGAGGGAAAAGGTGGGAGCGGAGGCAATGAAAGGAGGGGGTGTGGGAGGGGTTTAAGGGGGCGTGGTTAGTAGGGAATGGAGGGCGGGGCTTAGGAGGGGAGGGAGCGGAGGCAATTAAAGGTGGGGCTGTGGGCGTGGTTTAATAGGGGCGTGGTTTGTGGGGAGGAGGGGATGGAAGGTGGGGCTTGGGAGGGGGAGCATATGGGATGGAGTGGAGCCAATCAAAGGTGGGGTTGTGGGCGTGGTTTAACAGGGGCGTGGTTTAATAGGGGCGTGGTTTGCAGGGAGGAGGGAATGAAAGGCGGGGCTGTGGGAGGGACTTATGGGGGATGGAGTGGAGCCAATCAAAAAGGGGGTGTGGGCGTGGTTTAAGAAGGGCGTGGTTTGTGGGGTGGAAGGAATGGAAGGCGGGGCTGTGGGCGGGGCTTATGGGGTTGGAGTGGAGCCAATCAAAGGTGGGGTTGTGGGCGTGGTTTAACAGGGGCGTGGTTTGTGGGGTGGAAGGAATGGAAGGCGGGGTTGTGGGCGGGACTTTGCGAGGGGCGGGGGCGATTGGAGCCAATTGTGGGCGTGGCATCCTCCTGTAACCATGGCAGCGGAGAGGCGGGGAGGGAGCCGGGCTGTACCAAGGCAGGGGATGGGGGGGGGGGAGGGTTAGACTCTGGCTTTGGGTTAGGGTTAAGGTTAGGGTTAAGCTTAGGTTTAGGACCAGGTTCAGATGCGTTTGGGCCGCATTTGGGTTCGTTTCGGGTCCTGGCAGCGCAACCGGTAACGCTTTGCGGCCGTGGCTCCGCCCCCTTGGCCGGACCGAACCAATCGCATTGGTTTGGGGGGGGGGTGGGATGGGCTTCCCCTCCTCCGTCACCGCAGACGTAAAGGGGTGGGCGGAGCTTGGCTGCTGACGTCACCGCTCGGAGGCGCCCGTGGTGAGCGCGGGGCGGGGATGGGGCGAATCGGGGGGTTCGGGGTGGGGGTGAAGGGGGTTATGGGGGACCCCCATGGCGATAGGGGCCCATAAGGGGCTATAGGGGCCAATGTGGGGTAATGGGGACCCCTCCGGGGCTATAGGGACCCCTAAAGGGGGTATACAGGAATCCCGGGGGTAATAGGGATCTAAAAGGGGCTAGAGGGATCCATGTGGGGTAATAGGGACCCCCATGGGGCTATTAGTGACCATCTAGGTGCTTATTGAGGACCCTCAAGGGGCTATAGGGACCTGTGTGGGGCAATAGGGACCCCCTGGGGCTCTCAGTGACCCTCTAGGTGCTTATTGAGGACCCTCAAGGGGCTATAGGGACCCATGTGGGGCAATATGGACCCCTATGGGGCTATTAGTGACCCTCTAGGTGCTTATTGAGGACCCTCAAGGGGCTATAGGGACCTATGTGGGGCAATAGGGACCCCCCTGGGGCTATTAGTGACCCTCTAGGTGCTTATTGAGGACCCTCAAGGGGATATAGGGACCTATGTGGGGCTATTAGTGACCCTCTAGGTGCTATTGAGGACTCTCAAGGGGCTATAGGGACCTATTTGGGGCAATAGGGACCTATGTGGTGCAATAGGGACCTATGTGGTGCAGTATGGACCCCCATGGGGCTATTAGTGACCCTCAAGGGGCTATAGGCACCTATACGGGGCAATAGGTACCTATGTGGCACAATGAGTACCCCATACTTCACTGTGTTCCCCCCCCCCCGTATCCCAAGCAGGGCCGCGGCGGATGGGGGGCCGGGTGCAGATCTCCTTCCCGCAGCACTCGGCCGCGCTGCTCGAGTCCCTGAACCTCCTGCGCCTGGAGGGCAAATTCTGCGACGTCCACGTCCACGTCGGCGCCCGCGTCTTCCCCGCCCATAAAAGCGTCCTGGCCGCCGCCTCCCCCTTCTTCCACGACAAGCTCCTGCTGCAGGACGGGGGGCGCCTGCTCCTGCCCCCCGCCATCGACCCCGATGCCTTCGAGGGCCTCTTGCACCTCATCTACTCCGGGAGGTTGAGTTTGGTGCTGGAGGCCTTGCCCGGGCATCTCTTGGTGGCCAGCGGGCTCCAGATGTGGCACGTGGTGGATCAGTGCTCGGAGATCCTGAGGGAGGTGGAAGGGGGACGGGGGTGGCGGTGGGGGGCAGCGGCGGCGGCATCAGCAGCATCCAATGGTCGTGGGAGGGAAGCTTCGTGTGGTACCCATGGTGGAGATGGGGCTTTGTGTGGTACCCATGGTGGAGATGGGGTTTCAGCATCATCCTGGACCAATCGTGGTGGAGATAGGGCTTCATGTGGTACCCATGGTGGTGATGGGGCTTCGTGTGGTACCCATGGTGATGGGGCTTCGTGTGGTACCCATGGTGGAGATGGGGCATCAGCATCATCCTGGACCAATCGTGGTGGAGATAGGGCTTCGTGTGGTACCCATGGTGGAGATGGGGCTTCGTGTGGTACCCATGGTGGAGATGGGGTTGCGGCATCATCGTGGACCAATCGTGGTGGAGATGGGGTTTCAGCATCATCCTGGACCAATCGTGGTGGAGATGGGGCTTCGTGTGGTACCCATGGTGGAGATGGGGCATCAGCATCATCCTGGACCAACCGTGGTGGAGATGGGGCTTCGTGCATCACCCATGGTGGAGATGGGGCTTCCTGCATCACCCATGGTGGAGATGGGGCTTCAGCATCATCCTGGACCACTCCTGGTGGAGATGGATCTTCCCGTGTCACCCGTGATGGAGATGGATCTTCACGCATCACCCATGGTGATGGGGCTTCGGCATCATCCTGGACCAACCGTGGTGGAGATAGGGCTTTGTGTGTTGTCCGTGGTAGAGATGGGGCTTCGGCATCATCCTGGAGCACTCACGGTGGAGATGGATCTTCCTGCATCACCCGTGATGGAGATGGATCTTTATGTGTTGGTCGTGGTGGGGATGGATCTTCACGCATCACCCATGGTGGAGATGGGTCCATGTCCTCATCCTGGACCAACCGTAGTAGGGATGGGCCTTCCTCCCCCCCATGGCCCAAAGAGGCGGGTGAGGAGGTCCTCAAGATCTGCGTGCAGGAGGATGAGGAAGAGGAGGAAGAGGAGGATGAAGACGGCGCCCACCGCGCTGCTGACGCCCTCCAGATCGTGCTGGAGGAGGAGGAAGAGGAGGAGGAGGAAGAGGACGGAGCACCCAGAAACCACGACCCCCCTAAAGTCTTCTACATCAAACAAGAAGCAGAGGAAGCCACCGAGCCTGCATCCTCACTGAGCCGCATCCTCCCACCGGGCTCGGGTACCACGGCCACGGCGCTGATGCCGACCATCACCACCACGGGCTCCATCCTCAACCAAACCTCTTGGAAGCCCGTGGACCTTCACGGCAACGAGATCCTGGGCCGGGCCTCGGCCTTGCACGCCCCGGTGAAGCTTGGGGCTGCTCCCGATGGGAAGCGTTTCGGGTGCTTGTGTGGGAAGCGTTTTGCCGTCAAACCCAAGCGGGACCGGCACATCATGCTCACCTTCAGCCTGCGGCCCTTCTCCTGCGGGGCCTGCCATAAGCGCTTCAAGCTCAAGCATCACTTAACGGAGCACATGAAGACCCACGATGGGGCCGGCCGGGCCTGCGAGCGCTGCGGGACCCGGTTCCGGCTCCGGAGCGGGCTCGATAAGCACCGGCCGCTGTGCCAAGGGCAGCGCTGGGCTGCGGGATGCTGGGCTTGCGAGTGAGCGGGCCCCACCTACAGGGCCCTTTTTAAGGCGGAAATCTCGGCTTCGCTATCGGCCAATCAGCGCGCGGAGAGAGGAGGGAGGTGGCCAATAGGGGCGAGAGGGGCGGGGGGAGAGGCGCCACCGGGTCCTTGTGCCCGCCCGCTGCATCCCCCCCTAAAGGCCGCACTAAGTGGACGCGGTGGTGTCACCCCACGAGCTTTAATTGGGTTGAAAAGAGGGCAAAAAGGGGCAAAGCTGTAAGAAAAAGAAAGGAAATAAAAGCGTTTGGGCAGCAGGATGGGGAGAAACAGGAAGCAACTGGGATAAACTGGGAGGAGGAGGCCGTTCCGGGTCCCACCAGTGCCTTACTGGTGCGGACTGGTTGGGACTCCCAGTGGAAGGGTTGGGGTGACTCACCGGGTTAGGGGGGGTCCCCGTTGTCCCTAAGGATGGAGGCACCCAGAGCCTGCAGGTGCATCACCAGGGAGCCCAGTGCAGCTGAGGGGACATGGAGGGGGGGACCCCATGAGGTGTCAATGGGGGGATATGGAGGGGGGGACCCCATGAGGGGTCAATGGGGGGACATGTATGGGGGAACCCATGAGGGGTCAATGGGGGGACATGGGGGGCATGGGATGGGACCTACCTCTGCTGGGGGGGGGACCCATCCTGTCCTCATGGGGGGGGGCCTGGAGGTGACACAGGGGGTGATGCAGGGACAGAAGCCACCCCTGTCCCCAAGCGCCATCACCCCCCCCATCCCTTCCCATGTCCCCCTCACCTCATCCGGTGTCACCTCCTCCAAGGGCACCACTGGAGCCATCAGCCCTGGGGATACAAGGACAAGGTGATGCTGTCCCCAGTCCCATATTGCCGTATCCCATACCCTATATCCCATATCCCATACCCCATATCCCATATCCCATACCCCATATCCCATATCCCATACCCCATATCCCATACCCCATATCCCATATCCCATATATCCCATATCCCATACCCCATATCCCATACCCCATATATCCCATATCCCATAATAACCCCATGTAGGTACCTTGCAGCACCCGGAGCCTGTGTCCTGCCCGGCGCAGGCGGGTGCTGAGGGTCTCCATGGTCCTGGTGGCTGCAGCCACTGCGGCCTCGTGTGCTGCCACCACCCTGGCGAGACTGGGGACACCACAGGGGAGATTGGGGTAATGGGATATGGGGTATGGGATATGGGGGGGTATGGGGTATGGGATATGGGGTTATTATGGGATATGGGGTATGGGATATGGGACATGGGGACAGCATTACCCCAGTCCCTCCCAGTACCTGGCAGCTGCCTGAGCCAGTTCCCCCAGTGCCTCCTCAGCCGCCTCTGCCCGTGCCCGCTGCTGGGTCACCTCCTGTGCCAGGCGCTGGGACAAGAGGCATCGTGTCCCTACATGTGTCCCCATGGCCCCATAGCCCATACCCCATATCCCGTATACTCCATACCCCGTACCCCATATCCCATACCCTATACTCCATATGCCATATATCCATACCCCATACACCATATCCCATACCGTATACCCCATAACCCATATCACATACACCGTATACCCCATATCCCATACCCCATATTCCATATCCCATACCCCATACCCCATATCCCATATCCCATACCCCATATCCCATGCCCCATATATCCCATACCCCATACCCCATATCCCATACCCCATATCCCATACCCCACACCCCATACCCCATACCCCATGTCCCATACCCCATACCCCATATATCCCATATCCCATACCCCATGTCCCATACCCCATATCCCATATCCCACACCCCATACCCTATATCCCACACCCCATATCGCATACCCCATATCCCATATCCCACACCCCATACCCCATACACCCCATACCCCATACACCCCACACCCCATAATAACCCCACATCCCATAATAACCCCATACCCCATATCCCACACCCCACACCCCATACCCCCCCCCACCCCATAATAACCCCACATCCCATAACAACCCCCCCCCCCCCTCACCTCCTTCTCCCGTCTCTGCTCCTCTCCTCTCTCCATCCTCTCCTTCAGCCTCAGCTCCAACCTCGTCACCCTCCGGGTCCCCGCAGCCACCGCAGCCCCGAGCCTGCTCACCTGTGGGTCCCCAGCACCCCACATCCAGCCCCTGAACCCCCCCCCCACCCTGCCCCATAGGGACCCATAGGGGATGGGGGGGTACCCAGCACCCACCTGCGTGCTCAGCGCCCGCTGCAGCTCCTCCTGCACCCGCAGCTGCACCAGGAGCCCGAACACCTTCTCCCTCCAGCACCCCAAGAGCAGGAGCAGACGGGGGGGGCCCACGGGCAATGGCACCCCTGGGGGGGGCAGCTGGGGGGGACAGGGGGGCACCCTAGAGCATCCAATGCCCTCCTCCCCATTGGTATCCTATAGCACCCCCCTATTGGTACCCTATAGCATCCAACCCCCTCCTCCCCATTGGCACCCTATAGCACCCACCCCACCCTCCCCATTGGTACCCTATAGCATCCAACCCCCCCCATTGGCACCCTATAGCACCCCCCCTATTGGCACCCTATAGCACCCAAACCCCCCCCCCCCATTGGCACCCTATAGCACCCCCCCCATTGGCACCCTATAGCACCCAAACCCCTCCCCATTGGCACCCTATAGCACCCAAACCCCCCTCATTGGCACCCTATAGCACCCCAAACCCCCCCTAAGTCCCTACCGCACGGCTCAGCTCCTTCTCCTGCAGGGCCAGGATGTGACCCATGGCGCTGAGCCGGGCCTGGAGCAGGACCTGGGCCTGGCACTGGGGGGGGAATGGGGACCCCATTGGGACCCCATAAAGACATCATTGGGACACCATTGGGAAACCACTGGGAACCCATTGGAACCCCATTGGGACACCATTGGGACCCCATGAGGCCTGTGCTCACCTCCTGGGGCTGCCCCCCAATAGGCTCCACCCCCTGGTCTTGGCTCCGCCTCCTTTCACCCTCAAGCTCCACCTCCAGGGCTTGGCTCCGCCTCCTCTCAGCCTCAAGCTCCTCCCCTAGGGCCTGGCTCCGCCTCCTTTCGGCCTCAAGCTCCTCCCCTAGGGCCTGGTTCCGCCTCCTTTCAGCCTCAAGCTCCGCCTCCAGGGTCCTGCCAATGGGGAGCCAGGCCCTGGGGGCAACTGGGAGCACTGGGGGGTAACTGGGAGTAATGGGGGGGGTAACTGGGAGCACTGGGGGGTAACTGGGAGCACTGGGGGGTAACTGGGTGCAATGGGGGGGTAACTGGGAGCACTGGGGGTAACTGGGAGCAATGGGGGGGGTAACTGGGAGCAATGGGGGGGTAACTGGGAGCACTGGGGGGGTCCTTACCTGGTGCTGGGCCCAGGGGGGCGAAGCATGAAGTGTGATGGGGGGATGAGACCTGGGGTGGGGGGGGTGGAAGGAACCATGTCATGGGGGGGGGGGTCTGTGGGGGGACCCCCATATTATGGGGGAGGGGGGAAGGGTCTCACCAGTCGCTGGTGGCTGCTCGGCCATTGGTAGCACCTAAATCCCAGTAAGGACCAGTAAGAGCCCCGGTAACTTCCAGTACCTCCCCCTGATGCTCCTATTACTCCCCCATTGATGCTCCCTTTGCCTCCCATTACCCCCATTGATGCTCCCACTGCCCCCAATTGATGCTCCCATTACTCCCATTACCCCCCCATTACTCCCATTACCCCCATTGATGCTCCCATTACCCCCCCATTGATGCTCCCTTTACTCCCATTACCTTCCATTGATGCTCCCATTACTCCCCATTGATGCTCCCACTGCCCCCCATTGATGCTCCCATTACTCCCATTACCCCCCACTGATGCTCCCATTACTCTCATTACCCCCCCATTGATGCTCCCTTTACTCCCATTACCCTCCATTGATGCTCCCATTGGCTCCCATTACTCCCCATTGATGCTCCCATTACTCCCCATTGATGTTCCCACTGCCCCCCATTGATGCTCCCAGTACCTCCCATTGCCTCCCATTACCCCCATTGATGCTCCCATTACTCCCCATTGATGCTCCCAGTACCTCCCGGTACCCCAACCGTCGCGCGGTGCACGCCGGGAACGCTCCGCCTCCTTTGCCCGCCCTCCCTCTCTCTCCGCCAATCAGCGCGCAGAGGCGAGCCAAGAGCCCGCCCCCACCCCAACCCCAGCCGCGGGAAACCGGCAGCCAATGAGAGGCGGTGCTGCGGAGGTCCCGCCTCCTCGCTGGCCAATGGGAAGCTTGGGGGGGGACATAGGGAGTGAATGGAGCGCTAAGGGGATAAATGGGGTCCTGAGGGGATAAATCTGGGTCTTGAAAGGGTAAATCTGGGTCCTGAGGGGGTAAATGGGGTCCTAAGGGGATACATGTGGGTCCTGAAAGGGTAAATCTGGGCTCCAAGGGGGATAAATTGGGTCCTGAGGGGGTAAATGGGGTCCTGAAAGGGTAAATCTGGGCCCCAAGGGGGATAAATGGGGTCCTGAGGGGGCAAAGGGGGTCCTGAAAGGGTAAATCTGGGTCCTGTGGGGGTAAATGGGGACCTGAGGGGGTAAATGTGGGCCCCAAGGGGGATAAATGGGGTCCTGAGGGGGCAAAGGGGGTCCTGAAAGGGTAAATCTGGGTCCTGTGGGGGTAAATGGGGACCTGAGGGGGTAAATGTGGGCCCCAAGGGGGATAAATGGGGTCCTGAGGGGGCAAAGGGGGTCCTGAAAGGGTAAATCTGGGTCCTGTGGGGGTAAATGGGGACCTGAGGGGGTAAATCTGGGCTTCAAGGGGGAAAAAGGGAGTCCTGAAAGGGTAAATGTGGGTCCTGAAAGGGTAAATGTGGGCTCCAAGGGGGATAAATGGGGTTCTGAGGGGGTAAATGGGGTCCTGAGGGGGTAAATGTGGCTCCTGAAGGGGTAAATGGAGTCCTGAGGGGGAAAAGGGGGTCCTGAAAGGGTAAATGTGGGCTCCAAGGGGGATAAATGCCCTCACCCCCCCATATCCCCCCCCAAAAGGGGGTGAACTTGGTATCCCCCACCCCACAGAGCTGCCACCCCCATTCCCCCCCCCCAAGGGGTTCCATTGGGTCCCATCCCCCCCCCCATCCAAATCATCCTCTTTTGGTGCTGCTGTTTATTGGGGGGGCCCCCGGGTGCGGGGGGGGCGTCGGGGGGGGGTCTCGGTGGGGGGGGGCAGGAGGAAGGGCTGGAGCTGCAGGCGCTGGCGCAGGAGCCCCGTGAGCAGCAGCTCCGGGGAGGCCAAGGGCAGGCGGGAGCTCAGAGCCGGGGCCCAGCACCAGGAGTCCGCAGGGCAGGAGACGACCACGCAGCGGGGCTGGAAGGGGGGGGGAATGGGGGTGAAGGGGGGGTACGGGAGCTGCTGATGGCAATGGGGACCCATTAAATACAATGGGGACCCCTTAAATACAATGGGGATCCCTTAAATACAATGGGGAACCCCATCGTCAATGGGTACCCCTTAAACACAATGGGGACCCCTTAAACACAATGGGGACCCCTTAAACACAATGGGGACCCCTTAAAGCCAGTGGAGACCCCTATTGTCAATGGGCACCCCTTAAACACAATGGGGACCCCCATCATCAATGGGAATCCCTTAAATGCAATGGGCACCCCTTAAAGCCAATGGAGACCCCCACTGTCAATGGGCATCCCTTAAACCCAATGAGGACCCCCAACATCAGTGGGCACCCCTTAAACCCAAAGGGGACCCCCATTGTCAATGGGCATCCCTTAAACACAATGGGGACCCCTATTGTCAATGGGTACCCCTTAAACCCAATGGGCACCCCCCAACCCAATGGAGACCCTCAGCATCAATGGGCACCCCCAAACTCAGTGGCCATTCCCAAACCCAATGGACACCCCTTAAACCCAATGGGCACCCCCAAACCTAATGGGCACCCCTTAGACCCAGTGGAGACCCCAAAACCCAATGGGTACCCCTTAAACCCAATGGGTACCCCTTAAACCCAATGGGCATCCCTTCAACCCAATGGAGACCCCAACCCCAGTGGGATCCCCCAATGCCAATGGGGATGCTCCAAGACCCCTGTGATCCCCCCCAACCCTCATTGGGACCACCCAGATCACCCCCAAAAGGCTTTGGGGACCCCAATTCATCCCCTCCCTGGTGGCTTTGGGGGTCCCTGCCCCATTGCTGCCCCCTTACCCTATAGGTGCTGGGCATGGTGGGCAGGAAGGTGCCCCCACTGCAGGTGATGATGTCCTTCATGTGCTCGGGCTCGGGGCGGACACTGGGGGTGACGTGGATCTCATAGCCCTGAGGGGACAATGGGGGACAATGGGGGGCAATGGGGGACCATTGGGGACCCATTAGGACCAACTGGGGACCCATTGAGTACCCATTAGGATGCATTGGGGACCCATTAAGACCAATTGGGGACCATTGAGGACCCACTAGGGACTGCTGGGGACCCATTGGGGACCATTAGGACCCATTGAAGACCCATTAGGAGCACTTGGAGACCCATTAGGGACTGCTGGGGACCCACTGAGGACCATTAGGACCCATTGAGGAACCATTAGGACCCATTGAGGACCATTAGGACCCATTGGGGACCCATTAGGAGCAATTGGGGACCCATTAGGGACTGTTGGGGACCCATTGAGGACCATTAGGACCCATTGGGGACCCATTAGTACCCATTAGGACCCATTGAGGACCATTAGGACCCATTGGGACCCATTGAGGACCCATTAGAACCAATTGGGGACCCATTAGGCCCCATTGGGGACCCATTAGGACCCATTAGGCCCCATTGGGGACCCATTAGGACCCATTGGGGACCCATTAGGACCCATTAGGCCCCATTGGGGACCCATTAGGACCAATTGAGGACAATTGGGGACCCATTAGGACCCATTGGCACCCATTAGGAGCCATTGGGGACCCCTGGGGTCACCTGGAGCAGGGGGTGGCGGCGGGCGCGCTGCAGGGCCTGGGCCAGGCTGAAGCCGAAGTGCTGCTCCTGCTGCCGGTCCTGCACCAGGAAGGGGCCGGGGGCCAGGATGCGGCCGCTGCTGGCACTCTGGGGACAATGGGGACAAGGCGGTGGCACCACAGGGGCCCCCATGGACACCCTGTTCCCATCGTCCCCACTGAACACAAGGAGCCCATCCCATGGCCCCAGGCTCTTCCCATTGTCATCAATGGCCACCATGGCACCAAGCTCTTCCCATTGTCCCCAGTGGCCACCATGAGCCCAAGCTCTTCCCATTGTCCCCAATGGCCACCACGTCCCCAAGGCCCCCCGTTGTCCCCAATGGCCACCACGTCCCCAAGCCCCCCATTGTCCCCAATAGCCACCACATCCCCAAGGCCCCCCATTGTCCCCAATGGCCACCACATCCCCAAGGCCCCCCCATGTCCCCAATGGCCACCACGTCCCCAAGGCCCCCCCATGTCCCCAATGGCCACCACATCCCCAAGCCCCCCCATGTCCCCAATGGCCACCACGTCCCCAATGGCCACCACGTCCCCAAGGCCCCCCATTGTCCCCAATGGCCACCACATCCCCAAGCCCCCCCATTGTCCCCAATGGCCACCACATCCCCAAGCCCCCCCATTGTCCCCAATGGCCACCATGTCCCCAATGGCCACCAACACCCCAAGGCCCCCCAATGTCCCCAATGGCCACCACATCCCCAAGCCCCCCATTGTCCCCAATGGCCACCATGTCCCCAAGCCCATTGTCCCCAATGGCCACCACATCCCCAAGCCCCCCATTGTCCCCAATGGCCACCACATCCCCAAGCCCCCCATTGTCCCCAATGGCCACCACGTCCCCAAGCCCCCCCATTGTCCCCAATGGCCACCACGTCCCCAAGCCCCCCATGTCCCCAATGGCCACCACATCCCCAAGCCCCCCCATTGTCCCCAATGGCCACCACGTCCCCAAGCCCCCCATGTCCCCAGGTGTCCCCATTGCCCCACAGAACCTTCTGGAGCCACTGGGGGGTGACGATGGGGACGCCGCGCGCCACCGCGCACAGGAACTTGAGCGTGCGCCGCACGCGGTCGGTGACCAGGTGGGTGCAGTCGAACACCGAGGTGGCCACCGAACCCCCCAGGGAGCCCAGGGCAACCTCCATGGCCTCGGAGGCCACCAGGCCCGTGAAGAGAACCTGGGGACACAATGGGGATAGAATGGGGATAGAATAGGGATAGAATGGGGATAAAATGGGGATAGAATGGGGATAGAACAGGGATAGAATGGCGATAAGATAGGGATAAAATAGGGAAACAATGGGGATAGAATGGGGATAGAATGGGGAAACAATGGGGATAGAATTGGGGATAGAATGAAGATAGAATGGGGATAGAATGGGGAAACAATGGGGATACAATGGGGATACAATGGGGATACAGTGGGGATACAGTGGGGATACAATGGGGATACAATGGGGACACAATGGGGATACAATGGGGAAACAATGGGGATACAATGGGGAAACCATGGGGATAGAATTGGGGATAGAATGAAGATAGAATGGGGATAGAATGGGGAAACAATGGGGATACAATGGGGATACAATGGGGACACAATGGGGACAGAATGGGGAAACAATGGGGATACAATGGGGATACAATGGGGAAACAATAGGGATACAATGGGGAAACAATGGGGATACAATGAGGATACAATGGGAATACAATGGGGACACAATAGGATACAATGGGGATACAATGGGGAAACAATGGGGATACAATGGGGACACTGGGGATCCCCCCCAAGGTCTTGACCCCTCTTCCCCATCCCATAATACCTTCAGGGGGGCGGAGCCAAGGTTGCGCCGGGGGCGGAGCTGCGGTGCCTCAACCTCTCTGGGCTCCTCCTCCTTATCCTGGGGGGGTGGGGACACTGCATTAGGCTCCGCCCCCAACCTGCTGTCCACCAATCAGCAATGCCCGCACCCCACTTTAACCCCACCCACCACCCTTTATTCCCCGCCCCTTCAGACCACACCCACCTGTGCTCTCCTCCGTGATTGGCTGGTCCCTGCCCGCCGGGGGCGTGGCTTGGTCGGCGGGGGGCGTGGCTCCTCGAGGGGGCGGGCCAAGAGGCGGGGGCTGCGCCGCAAGGGGGCGGGGCCAATGGGAGCCACCACCTCCTCCTCCGCCACGCCCCCTTTAGCTCCGCCCCTTCGGCTCCTGGCCAGGCGCTGGCTGCGGCGGGGGCCCTATGGGATGGGGGGGGTCAATGATGTCATCATGAAGACAGTGACGTCACAACACAGAGGGGCGGAGCTTGTGCAAAGCCCCTCCCCACTCACCTCCTCCTTGGTCCCTTCCTTTGGGGGGGCCTGGGGGGGGTTTCGGGGGGGCTCTTCCTCCTCCTCCTCTTTTTGGGGGGCGCAGAAGAGCTGAGTGGGCTCCTCGGGGTCCCAACCATGGGGTGAACCTGGGGGGGGGACACCCAAATATGGGGGGGTCACATTGGAAAGGACCCAAGCATCTGGTGATGGGGACCCCATAGGAGAAGGGGGTACCCCCCCATGGGTCCAGGGCACCCACCTGGGTCTGCTGGAGGCAGGAAGCTCTGGGTGGGCTCCAGGAAGAGGTCAACATCTGGATGAGGAAGAGGAAATAGAGACCATGAAGGGGGGACCCCAACATCTGGGGGGGAGACCCCAAGGTGTGTGGGGGGGCACTGACCATCGCTGTCGCTCTCTGTCTCATCGGCACCATTGGTGACAGAGGAACACGAGTCCAGATGTGGGGACTTGGGGGTGGAGGCGTCCACGGGCGCATCTGGAACCGGCGCCTGGGTCTCGCCATTGGGTCCCTGGGCCCCAACATCTGGATTCGGGGTCGCCACATCTGGATTCAGGGTCAACACATCTGGATTTGGGGCTCTCACATCTGGATTTGGGGGCACCACAGCTGGATTCGGGGTCGCCACATCTGGATTTGGGGTCGCCACATCTGGATTCGGGGTCAACACATCTGGATTCGGGGTTGTCACATCTGGATTTGGGGCCTTCCCACCTGGATTTGGAGCCCTCAAGTCTAGATTTGGGCTCATCACATCTGGATTTGGGGCTCTCACATCTTGATTCGGGGTCACCACATCTGGATTTGGGGTCAGCACATCTGGATTTGGAGTCTCCACATCTTGATTCGGGGTCGCCACATCTGGATTTGGGGCCTTCCCACATGGATTTGGAGCCCTCATGTCTGGATTTGGGCTCATCCCATCTGGATTTGGGGTCAGCACATCTGGACTTGAGGCCTTCCCACTTGGATTTGGAGCCCTCATGTCTGGATTTGGGCTCATCACATCTGGATTTGGGGTCACCGCATCTAGATTTGGGGCGGCCACATCTGGATTTGGGGCCTTCACACCTGGAGTTGGGGGCACCGCACCTGGAGCTAGGGCCCTTCCATCTGGATTCGGGGCCCTCACATCTGGACTTGGGGTCGCCACATCTGGAGCGGGGGCCGTCGCATCTGCATTAGGGCTTGCCACATCTGGATTAGGGGTCGCCACATCTTGATTTGGGGCCCTGACATCTGGATTTCGGGTCTTTCCACCTGGATTTGGGGTCGCCACAATTGGATTTGGGGTCGCCACATCTGGAGCTGGCGCCCTTACATCTGGATTTGAGGCCTTCCCACTTGGATCTGGGGTCACCACATCTGGATCTGGGGTCACCACATCTGGCGATTTCCAGCTCTTTGGGGCCGCCTCGGCGCTGCTGCCCCCAACATCTGCATGGGGGTCGCTCTGGAACCGGACGCGGCTCCGGTGCTGCCGAACATCTGGCGTGGGAGCCACCTCCCCCCCATCGCTGCTGGGGGGGGACACATCTGGATCAGGGGGCACGGTCCCAACATCTGGAACCGGGCTCTCCAGCACCACCGCCGGCGGCTTCCAGGGCTCAAGGAAGCACTGGGTCAGGTCCTCGTCCTCCACATCAGTATCGGAGTCATCCCCTTGGGGCCCCCCAACATCTGGCTTGGGCGTCTCCATCACCAGGACCTGCTCCTTGGGGCACAGCTGGATTGGAGGGGAGCCAACATCCGGGCTCCCCCCGTCCTCCTCCACATCTGTATCGCTCTCCACCAAGAGCCCCTGGAGCCTTGGGCCAGGCCGGGGGGGGGTCTCCGGTGCCACATCTGGATGGGGGGGCTCGGCCTTCACAGCTGCATCTCCGGGGGGGCCAACATCAGGACGAGCTCCCCCCTCCTCCTCCACATCTGTATCGCTGTCCAACACCAGCAGCTGGTCCCCGGGGCGGGGGGGCACATCTGGATGGGGCTCCTCGCCCTCCCCATCTGTGTCGCTGTCCATGGCCAGCAGCCAGGCCCCGTTATGGGGCCCCCCCACATCTGGCTCCGGGGCCCCCCGGCGCTGCCGTTTGGGGCCTCCCACATCTGGATCCTGGCGGGGGGGGCTCCGGCAGCGCTTCCGGATGCTCCAAACATCTGGGCGCGCATCTGGCTCTGCCGCCGCTGCTCCCTGCCCTACAGAGGCCACAGCTATTGGGGGGGGGCCCTTTAGGCGACCCCAATATTTGAATATGGGGGGGGGGGGCAGGACCTACCGGTGCCCCCCACGGTGCTGAGGCTTTGGTGGTGCTTTCGGTGCATGGTCTGGGGGGGCAACAACAACTGCCCCATAGAAACAATTGCCCCCATCACCCCCAAACCACCCCCTCACCAGGGCTAAAGGACCCCTCCAAATACCCCCTTGGCTTCTAAATGCCCCAGGGACCCCCAGTCTGCCCCACAAGGCCCCCAATCTGCCCCATATGACCCCAATTTGCCCCAGGGACGCCCCCAACTGCCCCATATGACCTCCAACTGCCCCATATAACCCCCCCAACTGCCCCATATCACCCCAATATGACCCTTATGACCCCCAACTGCCCCATATAACCCCCCCAACTGCCCCATATGACCCCAATCTGCCCCTTATGACCCCCAACTGCCCCATATAACCCCCCCAACTGCCCCATAAGACCCCAATTTGCCCCTTATGACCCCAAACTGCTCAATATAACCCCCCTAACTGCCCCATATGACCCCAATCTGTCCCACGGACGCACCCAACTTCCCCACAAGGCAGCAAACTACCCCTCGACCCCCCCCAACTTCCTCATATGACCCCAAAGTACCCCATATGACCCTAAACTGCCCCATGTGACCCCAATCTGCCCCACTTAACCCCCCCACAACCGCCCCGGCACCCCCCAACCCTCCTCAATGGCCGCCATCGCTCACCCCTCCCGCGCCATCGGAACTCAAGCCCCGCCTCCCTCACCCCATTGGCCATCCGCTCCACGCGTCACCGCCCATCGGACATCCCATTGGCTGTCGGTCACGTCCTTAAAGAAAGGCGGAAGGAGGTCCTCCGAGGGAAGGGGGCGGTGCTAAACGATACCGTCCAATGGGACCGCGGCGAGAGGGTGGTGCTGGCCAATGGGAGCGCGGGGCCGGGCGGTGCCGCCTTGTCTATATGAGGCGCCGCGGGGCCGCGGGAGCCGCCATTGCTGCCGCCGCCGTTGCGCTCAACGCTCGGGTCTTAAAGGGGCCGCTGCACCGACAAGCTCCATCCACGACCGGGTGGGCCCCACCGCTCCGGCACCTTCACCGCGCACCGCCACCATGAGGGAGATCGTCCACATCCAAGCGGGACAATGCGGCAACCAGATCGGGGCCAAGGTGAAGGGCGGGCGGGCTGCGGCGGGACAGAGGGGTGGGCCCCCCCTTTCATCCCTCCCACTGTGGCGCTGCCCCTTTAAGAAGCCCCTCCCTTCGCGCAGACAAAGGCGGACCCGAATCTTGGCGATTTTAGCCCAAAACGGCGCCTTTCCCGCGCGTTCAGGGGCCCGTAGGGGGGAAAGGAGCGGTTTTGCCTTAAAAGCGAAGCGGCTCGGCCCCAAAATGGAGGTTTTTGGCCCCAAAACGTGCCTCCCCCCCTCCTTATCACGCGGCTCAAAATGGCGGTTTCCCGCCGCGCCTCGGGGGAGCGGCGCCCGAAAGCGGCTTTTAAGCCTCAAAAAGCGCCGGTTTTGCCCGAAAAGGGCTCTTTTTTACCCCAAAACAGATGCTTTTTTCTCCAGAAAACACCGTTTAAAGATATTTTCCCCCCAAATATCAGATTTTGGCCCGATTCGCCAATTTTCAGCCCTCAAAGGGGCGTTAAAGCCCCAAAATGACGGGATTTAGCCCCGCAATAGGAGTTTTCCCACACAAGCGGTGCTTTAAAATCCCAAATTGCGCTGGTTTTGCCCCAAAATCACATCCATCCGCCCTTTTGCTTCGTTTCTGACTGCGTTTTTCACGTGTTCAAAATCAGGCGTTTTCGGCGTTAAAATGAGGGTTTACGCCCCCAAAATAAAGCTTTTTAGCTCCCAAAACGGGGGCGTGCCGCCCACAGCACCCAAAAAGGGGGTTTTCTACCCCAAAATGGGTAGATTTAAGCCAAAAATGAAGCTTTCCGTCCCCAAAACAGGGGCGTGCCGGCCCTCAAGGGGCTCGTTTGGCTCCAAAATGGGCTTTTTTCGCCCCAAAACCGCGATTCTTTTGTCACAAAATGGCGATTTTCTTGATTAGCTATCAAATACGGGGTGGGTTGGTAAAAAATAAAGGCTTTTTAGCCCCTAAATTGAGGGTTTTGGCCTTAAAATGGGAGTTTTCAGTGCCCAAGAGAGGTTTTTCTACTACGGGGGAAGCTTTGTTCTCTCTAAGGAGAACTTAAGCCCTAAAATCCGCATTTTTGCCCCCAAAAAGGAGATTCTCTCCTTGAAATGAAGGTTTTTTTGCCCAAAATCGTATTTTTGGGCCCCAAAATGGATTATTTTAGCGCTAAAAGAAGCCTTTTCCCCCAAAAGCGCCAAAATGCGGCTTTTCCCACGCCCAGGAAGAGCTTTGTTCTTGGAAACAGCATTTTCCCGTCCCCAAAAAGGGCTTTTTTTGCCCCAAAAGGGCTTTTTGAACGGAAAAAGGAGCTTTTCGGCCCCAAAATGGGTTTATTTAAGCCCAAAAAGGGGGTTTTGGTGTTAAAAGCAGGGCGATCCCACCCCAAAATGGAGGAATCCAGCCCCAAAATGGAGGGCTGCGGCTGAAGAATCGCATCTTTGTGCTCCCAAAAGCAGCTTTTCTGCCCCAAATTCAGCCGTTTTGCTCCAAAATGAACGTTTTTTTTACCCCTAAACTTGTTTTTTAACGCAAAATGATGCTTTGAGCCCCAAAATGAGTGATTTGGGCCCCGAAACGGACTCTTTTCCACGCCGCAATGGTTTTAGTGCTGCTTCACAATGGGGGTTTTCCCCGTTTAGCCTGGGTTTTAGCCCCAAAATGAGGGGTTTTCCACTCAAAATCAACCTTTCCCTTCGAAAATGATGGGTTTTGACCTAAAATCCACATTTTCAGCCCCAAAACAGCACCTTTGTGTCTCAAAAGCGACTTTGCCCCCCCTCAATGGAGGCTTTCGGCTGCAGAACGCGATCTTTGTTCCTGAAAATGCCTCAAACGAGCGTTTTGGACCCCAAATTTCTCCCCAGAAACGGGGTTTTCAACCCCCAAAAACCCGTTTTTAGCCCCAAAATCACTTTTCCCACTCCAGAATTGCAATTTTTTCCTATTTTCAGTTCGGAATTAAAACATATTTGTTCTCAAACGCGATTTTATAGCCTTAAAGCGGCATTTCCCCCCCCCAAAACCAGTTATTTTTCCTCCCCAAATGGACTTTTTTTGTCCCATTATGACCGTTTGAGTCACAAAATTCCCCTTTTCCACCCCAAAACAGTTTTCAACCAAAAAGAACCATTTTAACCTCACTCAACCCCCTTAAACGCACATTTTCAGTCTCCAAAGGAATGCTTTTTAACCCAAATCGCCTTTTTTACGCCATTTCTTCACCGTCAGCCCCAAAATTGGGGGGTTTGGACCCATTTTCACCTTTAGGGCGTGGCTCTGCCCCCCCCATGACCTTGAATGGGGGGGTTTGGGGTCCCCACTGCCTCCCAAGGGGCACATTTTGGGGCCAATCCCCTCGATTTTGGCACTTTCCCTTTGATGAGGGGTGGTTTTTGGGGCAGAAAAGGGTAAATTTGGGGTAAAAAGCGGCTTTTTGGGGGGTGCCACCATTCAAACCCTGCTTCCGGTTCCCGCCCGCCCGTTACTTTGGCCACGCCCCCCCTGCAGTCACCGAGGCCACGCCTTCTCTGTGGGCTCCACCCCCCATTGGTCGGCCTCCTCGTGGCCCCGCCTATGCGATCGAGCCACGCCCCCTTTTTTACTCTCCTGCCCCTTCAGCTGGCTCCTCCAATCAGCTTCCAAAGCTCAACCCCTCCCAGCCAATGGGGCTTCTCCTCCCAGTTAAGCTCCACTCTCTTTTAAATCATAGCTCTCTTTATTCATCCCCAGCCCTTATGGGACCAAGGGGAGGGGTGGAACCTTCTTGGTTCCTCTCCTCTCATTGGAGGGGAAAGGAAAGGGGGCGGGGCCTCGTTGACACCCCCTCCCCTTTCTCCCCCACCCCTCCATTCAGTTCTGGGAGGTGATCAGTGATGAACACGGCATCGACCCCACCGGCACCTACCATGGAGACAGCGACCTCCAGCTCGACCGCATCAGTGTCTACTACAATGAGGCCACCGGTAGGATGTCCCCATCACCACCACGTCCCCATCACTACCATGTCCCCATCACCATGTCCCCACCATCACCACGTCCTCATCACTGTGTCCCCATCACCACCATCATATATCCCCATCACCATCACATCCCCATCACCACGGTGTCCCCACCATCATATCCACATGACCACCACATCTTCATCACTGTGTCCCCATCACCACCATGTCCCCATCACTATGTCCCCAGCATCATATCTCCATCACCACATCCCCATTGCCACCGTGTCCCCATTATCACCATATCCCCATCACCACCGAGTCTCCATCACATCCCCATCATGGCGTCCCCATCACCACCACCATGTCCCCACCATCATAGCCCCATTACCATGTCCCCATCATCATATCCCCATCGCCACCACATCCCCATCACCACCCTGTCCCCGTCCCCACCCCACCTTGGTGACACGGTGCTGTCCGTAGGGGGGAAGTACGTGCCGAGGGCCATCTTGGTGGACCTGGAGCCTGGGACCATGGACTCGGTGCGCTCAGGACCCTTTGGGCAGATCTTTAGGCCGGACAACTTCGTTTTTGGTGAGTCCCCATCTTGGCCATTGCCTTCATTGGGTGCCCATCACCGTGGCGTTGGGTCGTGGGCCCCCGCTGCAGTGCTTCCCCATTCACACATCCCTCCTTAATGCCCCTCCAGTGCTTGGCACAATGGGGCAGGAGGTCCCTGTTGTCCCCTTCTTGGTGGTCATGGTCTCTTGTGGTGCTCCCCAGTTGGGTTTTGGGGTCCCCATAGGGGTTGTGGGACCCCACATTAGGTTAATGAGGCTTGTGTAGGACGTGGGTGCCCATGAGGTGCCCATGGGGGGGTCCTCAAGAAGGGTCCCCAAGGATGAGATGGAGGTCCCTATGGGGGGGTGGGGGGTCAAGGCTGGCTTTGCAGCCCCCCAGCAATGGGATGGGGGCTCCCAGGGTCTTTAAATGGGTCTGGGGGTGATGTGAGGATGATGATGGTGACCCACAAGGATGAGATGGAGGTCTCTATGGGGGCGTCAAGGTTGGCTTTGCAGCCCCCCAGCAATGGGATGGGGGCTCCCAAGGCTCTTAAATGGGTCTGGGGGTGATGTGAGGATGATGATGGTGACCCCCCCATTTGTCCCCCCCCCCCAAGGTCAAAGTGGTGCCGGCAACAACTGGGCCAAAGGGCACTACACAGAAGGAGCCGAACTGGTGGATTCGGTGCTGGACGTGGTCCGGAAGGAAGCAGAGAGCTGCGACTGCCTCCAAGGCTTCCAACTGACCCATTCCTTGGGGGGGGGCACCGGGTCCGGTATGGGCACCCTTCTGATCTCCAAGATCCGTGAGGAATATCCCGACCGCATCATGAACACCTTCAGCGTGGTGCCTTCACCCAAGGTCTCCGACACGGTGGTGGAGCCTTACAACGCCACCCTGTCGGTGCATCAGCTGGTGGAGAACACCGACGAGACCTATTGCATCGACAACGAAGCCCTGTACGACATCTGCTTCCGCACCCTCAAGCTGACGACACCGACCTACGGGGACCTCAACCACCTCGTCTCGGCCACCATGAGCGGGGTCACCACTTGCTTACGCTTCCCCGGGCAGCTCAACGCTGATCTCCGGAAGCTGGCTGTTAATATGGTGCCTTTCCCTCGCCTTCACTTCTTCATGCCGGGGTTTGCTCCGTTGACATCCCGAGGGAGCCAACAGTACCGGGCCCTCACGGTGCCGGAGCTCACCCAACAGGTCTTTGATGCCAAGAACATGATGGCGGCGTGCGACCCGCGCCACGGGCGGTACCTGACGGTAGCGGCCGTGTTCCGGGGCCGCATGTCCATGAAGGAGGTGGATGAGCAGATGCTGAACGTGCAGAACAAGAACAGCTCCTACTTCGTGGAGTGGATCCCCAACAACGTGAAGACGGCCGTGTGCGACATCCCCCCCCGCGGGCTCAAGATGGCCGTGACCTTCATCGGCAACAGCACGGCCATCCAGGAGCTCTTCAAGAGGATCTCGGAGCAGTTCACGGCCATGTTTCGGCGCAAGGCTTTCCTCCATTGGTACACGGGGGAGGGCATGGATGAGATGGAGTTCACCGAGGCCGAGAGCAACATGAACGACCTGGTCTCCGAGTACCAGCAGTACCAAGACGCCACCGCTGAGGAAGAGGAGGACTTCGGTGAGGAGGCCGAAGAGGAAGCGTGAAGAGGATGGAATGGCTTGGGCATGGATGGAGAAACCCCCCCCTTCCCCCTTCCCAATGTCCTTGGAGAGCCTTCGTCATCCTTTCAGCATCATCATCCTCAGAGCATCCCCCCCACCCCAACACCGGCCTTGGTGGCATCAATGGCGTTCACTCCCCTCCCACCACCTCCTTGTGCTGCACTGGTGTCACTGGGGAGCGTTTGGGCTTTGTGTTGTGTCCCCACCATCACCACCTCGTGGTGCTCTTTGGGATGGTCCTGGCCTTCATCTTCATCATCCTCCTCCTCCTCAGGGGGCTGGGGTCCGGCAGGAGAAAGCTCTTTGGGCTTTGTCTTTCATTGTGGTCAATGGAGAGTCCGTGTCCATCATGGTCAATGAAGAGCCCTTGTTCATCATCATGGTCAATGGAGAGCCTTCGTCTTTCATCATGGTCAATGAAGAGTCCTTGTCCATCATCATCATCGCCACTGGAGAGTCCTTGTCCTTCATCCTGCTCACCAGAGATAGATCCCCAGCTCTTCCTCATGGGCAATGGAAGAGCCCTTGTCCATCATGGTCAATGAAGAGCTCTTGGCCATTATGGTCAATGGAAGAGTCCTTGTCCTTCATCACGGTCACCAAAGAGCCTTCATCATCATCGTCAAGGAGGAGCCTTTGTCCATCGTGCTCAATGGAAGAGCCCTCACCCTTCATGGTCAATGAAGAGCCTTCATCCTGGTCAGTGAAGAGCCTTTGTCCATCATGGTCAATGAAGAGCCCTTGTCCTTCATCACGGTCACCAAAGAGCCTTCATCATCATCAAGGAAGAGCCCTCATCATGGTCAATGAAGAGCCCTTGTCCTTCACCATAGTCAATGGAAGAGCCCTTGTCCATCATGGTCAATGGAAGAACCCTTGTCCATCATGGTCAATGAAGAGCCCTTGTCCTTCATCACGGTCACCAAAGAGCCTTCATCATCATCATCATCAAGGAGGAGCCCTTGTCCATCGTGCTCAATGGAAGAGCCCTCACCCTTCACCATGGTCAATGGAGGAGCCCTCATCCACCACCATCACCACCACAGAGCCCCAGCACCCTCACGGGCACTGAGGAGCCTCCACTTCATCCCCATCACCCGAGGCCACCGCATCCCCACTGCCGGGGGGGGGGTGACACCACTAAATTATTGCCACCCCAAAACGGGCTCTCCCATCCCCCTTCCTGTGTCCCCTCCCCCTCATTTTGGGCCATTTTTCCCCTTTTCAACCTTTTTCCACTCTTCTTTTTTTGTTGTTTTTTTTTTCATATTGAAAAGCCACCCCCGGGGCCAGGAATAAACCCGGGATGGAAAATTCCACCCCCCTCTCCCTGGCTTTGTCTTATGTCCTTGGTCCCCCCTTTCCCTGCCCCATAGCACTTGGGGGTCACCAAAGGCATCAGGAAGGAGCCAGGCCTGGGGTGGATGCAGCAGCTTTAATGATGGGGGGATGTGGGGACCCCCCCCCCCCGTGGGGACAAGCCAGGCCCTGGGGTGGTGGCACTTGGGTGAGAGAGGCTATGGGGTGGTGGCATCATGGGGACAATGGGCTTGGGGGTCCCATGGGGACAAGGCTTCAAGGGGTTGGTGGCCCCATGGGGACAATGGGCTCTGGGGTGGTGGCACTTGGGTGAGAGAGGCTATGGGGTGGTGGCACCATGGGGACAATGGGTTCTAGGGGGCTGTAGGCACTATTGGGACATGGGGTTGGTGGCACCATGGGGACAATGGACTTGGTGTTGGTGGCATCATAGGGACATAGGTCCAAGGGGGCTGTAGGCACTATGGGGATATGGGGTTGGTGGCACCATGGGGACAATGGGCTTTGGGGTGGTGGCCCCACGGGGACATGGGCTTCAGGGGGCTGTAGGCACTATGGGGACAATGGATTCTGGGTTGATGGCACTATGGGGACAATGGGCTCCAGGAGGCTGTAGGCACTATGGGGACACGGTGTTGGTGGCCCCATGGGGGACATGGCCTTCGGGTTGGTGGCCCCATGGAGACAATGGGTTCCAAGGGGTTGCTCCCCCTTTGGCGTCCCCGCCTCACCCCTGGCACTCGCTCTTCTTCTGGGTACCCTGTGGGGACCGAAAGGACCCTGAGGAGGTGACCCCAGCCCCGGGTACCCCCCCCCCATTGTCCCCAAGGGCAGACCTGGGTGATGCTGACGCCGCTCAAGGCCTCGATGGCGCTGGGCAGGCGCGTGACCACGTCCAGGACCTCCCCTGGCAGCCGGGAGACCCCCAGGGCCCCGGAGGCGCCGGCCACCAGCGTCACCCGGCGGGTCCCCAGCAGCGGCTGCGCCACCGCCTCGGCCGCCTGCAGGGGAACGGGGCAGAGTCAGCACGGAATGGGGGCAAGGGGCCCTAAACAGCCCCTAAATAGCCCCAAAATAGCCCCAAAACTGAGCTCGGCACCCAAAATACCTCCAAATCACCCCAAAATAGCCCCAAATGGCCCCCAAAACTGAGCTCAGCACCCCAAATTGCCCCAAAATGGGAGTGAAGCACCAAGAGTACCCCCGAATCAGCCCAAAATACCCCCAAATCGCCCCCAGAACTCAGCTTGGCACCCAAAATACTCCCATATCGCCCCAAAAAGGGAGTGCAGCAGCCAAAATACCCCCAAATTCACCCCAAAACCACCTCGGCACCCCAAACACCTCCAAATCACTCCAAAATGGGAACACCCCAAAATAACCCCAAAAAGGGAGCTGAACACAAAAAACACCCCCAAATCACCCCAAAACATGAGCTCAGCACCCAAATACAGACACAACCCCCCCTTAGCCCCTATGTTCCACAGCAGGGACCCCACCTCCATGGGGTGGACCCCAGCATCCTCTTACCAAATCCCCCTGGAATAACCCCAACCCAACCCATTCCATACCAGAGACCCCACATCCATGGGGGGGATGGACCCCAAAATACCCCATGGGGACCCCCCCATACCTGGGGCAGGCGCTGCAGCACCATCTCCACCACGGCCGCCTCCTGGTACTGCCCAAAGGCCTCAGCCTTGGCCGCTGCTTGTGCTGCTTCTGCCCTGGCCCGGGCGGCCACGGCGGCTGCTTTGGCTGCGCCTGTCACCTGCAGGGGACCCCCGAGCCCCCCCCCACATTCGTGTTGGGGGGCTCTGACCCACACTTAGGGGACAGAGCCCCATAAGTGGATGAAGGACCCCCCCCAACTCACCCTCATGGCTTCAGCCTCAGCCTCTGCCTGCAGGATCACCTGGGACCTGGGGGCGGAGCGAAAGAGGGGGCGTGGTTTGTGATGGGAGGGGCTTGAGAGGGTGTGGTGGGGGGGTGTGGCTCCTTTTTAAGGGCAAGGCGGTGGTAGGACGCCTCTTAGAGGGGGTGTGGCTTGGTAAAGATCTCTTAAAGAGGCAATGGCATACTTAGGCAGTGGGTCCCACCAGTGAGGCTTACTAGAATGGGACAGTGCTCCCTCTTAAAGGGGCAATGACATCAGGTTAGGCAGTGAGTCCCACCAATGAGGCTTGGAAGACTGGAACAGAGCTTCCTCTTAAACGGGCAACAGCATCAAGTTAGCCAGTAGTCCCACCAATTTGGGGGTGTGGGTTGGTAGAATGGGATGAGGCTCCCTCTTAAGGGGGCAGCGGCATCTAGTTAGTGCGTCCCACCAATGAGGGGATTTGGCTTGGTAAAGCTCTCTTAAAGGGGCAATAGCATCAAGTTAAGCAGTGGGTTTCTGCAATGAGGTTTGGTAAAATAGGGCGGGGCTCCCTCTTAAAGGGGCAATAGCTTGGAAGATTGGGTTGGGGCTCTCCCTTAAAGGGGCAATGCAGCCCTTAAAGGGGCCACGTCCTCACCTCTGCGCCTCCGCCAGTCGCTCCAGCCGGTACCGCTCGGCCTCGGCCGGTTTACGGACCGTGGCCTCCAGCTCCAGCTCCCGGCGCCCGATCTCGTGCTCCTGCAGCTGCGCCCGCTGCGCCCGCTCCACCACCAGCACCTGCGCCCGCTGCTCCTCGATCTGCTGCTTCGTCCTCGCCACCTACACCCCCCCCCACACACACCCCAAATGGGTGGGGGGCACCCCAATGTTAAGGGGAGAAGCCATTATTGGGGTGGCTAAGGGGGTACCATGATGCTTGATGGGGGGTGTGTGGGTGGGGACCAAGGGATGGGGACACACACACACATAGAGGGCTATGGGGCATCATGGATGGGTGGGGAGGGGGGAATACCTGCAGCTCATAGGCCAGGTCAGCCGTGGCCTTGCGGGCGCTGACGGCAGCATCGCATTGAGCCTGCTGCAGCTCGAAGTCCCGCTGGGCACGAGCCATGGCCGCCTCGCTGAGCAGCTGCGCCGAGACCTGCTCCTGCCGGGCACGGGCCTCCTATGGAGGAGGGGAGACAGTGAGGGGCATCGTGGGTATGGGGACATGGAAGGGGTTGGGGGGATGCCAATGGGGTGCGGGGCTCACGCGGATCCCGGCGTCCCTCTTGGCCTCGGCCTCTCCGACGCGGGCGTCGCGCTGCACTTGGGCCGTGCGGCCCTTGCCCAGGGAGTGCAGGTAGTCCTGGGGACAAGGGGACAAGGTCACCCCGCCACGGTCCCACCAGCCATAGGGGATAGTGGGGATGGCCCTGGGCTTGTATGGTGTCCCCATAGCTGTTGTCCTCATCTGTTGTCCCCATATCCACATCCCCATCCCATGGCTACCATCCCCATGCCCCTATCCCATAGTCACTGCTCCCATCCCTATGTCCCCATCCCCATATCCCCATCCCATGGTCACTGCTCCCATCCCCATGTCCCCATCCCCATATCCCCATCCCATGGCCACCGTCCCCATGCCCATGTCCCCATTCCTATATCCCCATCCGTTGGTCACTGTCCCCATCCCCATATCACCATCCCATGGTCACTGCTCCCATCCCCACGTCCCCATCCCCATATCCCCATCCCATGGCCACCGTCCCCATGCCCATGTCCCCATTCCCATGGTCACTGCTCCCATCCCCATGTCCCCATCCCATGGCCACTGTCCCCATCTCCAAATCCCCATCCCATGGCCACTGTCTCCATCCCCATATCCCCATCCCATGGCCACTGTCTCCATCCCCATATCCCCGCCCCATGGCCACTATCCCCATCCCCATGTCCCCGCCCCATGGCCACCATCCCCAACCCCATGTCCCCATCCCTATATCCCTGTCCCATGGCCACTATCCCCATCCCCATGTCCCCATCCCTTGGTCCGTGCCCCCATCCCTGCCTGTCCCCACCATGTCCCCAATGCCACCTGGTCATCATGGATGTCCTTCAGGGTGTAGCTGACCACACTGATGCCCATATTGACCAGGTCGGATGAAGCCACGTTAAAAACCTGCTCCGAGAACTTCTGCCGGTCCTTATAGATCTCCTATGGAAGGGGCGGAGCTTAGCGATACAAGGGGCGGGGCTTCAAGGGCGGGGAGCCAATTGGAGCAGGGCTTCCACTGGGGCTTAGGGATGAATGGGGCTTTAAAGGGGGCTGTGTCCCCCCCTTACCTCCACGGTCATGTGGGCCATGATGGCGCGCTGGTGGCCCTCCAGGGTCTCCAGGGCGATCTGGGCGATCTCAGCCTCTGACTTGCCCAGGAACATCTGGCAAGCGGCTGCCAGCATCTCCTTGTTCTGCCCCTGGATCTTCACCTGCTCCCAGCGGGACCCATTCAGCCTCATGCACCCCCCCCTTTAACACCGATGGGGATGCGGCCCCTTTAAGAAGCTGTTCTTCCATAGGAAGTGCCTATTTAACAGCTTCAGGTTGAGGGAGGCACCCACCACGGGGTGCATTGCCTTTTTAAGAGCTGCACCTCTTGGGGAGGGACCCACCACTACGAGACCCTTATGGGGGGGTCCACACCATGGCAGGACCCTTTTAAGGGGCGGGGGTGTCTTAATGGAAGGGAGGAAGAGAAAGGGGACAAGGAAAGGGATATTCCCCCCCCCAAGCCCCTTATGGGGGGGGTCCACACCATAGCAGGACCCTTTTAAGGGGGAGGTCTTAATGGAGAAGAGGAAGAGGAGAAGGAAGAGGATATTCCACACACACCCCCCTAGAGTGGGGTCCACACCCTGATGGGACCCTTTTAAGGGGCCTTTTAATGGAGAAGAGGAAAAGAAAGGGGACAAGGAAGAGGATATCTCCCCCTTCAAGCCCCTTATACAGAAGGGGGGCTCCACACCATGGCAGGGCCCTTTTAAGGAGGGGGTCTTAATGGATAGGAAGAAGAGGAAGAGGACAAGGAAGAGCCCCCTCAGCAGTATTTGGGTGGGTCCCCCTTAAAAGGAACTGTACCAAGTACATGGGGGGGGGGGGTACCTGTGCGATGCCGGTGACGGAGATGGGCACCCCATGGCGGGTGTACACCTTCTCGCTGCGCACGTTGAGGGTCAGCGTGTTGAGGGAGATCCTAAGGGAAAAGGATGGATCCCAATTGCCTGTATGCATCCCTATGGATAGATCCCATTTACACACACACATACACACACCCTAATTCCTTACCTTTGGATCTGCTGCAGGCACGGCACCACCAGCACCCGGCCCCCGGCCACCATGACGGGGGGGCTGCGGCAGAAGCCTGAGGGGACGAGCGTTGTCATGGACGGATCCAAGCAGCGCCCAAGGGAATATAAAGGGGGGGGGGGGGTCGCGGCTCACCCGACACCACCATGGCCTCGTTGGGGCCACAGGTGAAGAACATCGCGGCGGGGACCCGGCCTGAGGCGCGGTGATGGCCACCCCCCCCCTTCCTCCTTTCACCTCCCCTCAGGCTCCGCTCCCACCCTCCCTGTTCTACCCAGCAACCGGTGACGTCACGGCGGCCTCGCCGCTCTCATTGGCTGATCCGCAGAAAGGGCGGGAAGGAGGGAGGGGAAGGAGAAGAAGGAGGGCGGGCTCCGGCGCCATGTTTGAGCCGGCGGCTCCATGTTCGGGTTATGGGGTTTGAGGGTGTTGTAGGGCGGGGAAAGGGGCTGGGCCAGCGCTCGGAGCCGCCTCCGAGGTGGAACGGGCGGAGGGTGCGGGTTTGGAGCCGATGGGGTGGGGAGAAGGGGATGGGGGACGTCCGCCGTAGTGCTTGTGGGGGGGCTTCGCTGTGGGGTCCCAATGTGGGGTCTCTTGTGAGGTGTTAATGGGGGTTTGTCGCCGTCAAAGCGCACATTTTTTGCGGTTCACAGCGGGTTTAATCAAAAACTCCATGTTTTACCTCAGAATTGCCCGCTTTGAGACCCGCAGGTTGCACGTAGCGGCTGTGCCATTGCCTCAGGCTGCAAACGCCGTCATTACCACAAGCGAATCCCTTCACCGCGGCTCATCCTGAGGTAATTCCCCAGGGATCCGGTGCCAGATCTGCTCTGTCGCCCTATTTTCGCCTATTTGCGGTTTATTTTGGTGCTCTGATCTGGGTTTACCGTGGTACAAACGCAATGCTAGGGAATCATGGAATGGTTTGGGGTGGGAAGGAGCAATTCCAACCCTTCCAACTTGAGCAGCTTGCTCCGAGCCCCCTTCCCAGTGGATTTATCAAGCTTGCAACCAGATTTTTAACTGTTATTACTCATTTTTTTAACATAAATGACCAACAAACAGACAAATTCAGGCGTCTGATTGAAATATATGGCTGCATATTGAAGTTTTCCATCATAACTGATGGATGGAACCCAATTGGCATCGTATGCTCAAATAGCTCCTAAGCTGCTTAGACTTGAAGCATTCCTCCTTGCTTCCCATGCCCTTCTTCCTTGGCAGAGCATAAGACTACAAGCCCTTGGTTAGGGTTAGCATTACTTAGCATTAAGTAATTACTTGATTACTTAGCATTACTTGATGCTAAAGACTTAAAAACTTAATTAACTTAACGACTAAACCCATCCCTGTGTTATCAGCTTCGTTCTCAGCCTAAAGCCCAAACCCAGCCCTGCACCAGCTACTAAGGAGGAGGGAAAGAACTGCTCTTCGAGAGGTGGAGGTGGGTATCCCTACACCATGGAATGCAAGAGGCTGACCTCCTGTCACCATCCTGCCTTTCTCCATGCTAAACACCCTCGTTACCCCCATCCACCCCTCACACAAGGCTTGTTCCAGCTCCAGCTCGTCTCTTTGTCTCTGCAGGGTCGATCCAGGATTGCAGGCCTCCATCCCCAAGGTGGAACGCATCAGAGAGAGTGACCAGCGTTTATTGTGCAGGGGAAGCTCCAGATTCAATCCGTGCTCGTTACCAGTGGTGCTTAATTAAGCAAAGAAGAGGGTCAGCAGCAAGAAGCAGCCTCCAGTTGCAGCTCATCCAGCCCATGCAGGGGTTAAGTAGGAGGCTCTGCAGGGGTAAGAGGAAGAGATGCATCCCCCTGTCCTCACAGAGCCCATTGCTCTCAGAGGGGCTCACTGCCTTCCTGCATCCCATGGAAGCTCCATGGAGGAGCTGGGGCCACCCCATCCGTGCCCATTGGTCCCACTTTGTACCTGTTGGTGAGCTGACAGAACCCATGGCCGTGCCTGCAAGAGAAAGAGCCGTGAGCAGCAAAGACACCTCTGGAGACACCTCCTTTTCCATGTTCCTACCCCAGGGGACGAGGGATTGGGAAACCAGAGGCACGGGACCACCACGGTGCTGGCTTGGCCACTGGTGCTCACCTGTGGGCACGCTGTAGCCATCCCTCTTCTTCTTGTCTGCAGAGAGAAGAGGACATCAGCACCCACCATGGGGCTGGTTGGGGCTCCCCATAGCAGCAGCTCCTGCCCTGCCTTCCTCCCTGGACACGGGGCCTTACCCAGTGTGCGCTTCCAGAGCACTGCCATCATGCTGATGATGATGATGATGAGCATCACAACAGCCACCACCAGCAGGGTGCTGAACAGGTTGGACTGCGCCTCTGGACGAAGAGGATGAGGATGAGGAGGTGGGAAAGGGGGGGAACCACCCCCACTGTGTGCTCCCCCCCCCATCAATGCTCACCCAAAGCATAGAGCCCAGGTTGGAGGAGGCTGGCGTGTTCCACCTGGCACCGGAACCTGTCCTTGTCCTTGGGGCTGGCCTCGATGGAGGCCCACGTGTAGTAGGTGCCGTCGCTGTTGGGTGCGATGCTGCCCCATTGGGTGTCCTGGTCCCTCACCTCGCCGTCCTTCAGCCAGCTGAGCGCGATGGGCCGAGGGTAGAAGCCACGAGCACGGCAGGTCAAGGTCAGGATCCCATCCTCCTCCTCCTTCTCTGACACTCGTACCATGGGCGGCACTGGGAATGGGATGGAGGGGAGGGATCAAACCTGAAAGCCAAGCCCATATCCTGGGCTGCATCCAAAGGGAGCGTGAGCCCTTGGAGCGTTGTGTGCAGTTGTGGTGTCCTCAATGTAAAAAGGACATGGATCTGTTGGGACAAGTCCAGAGGAGGGCCATGAGGATGCTCCAGGGGACTGGAGCACCTCCTGTATGGAGACGGGCTGGGAAAGTTGGGGCTGTTCAGCCTGGAGAAGGCTGTGGGGAGACCTCATAGTATCTGAAGGGGGGCTATAGGGATGCTGGGGAGGGACTCATTAGGGACTGTAGTGATGGGACAAGGGGTAAGGGGTTCAAACTGAAACAGGGGAAGTTCAGATTGGATATAAGGAGGGAATTCTTTCCTGTTAGGGTGGTCAGGCACTGGAATGGGTTGCCCAGGTTGTGCCCAGCAGTGTTCAAGGCCAGGCTGGTTGAAGCCTTGGGTGCCATGGCTTAGTGTGAGGCATCCCTGCCCATGGCACGGGGTTGGAACTGGAAGATCTCAAGCTCCTTTCCAACCCACACTGTTCTGTGGTTCTATGGTTCTATGGTTCTCTGGTTCTATGGTTCTATGGTTCTATGGCCTGGGCCTCAATGTCCCCATCTCACCCTCACCTTTCCTCTCCAGCTCGAGCTGCCCGTAGCGCACGTAGTTCTTCAGCCACTCCACACAGGTGTTCTGCAGGTAGTTCTTCATGCTCTCAGCTACACTCCCATCGTGTTCACACTCCCTCTTGGTGACCTCCGCTGCCGCGTCCGCCGCGATGTACATCATGTTGTCCATGTCAAAGGTGATGAAGTCCTGCCCATCGTAGGCGACCTGCTCATACCCCTTGATGCTCCCGTCGTCCAGGAGGTCACAGCCACGTACCCTCTGCTGTGTCTGAGCCCCTGCACCAGCACCGGTGAGATAGGGCTGAGGGGCTGCCCCACAGAGCCCATCCCAGCCCCATGCCAGCCTCATGAAGCACCATCCCTGCCCCACACTCACTCCCACTCTGGTTGTAGCGGGCCTGCACTGTGTTCAGGTTACTGTAGGTGACCTGCTCATTGCTCCGTGCAATCTGGGTCTGTTGATCCCAGTATTCCTGATCCACATTGGCAGCAATCCACTGTGTCCGAGGCTGATACCGCTTGCTCTCGCTGTCATAGTGCACAAAGGGGATCCCATCCACATATCCCATCGCCTGGTACCGGGGAACCCCCGGGCTGGGGTCTGACACGGCGAAATCTAAGTACCGCAGGGAATGGAGCACTGTGGGGAGACAGGGGTGAGGGTGACCTGGGCTCCAGAGTGGGGTGATGGGGATGTGACTGATGGGGGGGGGGTCTTTGTTCTCATGGAAGGGGGTCCTGGTGCCAGGGAAAAGAGGGGTCAAGGACTGGGAGAGTCGGGATTGATGGGAAGCAGGGACCAGGGGGGTCCTGGGTGTCATTAAAGCAGCCCCAGTGGAGGGTTCTGGGGGTCCTGGTGCTTGGAAAAGGGAATCCAAGGGGGTCCCAGGGAGTGTTTCGAGGGGTTCCTGGTGCCAGGGAAAGGGAATGTTGGCAAGGGAGGGTCTGAGGGGCATCACAGTACCCAGAGGGGGAATAAAGGGGGTCCAGGGGGGTTCCAGTGCCCAGGGGGTCCAGGGAGGTGTCTTGGGACATAGGGAATGGGGCACCGGTGCTCATGGAGGTCCCGGGTCCCTATGCCCGTGCTCACCTCTCGCCGCCCCTCCGAGGCTGCACAGCAGCAGGAGCCCCACGGCAGAGCCTGGCCCCATCGCGCTGCCCCTCTGAGCACCGACCCTGGATCCTCACCACCAGCCCCACTCTCCTCCTCCGCTATTGGCTCTCCCCCCTCGCCACCCACCAATGAGAAACCCCGACCGCTCTTGACGTCACCGGTTGCCGGGCAGATGCCACTTGACGTTGGGATATCGAAAGCGAAACGATCCTTCCTGGAAAACCCCCAGATTCCCGGCCTGATGACTCGGGCTTCAGAGCCATGGTAAGGAACAGGCATCGTTGTGATGTTGGGAACCCGACGTGAGGCTCGATCCTGATGGATCTGGGCCTTTGTGCGCAGGGAATGGGGCGCCAGTGCTCGGGAAAAGAGGTCCAGGGGGGTCCTGGGACATGGGAATGGGGCAAACTCTGCTAACCATTGATAACAGAAGCGTTTATTGGTGTCCAAGAGGTGTGAGAAGGGACTGCAATGGATACTGGAGTACATCTGATTTGGTCATGGTCCCACAGCAGGGACATGGTGGTGTCTCCAGCCCAGCCATCGTGCACCCAGTACAGCCTCCATGGGCCCTACTCATAGCTCCTGGTGTCCCTATCCCCAAGCCCAGTTGTCCCCATCATGGCTTGTGGTGGTTCCATCCCTTCGTGTCCCCATCCCTGCTCCTCATGTACCCATCCATGCTCTGAGTGTCCCCATCCCTACCCCACTGTACCCATCCCATCTCCCAGTGTCCCCATCCCCTGGTTGCCCCCATGCTGGCATTTGGTGTCCCCATCTCATCATGTCCCCATCCATGTTCTGTGTCCCCATCCCATCCCCTCATGTCCCAATCCATGTTCTCAGTGTCCCCATCCCATCCCCTCATGTCCCAATCCATGTTCTCAGTGTCCCCATCCCATCTCCTGATGTCCCCATCCCATCTCCTGATGTCCCCATCCCATCTCCCCCTGTCCCCGTCCCATCTCCCACTGTCCCCATCCATGTTCTCACTGTCCCCTTCCATGTTCTCACTGTCCCCATCCATGTTCTCACTGTCCCCATCCCATCTCCCCCTGTCCCCATCCTATCTCCCAGTGTCCCCATCCCATTTCCCCTTGTCCCCATCCATGTTCTCACTGTCCCCATCCATGTTCCCCCTGTCCCCATCCCTGTTCTCCCTGTCCCCATCCCTGTTCTCCCTGTCCCCATCCATGTTCTCCCTGTCCCCATCCCTGTTCTCCCTGTCCCCATCCCTGTTCTCCCTGTCCCCATCCCATCTCCCCCTGTCCCCATCCCATCTCCCCCTGTCCCCATCCCATCTCCCCCTGTCCCCATCCCATCTCCCCCTGTCCCCATCCCTGTTCTCCCTGTCCCCATCCCATCTCCTCCTGTCCTCATCCCTGTTCTCCCTGTCCCCATCCATGTTCTCAGTGTCCTCATCCATGTTCCCCCGTCCCCATCCATGTTCTCAGTGTCCCCATCCCTGTTCTCCCTGTCCCCATCCCTTTCTCCCTGTCCCCATCCATTTCTCCCCGTCCCCATCCCTGTTCTCCGTGTCCCCATCCATGTTCTCCGTGTCCCCATCCATGTTCTCAGTGTCCCCATCCATGTTCTCCCCGTCCCCATCCCTGTTCTCCGTGTCCCCATCCATGTTCTCCGTGTCCCCATCCATGTTCTCAGTGTCCCCATCCATGTTCCCCCGTCCCCATCCCTGTTCTCCCTGTCCCCATCCCTGTTCTCCGTGTGCCCATCCATGTTCTCAGTGTCCCCATCCATGTTCTCAGTGTCCTCATCCATGTTCCCCCGTCCCCATCCCTGTTCTCCGTGTCCCCATCCCTGTTCTCCCTGTCCCCATCCCATCTCCCCCTGTCCCCATCCCATCTCCCCCTGTCCCCATCCCATCTCCCCCTGTCCCCATCCCATCTCCTCCTGTCCCCATCCCTGTTCTCCGTGTCCCCATCCATGTTCTCAGTGTCCCCATCCATGTTCTCCCCATCCCCATGCCCCGGTGCCCCCAGCCGCGGTTCTCGGGGTGCAGGAGCTCCCTGGGGTCCCTGAGCTCCCGCAGGTGTCCCCCTGCCAGCACGGCCACGCGCTGGGCCCGCAGCGCCAGGGCCGCCCGCCCCGTCACCAGCAGCACCGAGCGCCCCGCACTCAGCACCTCCTGCTCCACCTGCGCGGGACGTGGGGGACGTGATGGGGACATGGGGGTATGGGGATATGGGGGGGTATGGGGTGGTATGGGGGGGTATGGGGGTTATGGGGGTATGGGGGTATGGGAACATGGGGGGGTATGGGGATATGGGGGTATGGGGGTATGGGGGACATGGGGGGTATGGGGGGGTATGGGGGTTATGGGGGTATGGGGATATGGGGGTATGGGGATATGGGGGGTATGGGGGACATGGGGGGGTATGGGGATATGGGGGTATGGGGACGTGGGATGTGGGGGTATGGGGATATCGGGACATGGGATGTGGTGATATGGAGATAGGGGACGTGGGGGTATGGGGACATGGGATGTGGGGATATGGAGATAGGAGACATGGTGATACAGAGATATGGGATATGGGGATATGGAGATATGGGACATGGGGGTATGGGGACATTGGACGTGGGGGTATGGTGATATGGGGACATGGGATGTGATCTGGAGATATGGGACATGGGGGTATGGAACGTGGGGGTATAGGGATATGGGGTTTGGGGATATGGGGACATGGGATGTGGTGATACGGAGATATGGGACGTGGTGATAGGGGGTGTGGGATGTGGGGTATGAGGACATGGGGATATGGGGACATGGGATGTGGTGATACGGAGATATGGGACATGGGGGTATGGGGATATGGGCCATGGGGATATGGCGATATTGGACATGGCCATATAGGGATATGGCGATATTGGACATGGCCATATAGGGATATGGGACATGGGGGTATGGGGACACAAAGGGGACACAATGGGGGCACAATGGGGACACAATGGGCACACAATGGGGACACAGGTGTCACCTCCCACCTGAGCACTGGTTTTGGCATCCAGGGCACTGGTGGGCTCATCGAGGACCAGGACACGGGGGTCCCGCAGCAGAGCACGAGCAATGGCCACGGCCTGGCGCTGTCCCCCCGAGAGCTGCGTGCCCAGGTCCCCAACCTCTGCAGGGAGGGGATGGGGCCATGGGGACCCATAGGGACCCATGGGGATGCTGTGGGGTACAGGGGATGTGGGGAGGGGGGTGCGGTACCGGTGTCGTAGCCATGGGGCAGGCGGCGGATGAAGGGGTCGGCACCGGCGCGGCGAGCGGCCGCTGTCACCTGAGCCCGGCTCCGGTCACCAGCCCCATAGGAGATGTTGGAATGGAGGGAGCGGGAGAAGAGCAGGGGGTACTGGGGGACAGCGGCCACCTGGGGATGGGGGGCAATGGGATGTGGGGACACGGGGATGTGGGGATGTGGGATGTGGGATATGGGTATGGGGGAGATGGGGACACGGGGATGTGGGAATATGGAACAGGGGGATATGGGATATGGGGATATGGGATATGGGGATATGGGGATATGGGACATGGGGATGTGGGATATGGGACATGGGGATGTGGGATATGGAGATAGGGGACGTCGGGATACGGAGATATGGGATGTGGGGATATGGGGACATGGGATATGGGGATATGGAGATAGGGGACGTGGGGATTGGGATATGGGGACATGGGGATATAGGGTGTGGGACATGGGGACATGGAACATGGTGTTTGTCTGGTGACATGGGGATGGCCTTGGAGACCCATTGGTGATGATTGGTGACACAGGGGTGGGTGGCCATTGGGACCCATTGGTGATGGTTGGGGACCAGGGCCATTGGGACCCATTGGTGATGGTTGGGGACCAGGGCCATTGGGACCCATTGGTGATGGTTGGGGACCAGGGCCATTGGGACCCATTGGTGATGGTTGGGGACCCATTGCTGGCACCTGCTGGCGCAGGTGGCGGTGCCGGTACGCGGGCAGGGGGTGCCCGTCCAGCAGCACCCTCCCGCGGTGGGGCTGGTGCAAGCCCAGCACCAGGGACACCAGGGTGCTCTTCCCTGCACCCGGGGCACCCACCACGGCCAGGACCTGCCCAGGGAGCAGCTCCAGAGACACACCCTGGGGGACAGAGGTGACATCCGATGGCCCCAGCCCCATGGTGAGACCCATCCCTGTCCCCAGCCGTGTCCCCATGGCCCCATCCGTGTCCCCATGGCCCCATCCATGGCCCCATCCATGTCCCCATCCATGTCCCCATCCATGACCCCATCCATGGCCCCATCCATGACCCCATCCATGGCCCCATCCATGTCCCCATGTCCCCATCCATGTCCCCATCCATGTCCCCATGGCCCCATCCATGTCCCCATCCATGTCCCCATCCATGTCCCCATCCATGACCCCATGGCCCCATCCATGACCCCATCCATGTCCCCATCCATGACCCCATCCATGTCCCCATGGCCCCATCCATGTCCCCCTCCATGTCCCCATGTCCCCATCCATGTCCCCATCCATGTCCCCATCCATGTCCCCATCCATGTCCCCATCCATGACCCCATCCATGTCCCCATGGCCCCATCCATGTCCCCATCCATGTCCCCATGGCCCCATCCATGTCCCCATCCATGTCCCCATGGCCCCATCCATGTCCCCATCCATGTCCCCATGGCCCCATCCATGACCCCATCCATGTCCCCATCCATGACCCCATCCATGTCCCCATCCATGTCCCCATCCATGACCCCATCCATGTCCCCATCCATGACCCCATCCATGGCCCCATCCATGTCCCCATGGCCCCATCCATGAGCCCATCTGTGTCCACATGGCCTCATCCATGTCCCCCTCCATGTCCCCCTCCATGTCCCCATCCATGTCCCCATCCATGTCCCCATCCATGTCCCCGTCCATGTCCCCGTCCATGTCCCCGTCCATGTCCCCGTCCATGACCCCATCCATGTCCCCATGTCCCCATCCATGCCTCCATGCCCCCCTCCATGCCTCCATGCCCCCCTCCATGCCTCCATGTCCCCCTCCATGCCTCTATGTCCCCCTGCCCCACCATACCCCAGTGCCCACCTTGAGGACAGGCTCTTGCTGCTGGGGATAGGAGAACCAGACACCCTCAAGCTTGAGGTGACCCCGCACCTCGGCCTCCAGCGTCCCCTCCGGTGTCCTCTGCTCCTCCTCACCCAGGACCTCCAAGACCTTCTCCGAGGAGCCCATGGCCTTGCTCAGGTTGGGGTAGTAACGGAGCAGGACCTGGGGGCCACAGAGAAGGGGACGCAATGGGACCAGCACTGGGGACACAGCGGGATGGGCACCGTTGAGGGGAGGACATTGGGGTCACCTCGATGGAGCTGGTGAACTGCATCTGGTACATGAGGAAGGTGACCAGGTCCCCGGTGCTGATGGTCCCTGCGGCCACCATCTGTCCCCCATAGTAGAGGAGCCCCAGCTTCAAAGCCAGTGAGAAGAACTGGGGGGACACAGACGGGAGGTCACCCAGCACCAGGGGATACCAATAGGGGGGTCCCCCTGTCCCCCTTCCTGGCCATGCCCACCTCCATAGGGACACTGAGCTCCCAGCATGCCCTGTGCCACTGCATCCATGTCACCATCACCAATGGGTCCCCGTGGCCACCCCTGTGTCCCCAGCCATCACCAATGGGTCCCAATGGCCAACCCCAGGTCCCCAACCATCGCCAATGAATCCCAATGACCAACCCCTGTGTCCCCAACCATCACCAATAGATCCCCATGGCCAACCCCCAGGTCTCCAACCATCACCAATGGGTCCCAATGGCCAATCCCTGTGTCCCCAACCATCACCAACAGGTCCCAATGGCCACTCCATGGTCCCCATCCATCACCAACAGGTCCCAGTGGCCACCCCTGTGTCCCCATGACCTCAGAGCCTCCTGGTTCCTGCTGTCCCCATCTCCCCATGTCCTTACCCCACTGATCCAACCGGTGGCCGCGTACGTGAGGGCCTGGGTGGCCTCCAGCCTCTGCACCCGTTGCAGTCGCTCCTGGTACCTCTGGACCGCTCCATCCTCGAAGGCGAAGCCACGGACGGTGCCCATGGCCTCAAAGGTCTCCATGGCCACCCCGGTGGCACCGGCCAGCGCCTCCTGCACCCCTTGGGACAGCCCCTGGGACACACAGGGAGGTGATGGGGACATGGAGGGGACAGCACCCCCATGGAGGTGCCAATGTCCCCCCCCCTTCCATAGGTACCTGCTGGACACTGCCCATAGCCCGGGCGAGCACCAGGAGCACCGGCACAGCCATGAGGGTGGTGATGGTGAGCACCGGCGCCAGCCAAGCCATGGGGAGCAACAGCAGCATCGCCCGCACCAGCTCCCATAGCAACAGCAGCAGCGCATCACCCACGGCCTCATGGGTGGCATCGATGTCCCCGGTCACCCGCGCCGTCACCGCGCCGGCACCCAGCGCCCGCAGCGCCAACAGGTCCCGGTGCAGGATGGCGGCAAAGGCCCGGGTGTGGAGGTGGCCAAAGACCCGGCTCAAGGTGGCCACGTAGGTGGCGTCGCAGGTGAACTCGGTGATGGCACTGGGGTGGCGTTGGGATGGGGGGGCTTTGTTAAGGGGGGTCCCCTTGTCACCTCCACTGAGCCCCCCCCATGGTGTCATTGGGCTACCTGGTGACCCCCAGCAGCGCGATGGAGACCATGGTTGCCAACTGGTCCTCGCTGGCCACCCAGTCGGTGATGTGGCCGGTGAAGTAGGGGATGGTGACCTCGGCTGGGGATGTGGGGGTGTGAGGGATGGGGATGTGGGGTCATGGGGATATAGGGATATGGGATGAAATATGGGGAGATGGGGATGTGGGGGTCATGGGGATATAGGGATGTGGGGAGATGAGATATGGGGAGATGGGGATATGGGATGTGAGGGTCATGGGGATATAGGGATATGGGGAGGTGGGGATATGGGATGTGAGGGTCATGGGGATATAGGGATATGGGGAGGTGGGGATATGGGATGTGAGGGTCATGGGGATATAGGGATGTGGGGAGATGAGATATGGGGACATGGGGATATGGGATGTGAGCGTCATGGGGATATGGGATATGAGGGTCATGGGGATATAAGGATGTGGGGAGATGAGATATGGGGAGATGGGGACATAGGACATGGGAATATGGGACATGAGGGTAATGGGGACATAGGACATGGGGACATGGGGATATGGGACATGAGGGTAATGGGGACATAGGACATGGGGATATGGAACGTGGGGGTCATGGGGATATAGGGATATGGGAATATGAGCTATAGGGAGAAGGGGACATGGGGATATGGGACATGAGGGTTATGTCAATATAGGGATATAGGGATATAGGGATATGGGACATGGGAATTCCCCCTCACCCCGCACCCCATTGTACCCCCCCATAGCTCCTGCCCTCCCCAATGGCTCCTACTCCCCCCCCATAGCTCCTGCCCCCCAAGTACCGAGCACCGAGGCCAGCATCAGCCCGGCCACGATCGTGCAGCGCCTTTGCTCGGGCCGAAACAGCGCCAGGAAGCGGCGGGAGGGGTCTGGAGCCATCGGGGGAGCCCCGGGACCCCTCGGAGCCTCCGGTCCCTCCGAGCAGCGAAAGCGAAAGTGAAAGCGGGCGAAGGCGGCTCCTGATTGGTCAAGGGAGGCGGCGTCATCGGTTGCCGGGCAGATGGAGCTGGAGCAGGACGGAGACGGAAGGTGCGGGCAGGGGGCGGGGCTATCGGGGAGGAGGGTGGTGATTGGAGGAAAAAGGGAAAGAGGCGGGGCCTCGAAAGTGAAAGCAAAGGGGGCCGTACTGGAGCGCTGGTGCGGACTGGTGAGTGCCCCAGGGTGCTGGGGCTGTACTGGGAGTGCTGGTGTAGACTGGTGAGTGTCGCAGGACGCTGGGGCTGTACTGGGGGTGCTGGTGTTGACTGGTTAGTGCCCCAGGGTGCTGGGCAGTGTGCTGGGGCTGTACTGGGAGTACTGGTGCGGACTGGTGAGTGCCCCAGGGTGCTGGGCAGGGTGTTGGGGCTGTACTGGGAGCACTGGTGTGGACTGGTGAGTGCCCCAGGGTGCTGGGCAGGGTGTTGGGGCTGTACTGGGAGCGCTGGTGTGGACTGGGGAGTGCCCCAGGGTGTTGGGGCTGTACTGGGAGCACTGGTGTAGACCGGTGAGTGTCGCAGGGTGCTGGGGCTGTACTGGGAGCGCTGGTGTGAACTGGTGAGTGTCCCAGGATGCTGGGGCTGTACTGGGAGCACTGGTGTGAACTGGTAAGTGCCCCCGGGTGCTGGGGCTGTACTGAGACCACTGATCCTGACCGGAGATCACCCCATTTGCGCCCAGCAGGGGTGCTGAGGCTCCAGACTGGGATTGGAGGAGCTGTACTGGGAGCGCACTGGTCCATACTGGGTCTGCAGCATGGCTCTGCCACCTGCCCTGGCCACAGCCTCATCTTTCCTGCTGCTGCTGCTCCTGGACGCGGTGCTGGTGACCGCGGTGGCCTCGGTGGCCCCGGTGCTGCCGCTGTGGCCACTGGTGGCCGTGTGGCTGGAGGCCGGGCTGCGGGCGCTGGCACTGACCACAGCCACACAGACCCTGGCCCTGCGGTGCCCCCGCGGTGCTGCCATCACCATCGGCCTCAGCCCGGCCGCCTTCAGCACCCTCCAGAGCCTCCTGGGGCCACCGCGCTCTGCACCGCCCCTCTTGGCCATGGCCAACCCATGGTGGCTGGTGGTGACCCACGGCGCGGCCGCGGTGGCCACGGTGGCCTGGGATGTGCCGGTACCGGGGGGTTCCGATGCAGCCCAGGCCGCGGTGGCCGTGCGGCAGCTCCTGGCCTTGGCACGGGGAGAGTGGTGCCTGTTCGGTGCTGCCTTCGTGGCCTTGGCGTTGGCCGTGGTGGGTGAGTGATGGTGGGCATGGGGTGGGCATGGGGTGATGGTGGTGAGCATCACCCAACCATGGTTGTGCAGGGGAGGTGGCTGGGCCCTACTGCACCGGGAAGGCTTTGGAGGCCATCAGGAGCGGGGATGGAATCAGCGGTGTTGCGCTCGGCACGGTGCTGGCTGCGGAGCTGGGCAGGTTGGTGGGCACGTGGCATTGTTGGGTGGATGTTCATGCATCCATCATTGATCATCTGTGATCCATCACTGATCATCCATCATCCATCATCCATCCATCATCCATCCATCATTGATCATCTGTGATCCATCACTGATCATCCATCATCCATCCATCCATCATCCATCCATCATTGATCATCTATCATCCATGCATCATTGATCATCTATCATCCATCACTGATCATCCATCATCCATCCATCATCCATCCATCATTGATCATCTATCATCCATGCATCCATCATCCATCCATCATTGATCATCTGTCATTCATCACTGATCATCCATCATCCATCCATCCATCATCCATCCTTCCATCATCCATCCATCCATCCCCCATCCATCATCCATCCATCCATCCATCCATCATCCATCCATCATCCCCATGCCAATGGTACCCATGCATCCTTAATGCATCCATATCATCTCCATGTCCACCCCAGCTCCTTCTTTGCCGGCTGCCGTGGTGGCCTCTTCCTCTTGGCCCAAGCCCGCCTCAAGCTGACAGCTTCCACCCGGCTCTTCTCCCACCTGCTCCACCGGGATCTCACCTTCTTCCAGAAGACTCCAGCAGGTTGGTGGTGCCCCCATCGCCCCCCATCCCCATCCCAGCGCTGGTACTGGTGCTCACCACATCCCCATCACCGCAGCCAAGCTCTGTGCCCAGTTATCCAGTGAGGTACCACTGCTCTGTGGGGCCGTGCCCAAGAGCTCCAACGTGGCCTTGAGGAGCCTGGGCCTGGTCTTGGGCTTGGGGGGCTTCATGGTGCTGCTGTCACCGGAGCTGGCGCTGCTGGCGGCGCTGAAGGTGCCCATCACCATCGTCACCAGGAAGGTCTATGATGGGCGCTACCAGGTGGAGTGGGGATGGGTGGTGAGGATGGGATGGGTACCAAAAGGATGGGATGGGGTGGGACAGTGGAGATGGGATGGGTACCAGAAGGATGGGAATGGTGGGGATGGGATGGGTACCAAAAGGATGGGATGGGGTGGGACAGTGGAGACGGGATGGGTACCAAAAGGATGGGATGGTGGGGATGGGATGGGTACCAAAAGGATGGGATGGTGGGGATGGGATGGGTACCAAAAGGATGGGATGGTGGGGATGGGATGGGTACCAAAAGGATGTGAATGGTGGGGATGGGATGGGTACCAAAAGGATGGGATGGTGGGGATGGGATGGGTACCAAAAGGATGGGATGGTGGGGATGGGATGGGTACCAAAAGGATGTGAATGGTGGGGATGGGATGGGTACCAAAAGGATGGGATGGGATGGGACAGTGGGGACAGGGTGGGTACCAAAAGGATGGGATTGTGGGGATGGGATGGGTACCAAAAGGATGGGAATGGTGGGGATGGGATGGGTACCAAAAGGATTGGATGGTGTGGGACAGGGTGGGGTGGCACAAGGGGGATGGATGGGGTTATGGGTTGGGATGGGGATGGGATAGGATGGGATGGGGATGGGATAGGATGGGATGGGGATGGGGATGGGATAGGATGGGATGGGGATGGGATAGGATGGGATGGGGATGGGATAGGATGGGACGGGGATGGGAATAGGATGGGATGGGGATGGGATAGGATGGGATGGGGATGGGATAGGATGGGACGGGGATGGGAATAGGATGGGATGGGGATGGGATAGGATGGGATGGGGATGGGATGGGGATGGGATAGGATGGGATGGGGATGGGATGGGGATGGGATAGGATGGGATGGGGATGGGATAGGATGGGACGGGGATGGGAATAGGATGGGATGGGGATGGGATGGGGATGGGATGGGGATGGGATAGGATGGGATGTGCACATCTCCATGGCCAGGTGCTGCAGCGCGCGGTGCTGGATGCCACGGCTGCCAGGTCCGCGGTGGTGCAGGACACGGTGGCTTCCATGGACACGGTGCGGGCCTGCGCCGGGGAGGAGGAGGAGGAGCAGCGGCACTGCAGGGCCGTGACCGAGCTGCTGAGGCTGAAGCAGCGCTTGCAGCTGGAGGAGATGCTCTACACCCTGCTCCAGCGGGTACGGGGGGCCGTGTCTCCTGCACCCCCTCCCTGTTATCCCACTGATCCCAGTATCCCATTGATCCCAGTATCCCACTGATCCCAGTATCCCATTGATCCCAGTATCCCGCTGATCCCAGTATCCCACTGATCCCAGTATCCCACTGATCCCAGTATCCCGCAGGTGCTGCGCCTGGCGCTGCAGGTCCTGGTGCTGTTCCGAGGGTACCAGCTGCTCCGGGATGGCTCCTGCAGCGCCGGGGATCTCAGCACCTTCCTGCTCTACCAGGCCAGGTTTGGGAGCCATGTGGAGGTGAGGCCCTGGGGTGGGGTGTCCCCTCTCTGGGTCCATCCATTCCTTTTCTATGTCCATTTCTCCATGTCCATCCATCTTCTCCATGTCCATCCATCCCCTTTCTATGTCCATCTTCTCCATCTCCATCTCCATACCCACCCATCCCTTTCCCATCTCCATCTCCATCCCCACCCATCCCATTTCCATCTCCATCTCCATCCCCACCCATCCCATTTCCATCTCCATCTCCATCCCCACCCATCCCTTTCCCATGTCCATCTCCATCCCCACCCATCCCATTTCCATCTCCATCTCCATACCCACCCATCCCATTTCCATCTCCATCTCCATACCCACCCATCCCTTTCCCATCTCCATCTCCATCCCCACCCATCCCATTTCCATATCCATCTCCATCCCCACCCATCCCATTTCCATCTCCATCTCCATCCCCACCCATCCCATTTCCATCTCCATCTCCATCCCCACCCATCCCATCTCCATCTCCATCCCCACCCATCCCATTTCCATCTCCATCCCCACCCATCCCATTTCCATCTCCATCTCCATACCCACCCATCCCATCTCCATCTCCATACCCACCCATCCCATTTCCATGTCCATCTCCATACCCACCCATCCCTTTCCCATCTCCATCTCCATCCCCACCCATCCCATTTCCATCTCCATCTCCATCCCCACCCATCCCATTTCCATGTCCATCTCCATCTCCATACCCACCCATCCCCACTCCCCCCCCCAGGCTCTCCTCAGCAGCCACGGCGACCTCCTGGCCAAAGCCACCTCCAGCCACCGCCTCTTGGCCAACCTCCAGCACGTCCCCACCAGTGGCACCAGTGGCACCAGTGGCACCCTGCGCCTGGCCCCCCTCCGCGGCCACGTCACCTTCCACCGCGTCACCTTCGCCTACCCCACTCGCCCCGAGTGCCTCGTCCTGCAGGTACCTATGGGGGGGGGGGACACCCCCATTTGGGCACCTTAAGTACCCCATGGGTGATGCCATCACCCCCCCATGTAGGACATCACCTTCGAGGTGCTCCCCAATGAGGTGACGGCGCTGGTGGGAGCCAACGGCAGTGGGAAGAGCTCTTGTGCCGCGCTGCTCAAGGGGTTCTATGAGCCCCAGAGCGGGGAGGTGCTGCTGGATGGGGTCCCCTTGAGGGACTACGAGCACCGGTACCTGCACCAGGAGGTGAGGGTGGGCTCCACCATGGGCAAATCCATCCTGGTGGCCATCATTGAGAAGGGATGGGCATGGAGGGGGAGCACGTCCTTGTCTCTGAATGGGGAGGTGTGGGTTTGGGTGGATGGGTGGGTGGTCCCATTCCAAGAGTTGTGGTCAACCACAATGGGATGGGATGAGGTTCCAACTGGAAGAGTTAGATGGATCCTAGGAAGGTGATGGGACATTGGAATGGGTTGAATGGAGAGATGTGGGTTTGGGTGGATGGATGGTCCCATTCCAAGAGTTGTGGTCAAGGACAATGGGATGGGATGAGGAGGAATGGTTCTAACTGGAGAAAGGGAAGAGTTAGATGGATGCTAGGAAGAAGAGGGTGATGGGACACTGGAATGGGTTGAATGGAGAGATGTGGATTTGGGTGGTTGGATGATCCCATTCCAAGAGTTGTGGTCAAGCACAATGGGATGGGATGAGGCTCCAACTGGAAGAGTTAGATGGATCCTAGGAAGAAGAAGGTGATGGGACACTGGAATGGGTTGACTGGAGAAGGTTTGGATGCTCCATCCCATTCAAGGCCGGGCTGGATGAGCCTCGGAGCATCCTGCCCCAGTACAAGGTATCCCTTCCCGGCATTCCATGGCTCCATTCCCAGGTGGTGCTGGTGGAGCAGGAGCCCATCCTGTTCTCCGGAACCATCCGAGACAACATCACCCTGGGGCTGGAGGGCGCTGGGGAGCAGGAGGTGAAGGCGGCCGCCGCATTGGCCGGAGCTTGGGGCTTCATCAGTGACCTGGAGCAAGGGCTGGACACTGGTGAGTGCTATCCCCCCATAGGACCCCATATCCTGCTCATCACCATCCCCACCCCATTCTCCACCCCATAGATGTGGGGCACAAAGGGGCACAGCTCTCAGTGGGGCAGAGGCAGCGTGTGGCCATAGCACGGGCTCTACTGCGCCGACCGACCCTCCTCATCCTCGATGAGCCCACCAGTGCCCTGGAGGGAGGCGAGGAGCTGGAGGTGATGTGGGGCTGATGATGATGATGGGGGTGGATTAAAGGGGGGGTCCCAGCCCCATAGCTGAGGGTGCTGCTGCCCCACAGCCATGGCGCTGGGTGCAACTGGGGGTCACCAGGACGCTGCTGCTCATCACCCACTGCCCACGGCTCGTGGCTGGGGCTGACCGCACCGTGGGGCTGGGCCCGGCTATGGGGCTGATCCGTGGGGCAGTGAGGACACGGAGCCGGGTCCCTGCTATGGGATGGGGACAAGGGGAGCATCCGGATGCTGCCAGCAATGGGGAGCAGTGAGGACACGGAGCTGGGTCCCTGCTATCGGATGGGGACAAGGGGAGCATCCGGATGCTGCCAGCAATGGGGAGCAGTGAGGACACGGAGCCGGGTCCCTGCTATGGGATGGGGACAAGGGGAGCATCCGGATGCTGCCAGCAATGGGGAGCAGTGAGGACACGGAGCCGGGTCCCTGCTATGGGATGGGGACAAGGGGAGCATCCGGATGCTGCCAGCAATGGGGAGCAGTGAGGACACGGAGCCGGGTCCCCGCTATGGGATGGGGACAAGGGGAGCATCCGGATGCTCCCAGCAATGGGGAGCAGTGATGGGCAATAAAGCCTCATTTACCTGGGCCTGGTGATGTTCTCTGGGAGCACCCCAAAGAGCCAGGATATAGGGCAGGAAAAAGGGGGATTGGAAGTTGGCCATGGGCACAGGTTGCCATTGGGAAGGGGGCCAAGGTGAGATGGGATGAGAAGCGTTTTGGGGTGATTTTGGGGTGGTTAGTAGGGTTTTTTTTGCTGTAAGTCAGTGTATTTTGGTGTGGTTTTGCGGGGTTTGGGGTGTTTTGGGGTATTTCAGCGCCTTTTAAGGTATTTTAGGGGTGTTCCAGTCTGTTTTGGGGTATTTGGGGGTATTTTAGGGCTGGTTTTGGTGTGTTCTGTACTAACAGCCCCTCAAATGCTCCCAAATTGACTGGAATGGGGTGGGATGGACTGGTGAGACCACTGCGGATAATGGAAGGAGTGGAATGACCCCACCATGAGCCCTGTGATGCCCAATAACCCCCCCCCCCGTGCCCCATAGACACCCCCTTGGACCCCCCAATAACTCCATTGTGACCCCCCCAAAACTCCCTTTCTGTTACCCCCATACTGATGCCCCCATTACCCCCATGGATGCCACCCCCCAAAAAGGCTTAAGGGGATCCCCCCCATGAGATTGGGACCCCCCAAAAAGGCACCATTGAAAAGGGGGGGGGGAAGTAATTTATTGCTCCCCAAATAGGTCTTCATTGTAGACAATCTGTGTGCGCTTGTCCCTATGGGAGCCCTTGGCGCTGTTCTTCACCGCTGTAAGGGGGGTATGGACAAGAAACGGGGGTCAGGGGTGAAGGGGGACCCCAATGTCACCCCATAGGGGGGTTATGGGGTCCATAGGAGCCTCCAGTGCCCCCCATCACTCACCCAGGGACCCCCACAGTGACTTCCCAGTGGCTGCATCCAGCAGTGGCTGCTTCCGGGCGATGCTGACTTTGAGCTGCACATCCTGGACCACGGCCCCGTTCAACTGGAGGGGGTAAGGGGGGGATCAGCACCCCAAACTCCCCCTATAGAGCCCCACATCACCCCCTAGGGGGCCCCAAAGCCCCCCCCAGCACCTCGGCAATGGCCTGATCTGCTGACTCCATCTTCTCATAGGTGACAAAGGCACAGCTGGGGAGGGAGAGGGTGGGGTTACATCAGGACACGCCCCCTTTGACCACGCCCACCCATTCAGCCCCGTCCACTCCCTTTAGCCCCGCCCCTTAAAGGGAGACAACTCATAGACAATAGGGTAGAAGCTTAACCCCCCCCTTTAGCCCCACCCCTTAAAGAGAGACAATTATAGCCAATGAGGTTGAAGCTTGGCCCCTCCCACTCCCTTTAGCCCCGCCCCTTAAAGGGATACTACTCACTTATAGCCAATGGGTTGAAGCTTAACCCCGCCCCTTAAAGGGACGATAGTCAATGGGGTTGAAGCTTGACCCCACCCCTTCCCTTTAGCCCCACCCCTTTAAGGGAGAGAACTCACTTATAGCCAATGGGGTTGAAGCTTGGCCTTGCCCCTTAAAGGGATACAACCCACTTATAGCCAATGGGGTTGAAGCTTGGCCCCGCCCCTTTCCTTTAACCCCACTCCTTAAAGGGACACAAATCATAGCCAATAGGGTTGAACCTTGACTCCGCCCCTTTCCCTTAGCCCCGCCCCTTTTCTCAATGGGACCCCCCTCTCCATTCATCACAAAACCACGCCCCCCTCCAGGCCCCGCCCACTTCCTGGGGGTGTCCATGGCCAGGTCAATGATGGCTCCGAAGGGGCTGAAGGCTCCGCGCAGCAGCTCCGGGCTCAGCTCCACGCCGTGCACGTACAAAGTGTTCCCCTTGCGGGGGGGGCGGCGCTCGGGGAACGAGTCCGACCCTGGGGGGGGTAAAAATGGGGTGAGGGACCCCCAAAAACACCCCCATTGGGGACACATCCCCCCCCCCCCCCCTTACTTCGGAAGGGTCCATCCCGATCCCGGCCCCGCTCCTCCGGCTCTGGGTCCTGTTCCCACTCCAGGCGCCGCTCCCCTCGTTCGGGGGGGTCCCCCCTTGAGCTTGACCCCCCCTCTGAGTCCCGCAGCCTCTCGCTGGCACTCACAAAGCTTGGGGACACACACACAACACCCCCAAATGAATGAGGGGGGTCCAACATCAATGGGGGGGGACACCCCAATTTATATGGGGGGCACATTTACCTCTCATAGAGCGACTTCCTCTGTGGTCGACGTGACTGAAAGGGGGGGACACATACACATGGTGATGGGGGGGCACCCAAAATGTGGGGGACCACCCCCAGCACCCAAATAACCCCCCCCCCATTTCAGGTACCTCTTGGGTGTCGTCATCAGCCGAGATGCTGCGTTGGAAGGGTTGGAAGGTCGGGATCGGGCCTTTCTCGGGGTCCTATGGGGTACCCAAGGTAATGAGCCCCCCCCATAGGGTTTGGGGTCCCTGATGGAGGGAGGGGGGTGTTGGATATAGGGGGGCCCCCACCTTAAGTTTGCCCTCGAGGGTCCGGGAGCGTTTGAACCCCGAGTTCTTGGTCTCGGCCTTGATGGCGCTGATGGCCCCCGACTTCACCAACAGCTTCGCCTGCTCCGTGGCCATGGCTGTGTCCAGGGGGGGCTGATCCGAGAGGGCTATGGGGGGGACACACAGACCCCTATGGGGCCCCCAAGTGTGGGGCACCCCAACCTCCCCCCACTTTGACCCCCAAAATCCCCCTTGGGAGCTCCCAAATCCACCCGAGGGCACCCAATGGGACCCCCGAATAAACAGGTTTGGGGGGGGGTAAAGCAGCCCCTTTAGCTCCCCATAGGGCCCCAAATCCCCCCACCCCATAAGCTCCCCCCCCCCTTACATCGCTTGATCCCCCCCTGCCCGCTGGGTCCGGCTGCATTCTGCTGCTTCTTCAGTGCCAACAGCGCCTTCTTCTGCGGGGGGGGGGAATGGGGGGGGTCAGGGGCACCCCAGCACCCAGAGAGACCCCATAGAGACCCCCCCAAGCCCCATAGAGACCCCATAGAGACACCCCCACTCTCCCCCATAGCCCCCCATTAACTCCCTCGACTCCAATAGCCCCCCATAAGCCCCCAATGGGCCCCCATAGAGCCCTTATAACCCCCCATAACCCCCCCAGAGCCCTCCATAGAGTCCCCTAACCCCCAGTAAAACCCCATAGCCCCCCCCGGCCTCCATAGACCCCTTATAACACCCCCATAACACCCCAAAGCCCCTAGTAACCCCCCATAGCCCCCCATAACCCCCATAGACCCCCATAGCCCTCCATAGACCCTGCCGTAACCCCCCACAGCCCCTAATAACACCCCATAGCCCCCCCCAGCCCTCCATAGACCCCTCATAACCCCCCATAGCCTCTAATAACCCCCTATAACCCCCAATAAGACCCCATAGACCCCCCCATAACCCCCCATAACCTCTAATAACCCCCAATAAGACCCCATAGAACCCCCCATAACCCCATATAAGACCCCATTAACCCCCCCACCTTCTTCCTCAGCTTCGCGAACCGCTTCTGCAGCGCCTCCTCCTCCTCTGTGAGCCCCGGGGGCAGCGCCAGCATCGCGGGGGGACCGGTAACACGGGGCACCGGTAGGACCGGGAGGGACCGGTAACACGGGGGCACCGGTAGGACCGGGAGGGACCGGTAGGACCAGGCCGCAGCAGGGATGGACCCCACGCTATCCCACAGTACACCGCGCCACTTCCCTTTCATTTGCATAACCTGCCTAGCGACGGCCGCCGGTTGGTTGACTGAAAGGGGAGGCTGCACGCTGATTGGCGGAGAGAAAGCGAAAGCGCGGGGAGAAAAGCGCAGAAGCTTCCGCCCGGTTGCCGGGATGCCTCCGGGACTTCCGGTCCGGCCTCCCAAGTACTTCCGCCCTGCAGCGAGGGCAGCGGCAGAGTGGTTCCGGGGGATGGTGTGAGCGTGCGGAACGCATCGGTAAGGCAATGGGAGGGCATAAAATACCCCTAAAATGCCAGAAAACCACCCAAAAATACCCCTAAAAGACACCGAAATACCCTGAAAATACGCCAAACCGCGAAAATACCCCCAAAATCCCCAAAACACACACTGAAACACCCCCAAAATCCAATAAAACACCAAAATACCCACAAAATACACTGAAATGTCCCCCAAATCCCACAAAACCTCGAAATAGCCCCAAAATACACTGAAATACCCCCCAAACCCAACAAAACTGCAAAATAGCCCCAAATACCCTGAAATACCCCCAAAATCTCCAAATATCCCCCAAATCCCAAACCCTCCTATAAATCCACTGAAATACCCCCAAAATCTCAAAATACCCTCCAAATCCATGGAAACACTCCCAAAATACCCCAAATCATACTAAAAGAACCCTAAACCACCCCAAAATAGCCCTAAACTACCCCACCAAACCCTCTTGCAGGGGGTTCAGGTCCTTTTTGGGGCAAACTGGGCTGATTTGGGTTATTTTAGGGGCAATTCCAGGTAGTTTGGGGCAATTCCATGGAATCCCAGCTTGGTTTGGGATGAAACAGCCCAGCACCATGGGGACCGCTGCCATTGGAGCACCCCAACCCTTCTTCATTCACCCCACCCCAGCAGAGGGAGGAATCCCCTGCTGTTATCCCATATCTAAAGCCCATTCCCATTATCCCATCCTTTGATCCAGGCTTTCCCTGCTCTTTTCCAAGGACATCCAAAGACAAAGGCCATTTATTGGAAGGGAAGAGCCAAGGGTGGCTCCTAACGGTTGGATTTGGCCACGCGCTCCAGCTCATCCTTCTTCTTGATGGCGTAGGAGTTGGAAGAGCCCTGGAACGAAGGGACCAAGGTTGGATATGGGGGGATCCCTGTGTCCCCATTCCCAATGGGAACGGCACAATGGGGATCCCTGGATCCCATCCTCCTCTTCCTCACCTTGGCAGCGTTGATGAGCTCGTCCGCCAAGCATTCCGCAATGGTCTTGATGTTGCGGAAAGCGGCTTCCCGGGCTCCGGTGCACAGGAGCCAAATGGCCTAAAGGGAAAGGTGGGAATTAGGGATGGAAAATGGGATGTTGGGATGCAGGGAACCAAATGGCCTAAAGGGGAAAAGTGGGAATTAGGGATGGAAAAAGGGATGTTGGGATGCAGGGAACCAAATGGCCTAAAGGGAAAGGTGGGAATTAGGGATGGAAAAAAGGATGTTGGGATGCAGGGAATGAGCAGACAAACGGGTTAAAGATGGGAATCAGGGATGGGATCCGGGGTACCTGATTGACACGGCGAAGGGGGGACACATCCACAGCCTGGCGCCGCACGGTGCCGGCGCGGCCGATCCGAGTGGAGTCTTCCCGAGGGCCGGAATTGATGATGGCATTGACCAGGACCTGCAGAGGGTTCTGGAATGGGATAAAGGGGGGGAATCAGGAATACAGAGCATGGAAAAGGGGATGTGGGGTGCTCCATAGGGACCCCATTGGCACCTCTCCGGTGAGGAGGTGGATGATCTCGAAGGCGTGCTTCACGATGCGCACGGTCATGAGCTTCTTCCCGTTATTCCGGCCGTGCATCATCATGGAGTTGGTGAGGCGCTCCACGATGGGGCACTGGGCCTTGCGGAAGCGCTTGGCCGCGTAGCGCCCGGCGCTGTGGGGTAAGTACTTGGCGTACTTCTCCTTGACGGCGATGTAGTCCTATAGGGAGAACAATGGGAAAGAAAGGGGGATCCTAAAGGGATTCCCAACAATGGGAATGCCATGGGAACGGGGTGTCCCCCCCATTCTGGTACCTGTAGGGAGATGTCGTTGATCTGGACGTCATCCGTGCTCCACTTCCCAAAGAGTTTGATGTCCGGGGTCTCGGTCACGGCGGGAGCTGTTTCCCAATCGGACATGCTGGGAATAGGGAGGGGAACAAAAGGGGGGGGTGAGCCCCAGATCCCAAATTGAGGGGGGAAGGGGAGGGGAGCAAATCCCATTAATGAGGGGCACAGAGGTGGGATCCAACAGGATAGGGAATGGGTCCCACCAGGACAGGGATGAGCTCCTCAAGTCCCAGCTTAAATCCTCATAGTCCCTCCTCCGCCCCACAGACACCCCATAGAAGCCCCATTTCCTCTCCTCAGCCCCACAGACACACCACTGAAGACCATTTCCCCCCCCAGCCCCATAGACACCCCTGAGCCCCCCCATTTCACCTCCTCTGCCCCATAGGCACCCGAGCCCCCCCATTTCACCTTCTCTACCCCATAGACACCCCTGAGCTCCCCATTTCCCCTCCTCAGCCCCACAGACACAACATAGAGGCCCATTTCCCCTTCTCAGCCCCATCGACACCCCACAGACACCCCTGAATCCCCCCATTTCCCCTCCTCTGCCCCATAGCTATACCACAGATGCCTTATTTCCTCTCCTCAGCCCCACAGACACCCCACAGCCCCCTTTCCCCTTCTCAGCCCCATTTCTCCCCCTCAGCCCCATAGACACCCCATAGACAACCCTGAGCCCCCCCATTTCCTCTCCTCTGCCCCACAGAGGCCTATTTCCCCTCCTCAGCCCCACAGAAACCCCTTAAGCCCCCGTTTCCCCTCATCAGCCCCATGGAGACCCCTGAGCCCCTCCTTATCCTCTCCTCCGCCCACAGAGACCCATTTCCCCTCCTCAGCCCCTAGGCACCCCATAGCCCCCCATTTCCCCTCCTCAGCCCCACAAACGCCCCATAGAGCCCCATAGAAGCCCCATTTCCTCCCTCACATGGCAGCACCGGCGGCGGCTCGGGCCTACTGAAAGGCCCCAGACAGGGTTTCCCGGCCTCTTATCCAAGGGCTCACTTCCGGGCGCGCATGCGCAACTCCAACGGAGTGGGAGGGGCCTTGAGCCTACGCAGTGACGTGTGAAGCCTCGTCCGCCATGTTTGTTCAGGGTAAGTGCCCAAATGGGGTCTGTGGGGCACAGGACGAGGCCATTGGGGGCAAAAGGGGCACAAAGGGGGCACAAAGTGGGGCACAAAGGGGGCACGGTGCCGTTCGGGGCGGGTGGACAACGAGAGAGACCCCAAACCCTGCTTCCGGACCCTTTGCGGCCCGTGATTGGCGGAGCCTCCTTGCATCCACCAATCAGATCTCGAATCGCGGATGACGTCATCGGGCGCCAGGCAGATCAATGGGAGGTGAGAAGTCAAATGTGGGGGGACACCATAGGGGGACATAGGGGAGACCCCCCCCGGGCCACCCCATAGCACACAGCAGGGCCCGTGCCCCCCCTGCCCCACATCCCCGTGCCGAGCCCCATTGTCAGCACCACCACAAGGCCATGGAGCATCTTTATTGACACCAGCCCCATGTGTGGGTGTCCGGTGTTTCCCCCCCCCCATCGGGTGTGAATGGTACCGGCGGGAGGGGACCATCCGGATGTCACCACTGCGAGGAGGGGGGGGGGGGCGGTCCTCAGATGCTGCCTGCAATGGGGACACACACATGGGGTGCAGCAGAATGGGGGGGTCCATAGGGATAATGGGGGGGGGGAATGGACGTGGCCTTACCTATGGGGTGGGTGTCACCTTCGAGGGGGGTGTAACCTGCAATGGGGGTGAATGGGGGGGGGGTGAGGAGGGTCCGTGTCACCTCCAACGCACTGTCCCCGTCCCCATGATCTCACCCGGTGCCGGTGCCGGTGCCCGGTACCGATGGAGCCCAATGGCGAAGATGCCGATGCCCAAGAGCATCACCACGGTGGCCGCTACCACCTTCACCACCAGCGCGGGGGACAGCCCATGATCTGTAGGGGGGGACACACAACAACACCGTGAGTTGATGTCACCCCCCCCCCCCATTGGGGTGACAAGGAACGATCCGCCCCCACTTACCCCAATCCACCAAGAGGGGTTGGTCCAGGGCCGGGTGTTGCACGGAGCAGGTGAAGGTGTCCCCATGGGCTGGGGCCGCCATGAGGGTGAGCTGGGTCTGGTAGGTGAGGTCCCCATTGGGGACAATGGGGGGGGGTTCGTCATCGGGGGTCACCAGGTCCCCGTTGTGCAGCCAAAGGACGGTGACGGCCGGGGGGTAGAAGCCCCACACGTGGCACGTGAGGAGCACGGGGACAGAGGGGTACCCAGAGGACGAGGAGGTGACGCGGGCCTGGGGGGGGGCTGTGGGGAAGGGGGGACATTGACAGAACCCATTGACCGGACCCATTGACCATCCCCATTGATCACCCCCATTGACCACCCCCTTTGACCACCCCATTGACCGTCCCCATTGACCACCCCCATTCAATGTCCCCATTGACCGTCCCCATTGACCACCCCCATTCAATTTTCCCAATGACCATCCCCATTCAATGTTCCCATTGACCACCCCCATTCAATTTTCCCAATGACCATCCCCATTCAATGTTCCCATTGACCACCCCCATTGACCACCCCCATTCAATGTCCCCATTGACCATCCCCATTGACCGTCCCCATTGACCACCCCCGTTCAATGTCTCCATTGATCACCCCCATTGACCACCCCCATTGACCACCCCATTCAATGTCTCCATTGACCATCCCCCTTGACCACCCCCATTGACCATCCCCATTCCATGTCCCCATTGACCACCCCCATTGACCATCCTCATTGACCACCCCCATTCCATGTCCCCATTGCCCACCCCCATTGCCCACCCCTTTCCCCCTCACCCACCTCTCCCCAGGCTGCTGACGCTGTGGGGCCTGAGCCGGCCGCAGGCGCGCTCCCTCTCCCTCATCCTCTTCCTCCAGGCCGGGTCCGTGCTCAGCGCCTGGGCCAGGCCCTCGGCGATGCCCCAGAGCTGCCCCATGGCGCAGGGCACGGCGCGCCCGGGGGCCCCAGGCGCGGAGCACACCAGAGGGGCCGCGTTGAAGCCCAGCACGAAGGCGGGGACGGAGCCGTTGGGAGCCAGAGCGCAGGAGCCCCAGAGCTGCACCACGAAGGCGGCTGCGGAGGGGACGCGGGGACAGCCCCAGGGGGGTGAGCGCTGCCTGCGGCCCCCCCACCTCTGTGCGTGCAGCCCAATGGGCCTCCATTCGTCCCAATGGGCCTCCATTCATCCCAATGCGCCTCCATCCATCCCAATGCGCCTCCATCCGTCCCAATGGGCCTCCATTCATCCCAATGCGCCTCCATTCATCCCAATGGGCCTCCATCCATCCCAATGCGCCTCCATTCATCCCAATGCGCCTCCATTCATCCCAATGCGCCTCCATTCATCCCAATGGGCCTCCATTCATCCCAATGCGCCTCCATTCATCCCAATGGGCCTCCATTCATCCCAATGGGCCTCCATCCATCCCAATGCGCCTCCATTCATCCCAATGCGCCTCCATTCATCCCAATGCGCCTCCATTCATCCCAATGGGCCTCCATTCATCCCAATGCGCCTCCATTCATCCCAATGGGCCTCCATTCATCCCAATGGGCCTCCATCCATCCCAATGCGCCTCCATTCATCCCAATGCGCCTCCATCCATCCCAATGCACCTCCATCCATCCCAATGGGCCTCCATCCATCCCAATCCCTCCATCCATCCATCCCAATGCGCCTCCATGCATCCCAGTACCTCCATCCATCCATCCCAATGCACTTCCATTCATCCATGCATCCCCATCCTTCCATGCATCCCAGTGCACCTCCATCCATCCCCATCCCCATCCCTCCCCATTCCCATTCCTCCATCTATTCCCATCTCCCCATCAATCCAAACCCCTGAAGCCCCCTGAAATCATCACTTGGGGACCCCCAGGGCTGAGCCCCCCCAAACCCTCCCCAATGTCCCATAGGGCTGAGCCCCCCCAAACCCTCCCCAATGTCCCATAGGGCAGAACCCCCCCAAACCCTCCCCAATGTCCCATAGGGCTGAACCCCCCCAAACCCTCCCCAATGTCCCATAGGGCTGAGCCCCCCCAAACCCTCCCCAATGTCCCATAGGGCTGAGCCCCCCCAAACCCTCCCCAATATCCCATAGGGCTGAGCCCCCCCAAACCCTCCCCAATGTCCCATAGGGCTGAGCCCGCCCAAACCCTCCCCAATGTCCCATAGGGCTGAGCCCGCCCAAACCCTCCCCAATGCCCCATAGGGCAGAACCCCCCCCCGATCACCCCCAAATCCCCCTCTTCCGGCCCCCACCTGCCCCCGGGCCCCCCAGCACCAGCCCCAGCAGCAGCAGCAGCATCTCTGGGTCCTGCCGGGGGCCTCCTGCCCCACATCCGTGGGTCACTGGACAAGGGGAGTGACCCATCCGTGGGGCAGCCAATGAGAGCCTGCGTTAGATGCGCGTCATCAGTTGCCAGGGCAGGAGATGCTGGCGGCAGCCACCGTCGGGACATGGCGTTGGTCGGGGTCTCTGTTGGGGGGTGATGGACATGGGGGGGGGGGCAAGGAGGGAGCGGGGGGGGGATGGGGAATGGAACCGGGATCGGGATCGGGACTGGGTCCAGGACCAGGAGCAGGAACAGGACCAGAACTGGACCAGGACCAAGACCAGGACCAGGACTGGATCCAGAACTGGGACCAGGACCCACATCAGAACCAGGGCCAGGACCAGAACTGGGACCAGGACTGAGACCGAATCCAGAACTGGGACCAGGACCAGATCCACAACTGGGACCAGGACCAGATCCACAGCTGGGACCAGGACTGAGACTGAATCCAGAACTGGGACCAGGACCCACATCAGAACCAGGATCTGGACCAGATCCAGAACTGGGACCAGGACTGAGACCCGATCCAGAACTGGGACCAGGACTGAGACCGGATCCAGAACTGGGACCAGAACCCACATCAGAACCAGGATCAGGACCAGAACTGGGACCAGGACCAGATCCAGAACTGGGACCAGGACCAGAACTGGGACCAGGACCCACATCAGGACCAGGACCAAGAGCAGAACGAGGACAAGGACATGGCTGGGGACCAGGAGCAGGATAGGACCCATCAGCCACCATCAGACGAACCTGGGTCACCCCTAAACCAGGTGGGTGCTGCATCCCTGCACCACCGGGACACTGGGGGTGACTCTGTGAAGGTTGAACCCTTATATCAGCCATTGGAGAAGCCACCACCATGGCCACATCCCACAGCGGGGAAACCGAGGCATGGTGCTGAGGAACCTCCTTTTGGAAGGGGTGTGTGTGTGTGTGTGTATGTAGCTCAACCCCATATCAGCCATCAGAGAATCCACCATCAGACCGGCTAACACAGCCATAGCCAAAAGGGGTTTAATGCTGAACGGAGACAACCACCACCACCAACGGCACAAAGGTGACACCCATCACCCTCCCGTCCTGCCCCTCCACGCCACCACCACCACCATGGCGATGCCCATGAGAGCCATGACCGTGCCCAAGGCCATGGCAGCGCCGCACAGCGCCGTCCACAACGTCTCGGTGTCACCCGCCTCCTGCGCCACTACAACAACAACAGCAACAACGGGGGTAGGAACAACCGGTGGTGGCGGCACCGCATCCCCCCCATTGTTGGCACCGCGCTCACCCCAATAGGCCACGGTGGAGCTGTTGAGGCCGGCACTGGTGACGACGCAGCTGTAGGCGGTGCCGGCGCCGGGGGTCACCCGGAGGTAGGAGAAGCGGGTGAAGGTGACGCCGCCGATCGCGGTGTAGCCGGTGTGGGTGACGCCGCGGGTGACGGGGACGCCGTCCGCCCTCCAGGTGATGTCCACGGCGGGGGGGGAGATGTTCTCCACCAGGCACACCAGGGTGTTGGGCTTGCCCAATGCCGGCGGTTGCAATGGGAAGAGTTTGGCCACCGGGATCCCTGGGGTTGGGTGGGGATGGAAAGGGAGGGGTTTGGGTTGGGGGGCGGAGATTTGGGGGGTGCCTCAAGGCATCTCCAAACCCTTCCCATGAAATGTCCCAAATTGGTGCTTTTACAGCCCAAAATGAGCTGCCAAAAGGAAGGGGGTGAAATCAGTGTCACCTCGAGGGCCGTGCCATGACCACCATGGCCATGATGAGCACGTTGACCCACCATAACCACAGTGATCATGATGACCACCATGACCAGGATGACCACGATGACCACCATAACCACAATGACCACCACCATGATGACCACAGTGAACACTGCGGTCACCATGACCATGCCAACCATGATGACCACCATGACCACAATGACCTATTCTACCCATAACAGCCATGATGACCACCATAACCACCATGCCCACAATGACCACGATAACCTATCACAACCATAGCGACCATGATAATCACGACCTCAATGACCACGGTAACCTGTCCTAACCATAACGACCACGATGATCACCATGACCACACTAACCTATCACAACCATAATGACCACGATGGTCACCACGACCATGATGCCCACCATGACCACAATGACCATGATAACCTATCACAACCACAATGACCACGATGATCACCATGACCACGCTAACCCATCACAACCACAACCACCACGGTGCTCACCACGACCCCGATGCCCCCCATACCCCTGGCCTGTGCCAGTTGTTCACTGGTGGCGTTGGTGAGGAGGGCGAGCAGGGCCTGGCAGAACTCCGCATCCTTCAGGACCAGCTCCGGCGCCTCCAGCTCCGGCGGCAGCTCCGGCGGCAGCTCCGGCAGGCGCCGCACCCAGGAGGAACCCGAGAAGTTGAACCAGAAGAGCTCATCCGTGCCCAGGGTCACCGCCAGCCCCAGCGAGGGCTCATCCGGTTGGCAGAAGAGGACCTCGGACAGGACCTGGGGCTCTACAGGGAGAAGAGGCAAGAATGGGGATGGAGGCAAGGGGGGGACCCCATTGCATTGATCCCACCCCCCCCTCCCTCTCACCATCGGTGCCCGCAGCCCCCAGGGCCACCCAGAGCCACCCCGCGGCCACCAGCACGGCCTCAGCACCCATCGCGATGGGACCCTTTGGGTGCTACCGGGTGCCGGCCTCTCCACCAATAGGAGGCCGGCGCTGTGCTTGCGTCACTTGTCACCGGGCAGAAGAGCCCATGGGGCCGCTCGGGTGCTGTGACAGCGCTGGGGACTCAATTAACAAGCGCTGTTAATGACGGGGCACCCCTGCCCTATGGCCCCGCAGCCCCACACTGAGCGTTGGTGCTATGGGGGGCAAAGCGCTTGCTGCGAAGCCCCGATGCACCCCTATAGCAGCGTGCACTGCACCCCCTTAGCAGCGTGCACTGCACCCCCATAACAGCACCGCTGCACCCCTTTGTACCCCATAGCAGCAGCACTGCATCGCCTCGTACCCCATAGCAGCATCACTGCATCCCCTTGTACCCAATAGCAGCACCACTGCATCCCCTGCACCACTTTGCACCCCATAGCAGCATCACTGCAACCCCTGCACCTCTTTGCACCCCATAGCAGCACCACTGCATCCCTTAGCACCCTTTAGCAGCACCCACTGCACCCCTATAGTAGCGTGCACTGCACTCACTGCACCCCCATAGCAGCGTGCACTGGAGCCGCACGCCCCGAGTGGCTGCAGGGCGCTGCTGCAACCCCCTTTCTCCCCCCCCCCTCCTTTATGGGTGTTCCCATCATACCTGACCCCCCCTTCCCATATAACCCCCCCCCATTGGGTACCCCCACTGCTTGGGACCCCCATGGGTGCCCCCCCCCCTCGGGTACCAGCGCTGTCTCTCTCTGTGCGTGTGCCCCCCCCAATCACCTCCCGCAGGGCCGGCGTTAGGACCCTGCGGAGCCTCCAGGGCCCCCGCGGGGGTGAATGGGGAGAGGGGGGGGGTGTGTGTGTGATGAATGGGGCCGTGGGAGCCGCGGGGGCGCCACGTGACGGCGGGGAGCCAATCGGGGCGCGGGTGACGTCGCGCGAGGCTCCCTTTTCTTGCCCCAGGATGGGGGGTTTGGGGGCTTTTAAAGCTGCTTTTTTTGCCCCAAAACGGGGTTTTTTTTGGGGTGGGGGAAATGAAGAGGGCCCGGGGGGGGTTCGCGGCCCCATGGCTCAGGTGAGTGATGGGGGGGGTGGGAAACAGCTCGCCCCCCCCCTTCATTAGGGATTGGAGGGGTACGGGGGGGGTGGTCCTGCCCCCTCGCGTCATCGCCGCGGGCCAATGGGAGGCGAGAGCGGCGGTGACGTGGGAGGCGGTGGTTTTGGGGCGAAAAGCGCCATGTTTGGGTGTTCGCGCGGGGGCGGCGGGCAGGGCCCCAAGTGCTGTGTCACGGCCGGGGGGGGGGGGGGGGGGGGGGGTAGGCGGGAAGGGACCAAGAGCGAGGCCGCGGATGCAGACAAGGAGGGGGGAAAAGCGGCTCTGCCCCATAGGGCGAAGGGGTTTGGGGGTGCCCCCGAGCGCCTGCGGGGGTCCCGGCGCCGCCGTTGGGCGCCTCCCGGTGGAGGCGGCGGTGGGGGGGGGGGGGATAGGAAGGAGCCGTCGGATCGGGCCTCACCCGCGGATCAGGCCGTTTCCCGGCGCTGTGGAGCGCGGTAGCGCCGTGTCCGCGGGGGTTGCCCCATTGCTGAGGGGTGTAAGCGGGGCTCGGTGCTGCCTGCGGGGCCGTAGGGCCCCGGGGGGCGCGGAGGGGAGCCCGGGGAACGGGGAAAGGCGAGAAGGGCACGGGGTTGAGAGGGACCCCCGGAAAGGGGGGGGTGAGGGCCGGATGGGGTCCGGCGGTGCCCCGGGGTGCCCGGGGGGAGCCCGGAGCGCGGTGCTCATTGTCCGCCCGGTGCCGCGACCGGCGCTCAAGATGGCGGCGGCGCTCCGTCCCCTCACACACACAGACAACGGCCGCCAACAGCCACTTCCGCCCGCCGGTCCCGCCCCTCCGTGCGCCTTCCTGCCAATCGCGTCGCGACGAGTGCGGGCGCTGGCCAATGAGCGGCGACACCGCCCGCTCTGCCGGGTGAGTCGCCGGGCGGAAGGGTGAGGAGGGAGCGGGAGGGAGGGGGGGAAGCCGCGGCGGCGTTGACAGACGCACCGCTCGGCCAATGGCGGCGAGGCGCGGGGCGCGCGTCCGCCCAATGAGGCGGCGGTGGGGCGGGGAGGGGCGGGGGCGGTGACGTCAGCGGCGCCGCCGCCCAATGAGGGGCCGGCTCGTGTCTATATAAGGGCGGCCGGGGGCCGGCCGAGAGGCGCCATTTCGCTGGGACGGCAGCAGCGAGCGGGTCGAGGCCCCCGGTGCCCGCGCGCGCGCGCGCGCCCGCTCGTGGGGAGGGGTTGGGGGGGGCGCGGCCCCGAGCCCGGATCCATTCCCCCGCCTCCGCCGCTCCCGGACGGCGCCGCCGGACCCTCCCCGGCCTCCGTAGCGACCCCTGCCTGCGGCCAGCGGTGAGGGGCCCTCCCCTTCAACCCGGCCCCTTTCCCTTCCCCTGCCTTCATCCGGGAGCCAAGATGGAGCCCGGCCGCTGACTCGGCCCCGTCGCCATCCGCCTCCATCCGCCGCCTCCACCGCCGCCGCCGTCTTCATCCGCGCTCCCCGCGGGCGCTGCCGGCTCTTAGCGACCAACCGAGGCCGATATTGACCGGATTCGGGGCTCCGAAGAAGGGGGACACCCTCCCCCCCCCCCCGCTCTTCCCCGTTCGTTCCCTCACCGGTGTCCCCGCCGCCATCTTCTCGCCCGTTCATGTGAAGGCCGCTGGATGCGCCCCACCGGAGCAGCCGCCGCTTGACGCCCGTCGCGCCCCGGGGGGAGCGGGGAGACGGCGCCCGCTTCGTCCCCGTGTCCCCCCCTCCCTTCCCCGCTCCGTTCCCCGTTGAGCCGGTGATGCGGTTGAACCCACCGGGCCGGTACCGGTTGAACGAGCTCCCCCCCCCCCGCTAACCCCCGTTAATCCGGGCAAAGTGGGGGGGGCGTCGGAAGAGACGGCGGCGGCGGGAGGAGAAGAAGGAGAAGGGCCGGGCCCCAGGGCCTCGCACGCAGCCGCCGCGATGCTGCAGAACGTGAACCCCCAGAGCAAGTAAGGACCGGGACCGGGGGTATAACGGGGGGGGAATGGGGTCGTTGTCACTCGGTGTTGGTGCTGTCCCATTGGTTTGAATGGGGTCGTTGGCATCGCGCTTTTCCCCATGGGTTTTGTGGTTCTCTCATCCCGTTTTGCCGCTGATGTTGTCCGAAATCAGTGGGTTTTCACCCATAAATGAGGACTGGGGTACGGATACAGACCCGTTATGTTGGGGTCTATTCCCTTATGGATGGGTTGGGGGCTTGGTGATCACCACAGCACCAAACCCATGCCGTGATCCCGCTTCTTGGCATTGCCACTCTGTGTGAACCCCAGTGGCACAAGCGCGGGTGCCCATGGCACCGATGCCCTTTGTCTCGGAGGCCGAGCTTGGCTCCAGTTGCCCCATTCCTTGGGAAGCTGATCCCTGAATCCCACCCTGGCACCTGGGTTAGCGTCCGGGGCCGGGAAACCCACGACCCAACCGCTTGGTGATGGTTTTGGGGCTGGTTTCTTGTGTTTTGGTTAAACCGTAACAGAGCCCTTTGGTTTAACGCTGTTTCTGCTCCCCTTTCCCAGGCTCTTAGGGGAAGGCAACGCCGGGCTCATGGCTCTGGCTACGGAATCGACCCCCGGCAAACGCATCCGCAAACCCTCCCTCCTCTACGAGGGCTTCGAGAGCCCCACCATGGCCTCGGTGCCGGCCTTGCCGTCACCGCAGGTGAACCCACCCCCTCCCGAGGTTTCCAACCCCAAGAAGCCCGGCCGGGTCACCAACCAGCTCCAGTACCTGCACAAGGTGGTGATGAAAGCCCTCTGGAAGCACCAGTTCGCTTGGCCCTTTCGGCAACCGGTGGACGCCGTCAAGCTGGGGCTCCCGGTAACGCAGCCTCATGGATATGGGGATTGGGGGGGGACGGGGATATAGGGAAAACGGGGGGGTTATGGATATTGGTGTGTGGAAGCGTGTCCCGGTGTGTGGATGGATGCGTGCGGCCCCATCGCCCCTCACGCGTGCAGGCAGGGGGTGTCAGGCACACGGGAGATGCTATTTGGGGGTGCATCTCCTTTCTCCCATCTTGGGGTCCCCCCCTTTTACAACCCTGAGAGTGCCACCGCTGGCTTTCCCAAGGAGATTTGACCCTGTTTTCCGGGCGCCAGATCCCATCCCAACACCTCCCCTTATCCCCCGCTCCCCATAGCCCCCCCATAGGCGTTGGGGCTCATCCTGGGGACGTCCTCGGAGCGGCTGCCACCTTTCTGCCCCCCCTTTGCTCCCGTTCTCCCTTCTAAACACCACAGACGCCACCACGCAGCCGCTCCCATAGAGGTAAATCCGGACGTTCCCCTTTCCCTTATTCCCCCCCCTTTTCTCCATCCCCACCTAATCTCTTGTGCCCTGAATGCGTTTTGCAGATGCCCATCCATGAGTTTGTAGAAGACATCCTGTGACCCCAAAATTAAACGCCAGCCCCCCCGTGTCTCGCCTGTGGCGCTCGAGGATTTAAAGCCCGGAGGTAATTTTTCCACGGAGGTTCTTTCTTGTTGCCTTTTTTTTTTTTCCCCCATAATTTCCCCCCTTTTTCCTTCCCTCCTTCCTTTTCCTTCCCCCCGGGACCATCGCGCCCATCCGGACACCGGCCTCCATCCAGCTCTCCCCATAGCGTAGGTTTCCCACCCCACACAGGACACGTTAGGGGGACGGTGGCACTCTCAGGGTAGGGAGCAACCCCCTTGTTTGCCCTCGCACCCCCTTCCTGCCTGCGTTCGGGGGCTTGTGTGAGAGCTGGTGTGTGAGCTCGGGTACCGGAGCATCCACCCTATCCATAACCATCAATCCCACATCCCTTTATCCCATAGGATTATCATAAGATCATCAAGCAACCCATGGATATGGGCACCATCAAGCGGCGCTTGGAGAACAACTACTACTGGGGGGCTGCTGAGTGCATGCAGGACTTCAACACCATGTTCACCAACTGCTATATCTACAACAAGGTGAGGACCACCCCGACGCCGCCGGCG